AATTGCCTCTTTTGTCCTCCAGTGTGTCCTGGACTCCTGGGTTCACGACCGGACCATCTATCGATCTAATTGACAGAGGCTAAAAGCGCGGTCTCTCTCCGACAATCCTTGGTTTCATCCGCAAGCACCAGGGCAGGATGGAGTATGAGGCAATTCTAACCTTCAATCATTGTGAGTGGATAGATAATACTCTTCTATCACTGCACGGTGGCTCAAGGTTCCCACCAGACTCTCTCTCCCTTTTTTCTACCGAACAAGAGTAAACAGTACTCCGTAGAGCGGACGGGCCCGCTGAGGAGCAACTAGAAATTCTCCAACAGTGCCATCTTCAACTCGAAAATCATCAGATGGAAATCAACTAAATCCTATGTGGCTTGCCACTAGATATAGTCTCAATATCTCATTTCTCTGGCCTCAGCTCACTCGCTAGCTGACTGGACTAGCTTCCTCCCAGAGTCCCAATCGACCAGATCGAACAAATCACGGACTCGAAGACCTGGTATCGAAAGAGTCTAGGTGCGACTGCACAGATTCCCTGAATCAGCTAGTCTACTAAAAGTTGACCACCTCCCATCAACGGTTTTTCAGCATTGCGGTCTCAAAGTCCAAGTGGGACAGGTAAATAGTCCGCCAAACGTCAAACCCCGAGCGGTAGGTAGGGAGTTAGGACCGACTTCGTCTTGAGAAACGGGTTGCTGTCCTTCCGGAAATTTTAACAGAAAATTTCCTGTCCCAACATTGTAACGCGACAAAAAAACGATCGTAAAGTCCTTCTCTAACATGGTCAAGCAATTCGCTTGATCAGGACAAACTTTCATCCAAGCAATGCCAACCCAACCCTGGCGAGTCAATTGAGGCCACCAACGAACCTTGACATGATTCATCTATGGTATGAGATAATGAGGGTATCAAATATCAATGCACCAACACAATGAGAGGACCCACGGTCCCACACAGATCCCCCTCAGTCAAATCTCCTCGCTCAGGATAGACAAGCAGCAAGCGATCCGCTCAGGAGCGATAACCAAAGTGGATGTCGGACGAGAATGGAGTCAAAGAGTCGCCACAGTGCTCGACCCATAGGCCGAAGTCTGCAAAAAATGAGCTCGGAGTTGAGAGTTCTGCAATTGTTGTTACATGTGACGACTCGATCTTGCCTAGCAGCCTTGAACTATCCCACTTGCTAGGCTCGGGCGTCGTGATCGACAAGTCGACACAATCAACGGCCTCCTCGCTTCTCCTGGGCCCGGTATCGAGATTCGAGGCAAGGATTCTGTTGACGGTTCCGAGCTGCCTATCACTCTACCTATCATAAAGGTGACCGGCATGCTATATCCCGTGAGTGCAGAATGTGGCTTGCTAGCTGTCTGAGACTCTGAGCACCCTGCGACGACACCAGAGGGCTGACTCCAACGGGCAACGACGACATTGGATGGTGGACCGGGCTAACTGCCGGTCAAAGAGGCTCAACTTGCCGGTTGTACTTGGCGAGAAAAAAGGAGTCGGACGCGATTGGACTTGGAATTGGATTCCAGATCACTGTGCGGAACATTATTCCGCCCTTGCCTATGAGTGATATCAGCTGTATGGAGTATATTGATTATTGTCATTGTCAGAGGACATACTTTAGTAAGAGGAGCTCAATTGTGCTTTCTTGCCGGTATGGCGAGGCCGCGGTTTACCATTTGAGACTTGGGGTGACTTGGGGAGCCTCCTCTGTGCTGGAGATTGAGGATAGACCCACGATTCATGAAGCACCCAGCATGTCACTGGTGGAGATGAGGCCATATCAGCCATATTGCCATCATTACGAAGCCATTCAGCTTCCACCCCCCCGGGTAACAAAAGTACCTCGAACCAACCTGACGAGACAAACCTCCCCAAAAGTTGACCGGCATACGACCTAGGATCCAACCCCAATAAAGATCCTTAATTAACCACCAACCCGACTCCGTAAATACAGGCTCACTGTTTCCAAGAGCAGCCCGATCAGGCAAGGTCGCGCTTAGACTTTGGGGAGGATTGCCTTCCCTGCCGCGCTGCATGGATCATGCGAGTTGCCTGTAGGCGAATCACCGTCGCTGCGTCGGATTAATTATAGTAATAATCGACCGTTGTGGCAGCCTTACCAGTTACCATTTCACTTCGTAAAGACCTACCAGGTACGGCGTTAATGCAGTTTGCTACTAGGTCCTACTGCAGTCTGCAGGCTAAGGAGGCATGGAAGTCAGGGGCAATGACATTATTGACCGGAAGTTAAGTCAGGAAGCATGGATTGGTCTGAACCATCCGACCAGTACCTTACCTTCGATACTACCTAGGTACCTTAGGTGACTATGATTATCACTGTAATAGTAAGTCTCCGATTTCGATTCGGGAGGTCATAGCCTACGTCGGTTACCTGACCCTTGTCAACCTACGCTGTACAGTCTACACGTGGGCGTGGGCGTGGGCGTGGGCGTGAGGCGATCAATTATTCCTGTCATTGCAGTTTGCGCAATGGGATTCATTGCTATTATTCTGCGGAGTTTGGAGTAGTAGGTAGGGTACGTCGACCACAACGGCACAACCCCGTTTACCAGATCTGGTCATTATGGCCGGTCTGAGTCTTGTCTGTGTCTCTATATCCGAGGCTGTCTGGATATATATATATATATATATATATTTTGTCTTCCAATCATTGGCTTAGCAATCCTAGTATGTATCCTACCTTACTCATGTCTATGATCTATCATGCAATGATGCAACACCTAGATACTCCACCCTCGACTCAATATATATCCCATCTGCAAACCCGCCCCTCCGATTCCATTGTAAAACCCAACACGTCTCGACGGTTCGACACACACAGCATAGCCCATCCCAGCCACGCTACTCCGTACAAAGTACACAGACACAAGCAGAGTCCACTCCCAGGTTCGACCTCACCATCCAAAGTTCCAACAACCAACGATCCAACATCTATGAATAGCATCTACCTCCCGCTCCCCCCCCCGCTATCCAGGTCGTGCACAGCCCACACAGCCCACAAAACATACACCCCCAATATCTGAAACCCGTAACCCTGAAACGCCAACACCCAAAAACCAATCTAAGTTATAACAGATAAACAGACCCCAGCATGAGACGATGCGGTTCGCCCCGTTGCGGCGTGCCGCTGCAGAAATCCCCCAACCTAACCTTCCGTCCTCGACCAAACGAGTATAGGGGGGTCTAGACGTCGTGAAGATGATGACGGGAGATGGGATGGGGGATTTGGGGGTCTGACATCATCTCTTCTCTCTCTCTCTCTTTTCCTTCATGGTCGGTTGTACCTGAGCGTACCTGACCGCATTGGTCTAGCTAAGGTACTGTTGCGATAGGATTGGGGGCTGGTTGGTTCGATGCTGACGCTGACGCTGACGCATTTCGTTTCGTTCTTGGGGCTTATCATCGACAGTGACACGAACTGGCTTGGCTAGTAAGGTCCAGAGGTGCGAGATCGTCTGTTGGATGATATCATACGATCACATCACGTCCAGAGCGAACATCTCGAGCGGGAAACTGGGAAACCATGCCGTTTCCCCCTGTCTTGGCCCCCCAGTCTCCGAACGGACGAGATATCAGGCAAGCTTGCTTCGCTGATGAGCATAGGATGATACAGGAGCCTGTCTGCCTTGTAGACGCAAGCAGCGAAGGGGTCCAGCCATTCACATCTGATAACCTCCGGGGTCGAGACTCCAGTGGCCGATGGCGCTTTGTGCTTGTGCTTGTGCTTGTGCTTGTCAGCTACGAATTCCCTGCAGATATCTTTTATTTATCGATGCTCTCATAAACGCAGGGCGTGGATTTCAGATGTACTTTGCGTGCGGACGAGAGCATTAAGAACGGTCGGTTGTTTTCCTGTGATATGCGTGGAGTTTTGGTATGCTCGCATTGCACTTCGGGAATGCAGCATGTATACCACTGATATCTTTCGGTTGAGACAGGATGGTTGGCGTGTTCCTCATACCAGATGTACTTGTTACAGACTAGATGTGGGAGATATATTCTTGGCCACGAGTGGACTCTGAACAAGACATCGAGAGTTGTGGTTGCTGGTATACCTGAAGAGCCAAACAGGTACGAGAATCCTACCGAGATGCAATGATAAAATGTTTCAATCAATGGCTTAGTAGGAGTCATGTTTGCTGAACATGCTTGACTAAAACCAACAAGTTCATGATCTGTCTTGATGCCGTTCCTCAACGGAAGGACCTACCATACTGCATACCGACAGGCCAAACTGCTTAAAGCGTGAGATTGTCCAAGATCCTAAATCAACGAGTGGTATCCATATTCATTGCACACATTAACTGCAAGACCCGCTCAACCCCCCCTCTAGGTATCTGCCCTTCCAGCTATCCGCACATCCACCATGGAGAGACAACGAGGGAGTTGAGCAGGAGCTTGGAAAAAGCAAAAAAGTGACATCACAGAAAGGAAGTGTAATGAAAGAGATGCTTCAGCTCAAGATGAGGGGAAATCTTGGAGAGAAATAAGATGATTACAGAAAAAAGAAGGGGAAAAACGAATCTTCAATTGGCAATCGTCCCGTCAAACGCCCTTTTTCGAATAATACAAGTTCCCAACATTCCTCCAAGGACAATGTAGAAAGCCTATGGGCCGCCTCCGCGCACTTCCATCAGCAGCATCGCAGACAAGGACGGTTCAGTAGGCGACACTATGGATATCAGCTCCAGACGACGTAATATTCGAAAAAGGTCGATTATGGGGTTGGGTCCTCCGGTTCGTGTCACAAAAAAAATCATTTCGTCACAATCACAAGTTTCGGACAATTTTGGAGAGGCGCCGAAATGGCGGACAACTCGTCTGCCTGATTTTCGTCGAACCATACCATCAAGGTAGGCCTTTGAAAGGACGAGGGTAACAAGGTTGACAAACTTGTACCAATCGCCCGAGCCGCAATAATGATCAATCGAAAGGACATTTGAAGGAGGTCCAAGAAGGGATGAACGTTATTATAGGAGTTTTGAGGTGAACATAATCGCTGGGATTGATTCGATTTGGAGACCGATATGATACGGCCGGGCTCTTGTCACGGTATGTCGAATTAACGACGGTCGGGATTTGTCACCTGCAGTCATCTGGTCAGCCACCACCGTCTTTGGACTCGAGCCTTTGGGTTTTACCTGTAGGATCCGACGGGAGAAGTCGTGATCATCATCAATGCTACCGTTGCTTTGGCGTCTCTGAGCCATGAAGTCGCCGTCGAACCTCGAATCTGACATTGAATCTTGAGACATGGGCTTGCCAAAGCGCTCGGCATTGGCGTTGTATTGCGGTTGCGCATTGGAGCGTTTTCTGAAGCGCCAGAGAAAGAAGCCAGCACCAACCAGGGAGCAGAATCCAACAACGCCGACAACAACACCAGCGGCAATAGCAGCAGTGTTGGGGCCGCCGTCCGACTGCTTCTTCTCCGGGTCGGCGGAAATGGTCGTGCCAGCCTGATTGGCTGGCGATGTCACGAATACTGTCTGCTCACCTGCTGTAACGATTTGACCCTGGCTACCAGTGGTCATGGTCGACCCTTCGATGGTTGTCGATGTCGAGCTCGAGTTGGTGCTTTCGGGAGCACTGGAGTAGTACGGGACCTTGGCGCTGATTCCGGTCAAGTAGACGGAAAATGCATTAGCACCGCCACCTAGGAGAGCATCGTCAGCATCAAACTTTGAGATCCACGAAGATTACGAGTGAGGGAAAACATACACATGACATCAGGCCAACCGGCACACTTGACATTGCATTTGTCATCCGTCGTCTCAGCCGACTGTGCAGGGAGCTGGTTTCCACAGAGGCAGTTCGATCCCTTCGTCAGCGCAAAGACAAGATAGTTGCTCTTCACACAGAGCGTTTGACAGTACCCGTTACTCTGGTATGTGTATGGGCCTTGGTCTTCCAATGGCGTGGCATCGCTGAAACACCCTTCTTTTACCATTGTAGGATCGGCTTTGACGGATGGGAAAACAGCGGCGAGGAGCAACGCCGAGGTTGTAAGCGCTGAGCGCAATGTAAACGACTTCATTGTGATGGTTATATGTGATGAATCTGAGAGAGAATAGTGACCGAGCACTGCCTCAGATCTTGGATGGTGGTGTTGTTATTGTCGAACGAGAGATAAGGGACGACCGGCGTAACCCTGCAACAAGTAATCTCGTGACTTGTCTTTCAAATTTCGATTCCCCTATGTCCTTTCCAAGGTCGAACGGCAGGGAGCGCCCTTAGAATTCGATTCACAAATAGGTGAACAGTTGGATCTGAGGAAGGCGATGAACTTTAGGCTTCAGGCGTAATATGTGAGAGAAGAATGACGACGAATGAGGCCTGGACGAGGCCAACGATGAAGTGAGGACAGTGAGAAGGATGTAAAGCGAGTGGTGAGCCTTTTGGCGATGATGGTTTCTGATGGCGAAGAGTTTTTGAGGTTGGGTGTTTCACAAAGCCCCCTTTTGCCGGGAAAGTGGAATGAGCGAGATGAGGACGGGAGGAAGTGTGACCACTCAGGCAACCAAACCCTCCACGACGAAAACCCGCGAACTAGCGGAGGGGGGGGGGGGGGGTTAATAGAAAAGAAGTATGGGGGAGGGAGGAAGGCGAAAGAATTATGGGTAAGAAAGCTGATGCAGTATTGATATGAAGTCAAACCCCTCCCAATAATGAATGTAGATTAGCGAGGGACTGGTATTGAACGGAGGATAGATTGATAGTCAGAAGGAGAGAATAATAAGAGAGAGATGGAAGAAAGAGAGGGATAGACTACTAGAGAGACTGAGAGAAAGAGGAAGAGGGCGATTGAAGGGACTTCTGGGAGGGATGCACTAAGGAGGACTCACTAAAGGTATTGATTTGATGATTATTACCTTATTGATTGGGCCTAAGCGATAATAATCTCCAGGAATTACAGTAGTGTGTGTCGCTCATACCAGCAGTACACGGGCGTACAAGGTACCTTACTTTAGGTACGAGGCGGGTGTCAACAAAGCGGTAAATTACTACCTATGACTGTTCCATTCACTTTGCTCAGGTAAGGTACGTGGTAGCTTCCATCAATCATAAACTACCTACCTACCTACTTTGGTAGAGAGATCACTGCTGTGCATGGTAACTTTTCTACGCCTCGGGCATCTTCCAATAATAGAGCATCAGCACGAGAAGGAGACACGGTACGCACTTTGCTGTTTCTTGAGCGGGCGGTTTCCAAACGGGTCCTGACCCTGGTTTGCCTGGGAGTGGTAATTTTTACATCCCGCGTAATGCGCTCCACTCACCCTTCTGTTCCAATGAAGCGAGCTCAATCTGGCTTATATAAGATATCTCCCGTGCTGGTGGTCAGGGGCAAAGCAGTTCATTTCCGTATCTTGCATGTCTGACTGGGAAAAGGGCGCTGTTGCTGGCATCAACTAACCCCGATATGATAAGAGTATGCATTGGACTCGTAATTTTGTGTTGGTTTCTTACGGAATAATTCAACATACCTTACCTAGTGACAGTCGGGTATTTCCAGCCAGATTTCATGTAAAGAGGAGCCGATCCGTGGATGAATCGGAGCTCTCGAATAGAGACAGAGACAGTATCATCAAGTATCGAGATGGAAGGTCAAGAATACATCCACCCGACAAGATACCTAGGTACCTAGATGGAATGGATATATACAAAGAGGTTGCATTTTTATTCTTCTGAAGCTGTGCAGCATTCAAGCATGGCAAGAGTGCTGCTCTTCCTGTGAGCCATGCCGACCGTATCCATAAATAGGAACCCTCCCTCTGTGGCTTACAAGGGTCAACAGGCTAGAAGGGCTTTGGGCCTCTGACATTGGAACATGACCAGACAGGACAAACAACCCGATGAAAGAGATCATTTAGCATTAAGCAACCATCTTAGTCCCTAGTCACACAACTCACATCCATGCAGAGATCAGATCATGTAGTATATATACAAGCATGTCTTGCACGAGCATTGGTAACTTAGTATCAGTCACAATCAATTTTCCATCTCCCATGGTTTGGATTGTTGCAGAATCTTTGGCTCTGAAAGAGACAGACCAAGTATCAAGTCTCGAGAGCGCTTTCTGCAGACTTGGTTTGAATTCACATCTGTTTGTTTTTACTCGGAGTAAAAACTGTACGTACTTATTCCTCTGGTATATCTGACTCTATGGACTGTCTACCTACACAAGCAACTTCATTTCCCATCAGCATCTTTATTCTCTTCAGTTGTGATTTGTGTCTCTGTCAAGACCAGCAGCCACACCAATTGTAAGCGCGCCTCAAATTCCATACGGGGCGTTCTCCATGCCTTTTCCAGTTAAGCGCCAGTGTTGAAAACCTCAATAACACACAGACCCATGATGTTTGATTTCCTCATCCGTCCGCTCCGGCGGCGCGGAGAACACATGTTTCACGCTACTCCAGATACCCCAAGAAATCTCCTAAGCTTGATGCTTTGGAATTCCACCAAATGATACACAGAATACCCTATCATAAACCACCATGATGCTGAGCAGAAAAAGCTCACCTCACAGGATGATATCCCTCCCACCAGGAGCATTTGCCGGACGTCCATGGATTCCCCACGGCCACTCCCGGAGTTGGGTGGGTCTAAGCCCCTTCGTGACCTCTGCAGGTTAATGCGGATCGTCGGAACCCGTAAAGGAAATGTAAGGATCGACCTCTGATGTGTCACGGCAACGGCGGTACGGGGTACTGGTATCTAACATCGCTGGAGGTCCGATACAATTAATAAAACAACAGTACTGACGGAGTCATGGAGTAGACAGATAGATACATATTTTGTTGTTATTATTATTGTTGTTGTTGTTCTTCACGCCGCATAGAGAGATCGACATAGACCAGCAGACAGAACAGTCGCTATGACAGAGGCCAATTTCCTGTGAAAAAATGATCGAATCAGATCAACCAGATCATCGGAAAGACGACATGAAATGCACCTGCTTCGCCACTTACATCGTCGAACTTTGTGTCTCGACTCTGTGACAACAAAGAAGACACGGCGCTTGTGGCATGCAGCAAATACGTAGGCCGAGTAAAAGCAAAAAACGCATCAATTTTGCCACCGAAACAATGAAGCTCGCAGTCAGGCGGTTCGTCAAAGGTTGACGCTCGACTACGATAATCAACGAATCTACGACGGCGCCCCATATCACCAGTGATCGTGTCCTTCCAGCACATGCGCGCCTGCTATCGCGTTCCATCTGCATCACCACGAGAAAGATAAATATATAGTCTGACAGCATCTTCCATCAGCAGAATAATAATGATCATATTCGTCACATAGAAAGCATGTGGACGTGTCTTGGAGAATGCAGAACAGCGGGATTCTATGCTTCTCTACGCCAAGGAGTCGTTCTAGAAGCATGCTGGTCAGCCTTAATTGATTATTACGTCCTGAGGATCCTGACTTCTGAATCAGTATGTGAATCGCAATCTCCAGCGACACAGCCAGAATCTGCTGCCGCTGCGAAAAAAAAAAAAAAAAAAAAAAAAAAAAAAAACCAGGAAGCGAACGATCAATGCGCCCTTGCTGGATGTCAGAGCTGCTTACATACGTATTGTTGCAGACTTGGCACAGTCTGAATCATTCCAGTTGTTGTCTATCAGTCATAATCAGTACGGCGCATGATTTTGTGCAATGCAATGATCATTGGAGATATTATTGCTCAAACTGATGCTGAAGTTGCTCTAGGTTCAAGATAGAACCAGGATCTCTCCGCTCTCCCATCACTCATTTGTATCATATAGATAAGTACTCTGTATGATTGACCCAATATCCCCGGTCTTCTCCCCCTTTCAGTAGTCGATTTCACCCTTTTCAAGACCGGCGATTGAGAATTCCGATAAAGTCCAGAAACCGGAGGTGGAAAAAAATCGTTAAATTATACATACCTCAGCCAGGTCTAGAACGTACACAAGTGACCCACCGGACAGCAACTGAACAGTCTGTCAACGGAGTATGTCATCTCGTGTCTACTGTAGGGTCCTCAAAAAGTTGAAAAAAAACAACATTTTCTTTCTTTTAGAATTTTCTAATGTTTTTTTTTCTTTCCAGCAGTTAAACCTCCTAATCTAGTAATAATACTAAGACTTTTTTAACTAATTAGAGCCCCTAAATTTTACTACCCTATAGAATTAGACTAATTAGAATTAGTAGCTAGTAGGTGCCTTATTACCTAGGAAAGCTATATATATACTCTAAGAAATAATAGTGGATTTTATCTAATAATATTAAAATATATATCTTTATATATAAGAAATTATTAACTTCTACTACTTACTACTACCATCACCATGGGAAATTCATCTTCTGGGTAATAGAATAAAAATTTAGCTGAATTTATAGCTATTTATAATCTTTACTAATTAAAAGAAGTAGGCTTCTATATAAATTTATATATAAAATTACTTAGAATATTTATAGATACTTATCTCCTAGATTCTATATACCTACTACACCTACTATTCTAATTTTAATTAAAATTTTAATATGACCTGCCTAACTGCCTATATATCTTAATATATTAGATTATAAGAAGCATAGCATTAAAAGAAGATAAATAAGAATATAAATTATTAAATAAGTATCTTTAACTATTAAAAAGTATTAGCTTCTAAGATTAATTAATAATTAGGGATAGCTATCTTCTATAATGCCTACCCCTTTTATATATTTTTAATACTAGGAATAATATTATTTCTCTAAGTATTAAATCTAAAATACTCCCCTCCTTTACCTAAGATTATAACCACTACTATACTAGATTTATACTATAGCTTTATCTAGATAAAGCTATTCTAGTAGCTTTAAATTATATAGTATCTAAATCTTATATATAATAAATTAATAAATATTTATAGAGAAAGAATTATAAGCCTTAATATTAATTTATATAGATCTAGCTACTTTCTTCTAGCAGAAGATATATTAGATTAAAGCTTAACTACCTATATAATTTCTATATAGATTAAAGATTAGGTTAAAAAGCTCCTTACTAAGCTAAATAATAGATAAAAGATATAAAAATTTATTAATTCTCTCTCTATAGATATCTCTTTCATAATAAAAAAAGTATAGGTAATTCTATAAGCTAAGCTAGTATTTAAGAAGATATTTATAATTCCCTATAATTCTTATAGGCTTTAGCTAGTGATTAAAGATCTATTAAATCTTCTATCTATTAGTAGGCTCTTTAAATTAGCATCTTTAATTATAAGGTATTTTAAGAAATTACCTCTAGATTAGGTAATCCTTTAGTAAATACAGAATTAGTAGTTAGATTCTATATTAGATTCTATATTAAATTCTATATTAAATTCTATATTATATTTACTTATTACAGCTATAGTAACTTACTAGGGATCTTAGTATAAGATGCTTTAGTTAGTAATATAGAATTAGGAAGCTTTAAAGACCTTTATTAAGAGAGATAGAGATAATATTAGAAAGATCTCTAAGATTCTCTATTAGTTAGACTTCTAGGATAGTCTTTCTAATCTTCTTAGTATGCTTAAGCTATTAGATAAAGTAGTAAGAAGCTTAGAATCTTAGAAGTATAATCTTATACTAGTAAGTATCTTATCTACTTTATCTATATCTTTTACTAAGAAATTAGATAATATAGTAATAGCTAGATATCTAAGAACACCTATCTAGTAAAAGTAGAACTTTTATCTTTTATAATAATATACTCTTATATATCTAGCCTCTAGTAGATTATAAAGATTTAGAGAGCTAGTAAATAAAGTACTTTAACTACTAGCTTAACTACTATCTATACCCTAAGACCTTAAAGGTATAGCTTCTACCATATCTTATTACTAATTTATAGAATATAATCTATGAGTATAGTAGTAAGGAAGCTATAAAATAATTTAGATTTTTTTAGAATAAAGAAAGAGTATTCTTTAATATTAAATATTAGAAGAAGAAAGATCCTAATTAATTCTAGCTTATAGTAGTAAGATTCTAGATTTACTAAGAAAATATATATAGAATACTAACTTCCTTACTCTTTAGAAAGATATTACTCCTAAAATTAGTATCCTAGCCCTCTATCTCTACTATATAATTATAAATTCTATTACCTCTAAATAAAGCTTCTTAATCATAAATCTACAGCATATAAAGATATAGAATTAGATAAAAACTAAGTAAGTAAATTAAGTAATATTTATCTATATAAATATCTAGAGTCTTTAGCTTAGAGACTACTCCCTATCTACTAGCCTATATAAAGGCCTAGAAGATAGAGATAAGGAGCTTATATAGCAGGGAGTAATTATACTTAATAATATAGAGTATACCCTAAGCTAGGCTACTAGTAAGATAGCCAGCACTAGTAAGGTAGCTAGTACTAGTAAGGTAGCTGGCACTAGTAAACCCCCTAGTAGTAGTAAGATCCCTAGTAGTAGTAAGGCTAGTAAGTAGGTAAAATCTAATTAGATTTTAGGGAAGTAAGTATAGGAAGAATAATTATTTTTTTAATAGAATTAAAATTTTTATGGAGGATGTACAGTATGGACTTCTATATTAGGGATAATTTTATATTTTACTAGTAAAATATATGGGCAGTAAGAATCAGCAGGAGATATTTTACTAGTATATAAATTTCCTCTAGAAAAAAAATATTTTTCTTTCTGAAAAGATGTTTTTTTTTCCAGAAATTTCAGAAAAATGGAAAGAAAATATGATTCCCTAGTCTACTGTCTTCTCACTTTTCTCTTGAGTTGTCTCCGACCATCCCATCCCACGCAGAAGGAAAAATTGGCGAGTATTGGGTAACGTGACCCGGTGCCTACTTTTGTTTGTGGCTTGTTGCCTGGCCAGCAGCCTCACTTGGTCACTTCAAAGCTCTGTACGTCAGATGATCAATTCGAGAAATGAGCTTCTCCTTGGAACAATGAAGAGAAACCCGGCATCGGATCGCTTGATGGATCTTAGACTACTCGCTCAGTCCGAAGAACGGAGAACTTTGCGCTGGTTCTCGGTCGTAGTTTGGGGAAATGACAGAGTATAGATAGATAGGTAGGTAGGTACGGTTAGCTGCTGGCTAAGCTGTTGCTCGTTCCGAAACGTCCTAAGGGATTCTTGAACATGTAGGTAAAAAAGTAGTTCCCTAGGCTCCTGGATATATATTTATGTAGAAAGATATAGGAATACTGTGGTGTTGATAGCTTATTATTGCTGTTGGGCACAACAATTATCATTGCACGTGCTTCTATATATATTTGCTAGCGGAGAGGTACTCAGAGCTCTTTGCCAACAAATTAAATTTCTTGATGGGCTTCAAGGTCAAAACCCAGCGTAAAATCGACGAGTCTACAATCTATAAAAGAAGCTAAATGCAGATGCTAGGTCAATTCCAAATCAACTTTTTTCAAAACTGTATTCAACAAGATCCCCATATCCTCTCCGATATATATGTTCGTAGAAGTTTCTTCTATCGTCGAAGTTGCAAAACCATGCAGGCACTCGTCTGTACAAACAACCAAGGCTCTAAGGCTTGGGGATCTTTATCGACTTGCTGACCATCATGCAGCCGTGCAGCACGAATAGGAGGACGACCGGGTGGAACTCAAGGGGGGTACCCTTGGCAACCACTCCGAGAGGCAGATCCTCAAGAATCCAACCCTGAGAGACCCAATACGCCATGAGAGAGGCAATCGACAGCGTCGTGGGAATTGGCGTGCCCTCAAAATACTTTGACTTGCCCGTCTTGTCCTTTGGCAGGACAGCAACGGTAACGTTGAATCGGGCCAATCGGGTCAGACCGCAGAGCACGAAGAACGCCAGGAGGAGATGGTCAATGAAGGTGCGGACTCCGAGAGCGAATGCGCAGGCGGCAGGGGCCATGCCGAAAGAGATCTGTATCAAAGTTGAGCAGGTCTGCTACATCCGAGGTCACTCCTCATGGCGTCAAAAATCCTACCAAGTCTGCTAAAGAGTCAAGCTCTTGCCCCATGAGAGACGACTTCTCCCTCCATCTCGCGATCTTGCCATCCATGAAATCGAAGAATAGTCCAAAAGGCATGAAACCCAGGGCAGCCCAGAGAGCACCGTGTTCGTTTGGATCTCCTAGACAGTAACGCATCGACGAAAGGACGGACATAACTGTTTGGACCAGTATCAGTAACGGGTCGGCGAATTCGGCGAATCTGTTAGTGAACTATCTTACTTCCACAGAAACCTATTGAATACGTTAGCGCCTTTCCAAAGAGCCAGAAAATACTGATCTAGACATACCATTGAGCTCAGTGACCAGATCCGCAAGATGCAAGGCCCTATCGAAACTCGTCAGTTTTCATCCTGAAATCCAGAGTCTCGCACAGACTGACTTGACCAAGCTGAAGTGACCGGTTTCTGACGAAAGAAGCATTTTTTGCTTCTCCTGGCCTGATATGCCATGTTAGTATAGTCTTCTTCACAGCGTGATTTCTGCTAGGTCAAGACACACCTCCGTCGCCCGAAGCTGCGACACCGCTATTTGGCGATTGATTTGGCATGGTTGATGGTCGGCGGGACATGTCAACCTATTCTCAACAAGTAGAAACAATATATGAGAGGAGAAAAAGATTCTAATATAGGGTTCAAAAGCAATTCGACGACCGTTGGTAGAGAAGTTGGAGGATCAAAGGCCGAGGATTCCAAGTGTTGACAAAACGCACAGATTCTCCCGTTCGGTGGGCGTACGGCAGACCAGACGTCATTTGAAAGGCGGTGCGCAGAAGCTGCGCCACATTCTCCAGCCACCTTTTTATTTTTTTTTATTTTTTATTCTATTTTGGCTGGCAATGGGAAAAATTCCCCAGGTTATAAATCAAAGGAGCAAGTTGACACTATTGATGTACTACGATTGAAGGTGTACAAAAAGAAACTATTAAGTAAACAAATCTCAAGTTAGGCTGTATCCATCTTACAACCGTGTGGACACTGAAGCAGCAAACTTTCATATGCATAATGAATATCTCGACAAAAAGGTTCCTGCAAGAGCTCCCGTTTTCCCATAACGCCGTAATAAGACAGTACTAGGCAAGACAGAAACTGTCTATCGTCGGAAGCCTCCACGGGGGCCTCCTCTTCCGCCACCTCTGCTTCCACCACGGAAGCCTCCACCGCCGAAGCCTCCACCGCCGAAGCCACCTCCTCTGGGTCCTCCGCGACCTCTCGACATGCCGCCGCGGCCACGAGGGGGACCACCACGTCCACCTCTCATGGCTCCACGGGCACCACCTCTGCCGCCAATCGTCTTTCTGGGTTTCGCGCCTGCAACAGATTAGATTGAGCAAGAAAGAAGCGGACGCGTCTGATTGCCTACCTGCTGGAGCCTTGGGCTTGGGGAGGAACCTAAGTTGCGTTGTTAGCAGCATATCCAAGATTCTCTACCGAAGCGAAAACGTACTTCTCAAGAGGGAGGAGCTTGTCTCCTCCAATGTAAACCTTGTCACCGGCCTTGAAGGAAGTTGCGACAATGCCCTCCTGGGGCTTGACGGTGAAGTAGACCTGGTTGATGGGTCCAAGAACCTCGTCGACCTTGCCGATAGGAGTCTGGAAAATGTATTAGTCGCAAACGTCGTTGTAATGGGTGTGATGTCGGTCGCGCCGTACTTTGTTCTCGAGATAGATAGGGGCGTTGAAGTAAGGAATCTTAGGATTCACGGATTCGCAAACCATCTCGCCTTCGCAAGCATGCATGACAGTTCCCATCTCTGAAGAAAAATTAGTCGACCGTTAATCACACCATCGCGTTCATCCATAATAGTTACCCAGAACCTGTGCTGGGGGTCCGGTTGGGGCTGAGAATCCTCCGCGACCTGTCCGACGAAAAATTTCGTTAGCCCAAATAACCTCAACTTCCAGACTGCGAGACAATTCCAACTCACCACCACGTCCACCGAAACTTCCTCCACGGTTGGCGCCTGTGGCAAAGCCACCACGACCTCCTCCACGATAAGACATTTTGATTCTGATGTTACGATCGGATCGACCTGTATGGAGTTCGGAGTCCGGAGAAGTTTTCAAGTGGTGGGAGCCTCGAAACGGTAAAGTGTCGCTAGCCGCCAGGGCAGTTTTCCGTCACGTGGCTCACCGCCTTCCCTCCCCTCACTGTAGAAATGAATGACTCTTTATGGATACGCCGAAGAGTCATCTCTCAGGATCCTCCCCTATTTAGTCTCTACGTCTCCCAAGCTGCTGGTCGAACATTCTGGGATACAAACATGGCTTCCGAAAGTTCGAAAGAATTGCCCGTGAGGCCCGCCGCCGAGGCCCAGGGCGCCAATGCCTCTGCTGAGTCTGCGAAAGCCCCGCCAAAGGCTGCCAAAGCCCAAGCCGCCCCGAATACCGACTCTCTCCCCGATTTCATGGTCGAACGAAACAAGCTCTTCGAAGAATTGTGGCAGCAGTATAATGAAGAGTTGAAGAACAAGCCTCACCCGGAGATCAACGTCACCCTTGATCTGGGCAATGGAAGCCCCTCCCCTGTCCCCGCCAAAGCCTGGGAGACCACCCCCGGATCGTTCCTGAGGGATGTTCCCAAGGACATCAGCGCCAATGTCGTCCTTGCGAAGATTGATGGGAAGGAGCTGTGGGATCTGAACCGCCCCCTCGAACGCGACTGCAGTGTATCCTTCGTGCCTTTTGACAGCCTCGAGGGTCGCGAAGTTTTCTGGCATTCCAGTGCGCATTGCTTGGGTGAGGCCTGCGAGTGCGAATACGGATGTCTTCTCTCACACGGACCTCCTACCCCTCAGGGTTTCTTCTACGATATGGCCATGCCTGAAAAGTGAGTGTTGCACTTGTTCATAAGCCCTACGTCTTGCGATTGTTGTACAGGTCTGACAGTTAATGATAGTCGTGTGGTCAAGGAGAGTGACTGGCCCGCCTTGGACAGCAGAGCGTCCCGGATATTCAAGGAGAAGCAGAGCTTCGACCGACTGGAGGTCACGAAGGAGAATCTCAAGAAGATGTTCGCTTACAGCAAATATAAGCTGCATTACATTGACAAACTTGTGACTGGAGAAAAGAGCACGGTATACAGATGTGGTAGTCTGGTCGATCTCTGCAGAGGTCCTCACATCCAGAACACCGGAAAGATCAAGACCTTCAAGATCATGCAGGTACGGCGCATAGCTTGCGAGCGAACATTGAGCCCATGCTGACGTTACCACAGAACTCCTCTGCATACTTCCTTGGTGACCAGTCTAACGACTCTTTGCAACGTATTCGTGGTGTTGCTTTCCCCGATAAGAAGCAGATGTCAGAGCACCTGAAGTTCCTGGAAGAGGCCGAGAAGCGCAATCACTTGAGAATCGGCAAGGACCAGGAGCTTTTTTTCTTTGACGAGGTTTCTCCTGGTTGTCCTTTCCTTCTTCCCAATGGAACCAAGATTTTCAATGCTCTCCAGGCTCTCCTGCGCTCCGAATACCGGAAGCGGGGCTACCAGGAAGTCCAGACGCCCAACATGTACGATGTCGGTGTCTGGAAGACCTCCGGCCACTGGGCGCATTACAAGGATGACATGTTCAAGCTTGATGTTGAGAAGAGAGAGTGGGCTCTCAAGCCCATGAACTGCCCTGGTCATTTCGTGCTTTTCGGCCACCGCGAGAGAAGTTATCGTGAACTTCCCCTGAGAATTGCGGACTTCGGTGTCTTGCACAGAAATGAGGCATCAGGTGCGCTGAGTGGACTCACCCGTGTTCGGAAGTTCCAGCAGGATGATACCCACATCTTCTGTACCCAGGATCAGGTGAGTAGCGAGTGTGAACATTTTCGTCATCGTACAACTGGCTAAAAAAACTATTCAGATCTCCTCTGAAATCGAGGGTCTCTTCGATTTCCTCCAGTCTATCTATGGACTGTTCGGTTTCACTTTCAAGCTGAAGCTTTCTACTCGCCCGGAGAAGTATCTTGGTGATCTCGATACCTGGAACTACGCCGAAGAGCAACTCAAGTCGGCGATGACCAAGTTCAAGGGTGCTGACTGGACCATTGACGAGGGCGATGGTGCCTTCTACGGCCCTAAGATTGACATCACCATTGCTGATGCTCTCAAGAGAGAGTTCCAGTGTGCTACGATCCAGCTTGACTACCAGGCACCCATCAACTTCAAGCTTGAGTACATGACCAACGAGAAGGGCCAGGCTGTCATGGAAGAATCCAAGAAAGAAGGCGAGACGAAGTCCAACGAGCCCGGCCCCGGTCGCGCTCGCCCCGTTGTCATCCACAGAGCTATTATTGGTAGCTTTGAGCGATTCCTGGGTATTTTGATCGAGCACTTCGGCGGCAAGTGGCCATTCTGGATCAGCCCTCGTCAGATTCTCATCGTCCCCGTCATGCCTGCTGTGAACGACTACGTCGAGGAACTGCAGCAGATCCTGCGTGGGGATAAGCTTAACGTGGATATTGACATCAGTGGTAACACCATGCAGAAGAAGATCCGTACTGGACAGCTGGCACAGTACAACTTCATCTTCGGTACGTCTGGTTTATTAAAACTACCTCCCCAGCTGTATGATACTCATGATTCTAACTTGATATAGTTGTTGGTGCCCAAGAGAAGGAGTCTCGCTCGGTCAACATCCGTAACCGTGACGACCCTGCTACCCAGAACAAGGGTGTCATGGTTCCTCTCGAGGAGGCACGCGAGAAGCTCCGTATCCTGAGAAAGGAGCGCAAACTGGTGAACTCTCTGTAGAGGGACAGAAAACTGGTTCCTCTAGCTTCTGTCTGGTTGTGCTCCAATCCGCATGCCGCTATTGCACGGCCTGCGAGATCATCAAGAAACGTATGACTTATGTAGGCATTGATGTTGAATTCAATATAAAGGAGAAAAAAAAAAACAAAATAGATTTGGAGTATTTAGCGATGCGACCATGAAGAGACCTTGAATATAGAAGATGTATCCTTGGGAACAATGGCATTGACATTGATATGCGTCTTCTGCGTGACTTGGGCCTGGTCCAGCGATCCAGCAACCCAGTAGTAAGATTATTGGTCCCACCATTGTATGTAGTTAGTGGACCACCAACGGTCTTTCCAGGCCCCTGAGACCAAAGGAAAGATTACGAATCTCGATAAGAATCGGCCATCGTTTACTTCCAGGTTTCATTTTGCCAAGATAGGCACATTTTTTCGGATCTGTGGGTTTGGATGGGGACGAGACTCATCCGCCTCCCTTCACATACCCGTAAGAAGGGGAGATGCAGGAGTTTCCTGCACTCATTCTGCTGCAAGAGCTGCCAACAGACGATCATTTTTTTTTATTCCATTCCCACAGTCATGCTTGAACCACCATGCAGCGACTTCATCATTCGTTGCTCCAGTTGCGACATAAATCCCCATTGAAATTCTTCTTTCTGACTGCTGCTTTCATCCTCGTGTGCACATCTCTCCTGTTCTATTCGAGACCTGGCGATGCCACTTCTTCCTCAAACGATGACCTCGTTCACCCTCTCCCTTCCAACAGCAACAGTACCGACAGCAAGGATACTTGCTATGTTGATATCGACGCCCTGAGATCATACGGGTACAATTCATCCGCCCAATACGCTCGACTCGAGATTGCCGTCGAACGAACAGCGAACTTCTCGGGATTCTCCGATACCCTCGATGCCCGCTTCCCCAAATACCAGTCTGTTCGTCTGGATCAAGTCGCCCATCGGGAACCGTTGCCGCAGAGAGTATGCTCTCCTGCGGTGACCATCCAGGCCCCGCTGCCGGTTGCACCCCCCAACGCGTCCCACATCCTCTTCGGCGTTGCCACGACCCTGGATCGATTGGAGGAGTCCCTGGATGCGTTTGCGCACTGGGCGGCCGGTACCGAGACCCGGATCTATGCCTTGGTGGAGGAGGAAGTTTTGTCGTCGGTACAGAGGGTCCAGCGACTGGCGGAGGCAAAGGATATCCGTCTGGTCATCATTGATCGGGCAGATGAACGGCTCGATCGGTACTTCTATCTACTCCGCGTCCTACTCAAGTACCGCGACGCATCGACGCAATGGGCCGTCCTGATCGACGATGATACCTTTTTCCCGTCGATGAAGAACCTGGTGGATCGGCTCGCAACATACGACGCGAGCAAACCACAGTACATCGGAGCTCTGACGGAGGATCTCGCGCAGATGTTTAGTTGGAGCTTCATGGCGTACGGAGGGGCTGGGATCTTTCTCTCGATGCCAATTCTTGAGCAGCTCGACAAGGTCTATGACGAGTGCAATGCCTTCAAAACCACCGGAGATCGTCGGGTCGCCATGTGTATCTACGAGCACACGACCACGAAGCTCACGTGGGACCGTGATCTGTACCAGCTGGATCTCCGCGGCGACGCATCTGGCTTCTACGAGTCTGGCCGCCCGCTGCCGCTCTCGGTGCATCACTGGAAATCGTGGTTCCAGGCCGACATGGTTGGTCTGGGCCAGGTGGCGGCCATCTGCGGCGACTCCTGCCAGCTCCATCGGTGGCGGTTGAAGGACCACTGGTTTCTCGTGAACGGCTTCTCGATGGTCCGGTATACTTCGCCGGATCCATCCGACTTGATGGAAAAGACCTGGGAGGATAGCAAATACCGCGGCGGCGATGGCTTCGCATTCAGCCTTGGTCCCTTCCGAGGGAAGGACGAAGGCAAGGTATCCTTTCGCCTGCGCAGCGCATGGCAGCAGGCAGGGACTGTGCGACAGATCTATGTTCATGATCTGGGGCCTGAGAAGCCTCCGGAGGTGCTGGAGGTGGTGTGGAAACCTGCGTCTGCGTGACCTTGCTATTGTCTGAATCAAGCTTTTATGGGATTTTAATAATATCGACAGCTGCCGACATACATACTTATAGGATAGACGAATCCTTGAGCTTCAGACGCTCAAGTTGTGGAACCTTGACAGGACTCATGTTCCGGCCGCTGGTCGTCTGTGTAGATAGTTCTGGGCTTGTGGGGGGATAGGATAGTAAAGAAACACTGAGCCTCTGGCAAAAACACACACACACACACACACACACAATCCATCTATCTATCTGAATCTCAATCTGCGGATTGAAATGAGAGGAGCAGATTACCACGGCTAAGCTTCTCCGGACCAACAGGTGAGGATGCTTGCGAATTCCCACCAGAGAATAAGCAGTTGCTGCCCCTCTTGTCTCGATCTGGCCTCAGGCTGTCAGGCTCTCTTTGTTCCGGAGATTGATTTCTTTGGCGCTCTTCTTTCTCACGGTTTCTTTAATGGATTGATATCGATACTCCGTGTATATCTCTTCGATCAAATTGTATATCCCCATTCCCATCTCCACTCCAATTCTGGCTTGATCCCAGCCCAGCCAGTCGAGTGCGGCGGAGTATCTGTGATTGTTGACTTGATGCACGTCCCGGCGCTATTCAGCCAGTCAGTCAGTTCCCATCACATCCTTAGACTCTAAGATTGCGCAGCTTCACCTCAATCAATCACTTTCTTTCTCCTTTTTTTTTTCTTCCCCCCCCCCCTCCTCCTCATCTTTTCGTTTCTTTTCTTTTCTTTATATTCCTCGCCCCCTCGACTTTTCCAGCTTTCCCTCTTTTTGTTCCACCTTTGCTCCCACCGATCGTTCGTCTTGTTCGGTGCCTGCGGCTGCGCTTTGTATTGCGGGGCTCTCTCTCCGACTAAACTACTGGCAGCTGCCATTCCACCACCGTTGTCTCAGTCGTATCGGATCTCTTTCCTCTTCGGAAAAGCCTTCAGAGCGATCTAAAGCTCGTTGAATTTTTCTCTTCCGGAGGAGAATCATTCGACCTCGTCCCTCGTTGACGCAGCAGCATCGCCATTCGAAAGCCTCCGCGTGGCCTCATACGACATTCGCTCACTTCTTGTTTCCCCGCCCCTCTCGCCCCCGGCATTGTTCTCAATCGATCCGCCGGAAACCCCGTCAGGTCTTGAATCATGTCTGATATACACGGCCGCAAGGTCTTCAAGGTCTTCAACCAGGACTTTGTCGTTGATGAACGCTACAATGTGACCAAGGAACTGGGCCAGGGTGCATACGGTATTGTCTGGTAGGTCTGCGTCCGAATACAAGCCACGCGACCGTTGTGTTTTCCACCCGGGGGTTCTCTTGAGCGTCTGTCGCTTCCTCAAGACTGTTGTACACAATTCCGGTTGGATGGACATGATCGGGTGTCTTTGGAAATCCGTCAATGATTGAGTGCTGACGACCGTTCATGTTGATAGTGCTGCCACAAACGTTCAGACAGGCGAAGGCGTCGCTATCAAGAAGGTGACCAATGTCTTCAGCAAGAAGATCCTAGCCAAGCGCGCCTTGAGAGAGATCAAGCTCCTCCAGCACTTCCGAGGCCACCGCAACGTATGTCAATCGCTGTAGCGACCTTTTGAATAAGGGCCGACGGGGCTGATCGATGGTTGCAGATCACTTGTCTATATGACATGGACATTCCACGACCGGACAATTTCAATGAGACCTATCTCTATGAGGGTGGGTTGTCTCTTAACCCTTCGTGATATCTCGGACAACTGCTGACTCGACCCGAAATGCAGAGTTGATGGAATGCGATCTGGCTGCGATCATCCGTTCGGGCCAGCCCCTGACCGACGCTCATTTCCAGTCCTTCATCTACCAGATCCTGTGCGGTCTCAAGTATATCCATTCCGCCAATGTCTTGCATCGAGACTTGAAACCCGGTAACCTGCTGGTCAATGCGGATTGCGAGCTTAAGATTTGTGATTTCGGCCTGGCCCGTGGTTTCTCGATCGATCCCGAGGAGAATGCAGGCTACATGACCGAGTATGTCGCGACACGTTGGTACCGTGCCCCTGAGATCATGTTGAGCTTCCAGAGCTACACCAAAGCCAGTATGTTCCATTCCCTTGAGCCTTCCCACCCTTGTTAGATCTCTGTGCTAACTTTTGCTGCAGTCGATGTGTGGTCCGTGGGGTGCATCCTGGCAGAGCTGCTCGGTGGCCGGCCCTTCTTCAAGGGCCGAGACTACGTCGACCAGCTCAACCAGATCCTGCACTATCTGGGTACTCCGAACGAGGAGACGCTCAGCCGTATCGGCTCTCCTCGGGCCCAGGAGTATGTGCGCAACCTGCCTTTCATGCCCAAGGTCCCCTTCCAGCGCCTGTTCCCCAACGCCAACCCCGACGCCCTTGACCTGCTCGATCGCATGCTGGCCTTCGATCCGGCGTCGCGGATCTCCGTCGAGGAGGCGCTGGAACACCCGTACCTGCACATCTGGCACGACGCCTCGGACGAGCCCACCTGCCCGACGACGTTCGACTTCCACTTCGAGGTGGTGGACGACGTGCAGGAGATGCGCAAGATGATCTACGACGAGGTGGTGCGCTTCCGCACGCTCGTCCGGCAGCAGTCGCAGGCGCAGGCCGCCGCCGCCGCCCAGCAGCAGCAGATCGCGCAGCAGACTAACGTGCCCATCCCGGAGCACCAGCAAGGCTCCTGGAAGCACGAGGACCCCAAGCCTCAGGAGGCGAGTGCCGCGGGCGGCCATACGAACGATCTGGAATCGTCCTTGCAACGGGGAATGGACGTGCAATGAACCGTCCACCGAAGCAATGTAGGTTGAGTTTGTTGCTGTCTGTTGTTGTCGTCGTTGTTGTCGATATGAAGCTGTAAGCCTGGTTTGAACTCGAGGATGCTTCTCCTCTCCCCAAATTCATGTAGAAGATGGCAAGCATAGGGTATCCATGCTAGATGTGTATTGGCCGCACCTGTTCTGCCCTTTAGTTTATTTTATACTATACCTATCATTGTCCCGTGCCAATGCATGCGAGGGAAGATATACATATCATAGACAACGAATTACGAGCTACATGAGTGGCATTTGCAATCGATTGCACCGATCGGATCATGACTCATATAGCAATTATAGATGGCTACTTATTCCAGATGAATAGATAGATAGATAGGTAGATAGATAGATACATAAATCAAAGGGTATCGCCCCCAAGTACTTTCTCCCACAAAAAGAAAACTAGTAGTAATACCCCTGCCACCAAACAGCCATACACGCCGCCACAACCAGATCCAACATCTTGATCCCCTCGTCCTCGATGATGAGCTTGCCCAGCTTCGCGCTCTTGCCGCGCATGCCGCCGCCCGCGGGCTCGCGCGCCAGCGAGAGATCAAGCCGCTCATCTGCGCTGCTCGTGCTGCTGGCGGAGGGTTTGCGGGTGTGCGATGGGGTCGTGGTCGTGGTTGGGGGTGGGGTCGGGGTTGGGGGGGATGTGTTGTTGTTGGCGCTGGCGCTGGAGCGGGAGCGTGGGCGAGTGTAGCTGTTGGGATTCAGGAAGTGGGCGAACGAGGCGCGCTTCGAGGCTGGATGGTTGGGTTGTGTGGCGGACATCGAGGCAGGGAATGAGGAGTAACCGAGCGTGTCGGAGGGGGAGTCTTTGAATGCGGAGGTCTGGCTGAGGGCGAATGGGGAGCTGTGTGAGGCGCTGGGCTGGCGGTGGAGGTGGCCGGCCTGGAAAGGGGTGTTGAAGCGGATTTCCGCGACGGTGATGGCTGGATTGGGGGGTGGGGATGGAGCGTCGGGTCCCGAGGGATGCGACCCGTTGCCTGGATAAGACGGGGTGGGAATCAGGTGTTTGCATTTGAGACTGCGGCCGTTGACGCTGGTCGAGAAGGTGCAGATGCCGTTCCATGGCGATGTGAAGGTGTAGTAGCCGCTTTTGAGCTTGGAGTGGCCCTGCCCGTGCGGTCTGCCTGGGCTATGGTTGAATGTGTCTATAGAAGCTCGGCTGGTTGGCATATCCATCAAGTCGCGTGAGTCGTCGTCGCGCCGGTGCTGCGGCCTGGAAACGCAAAGCTGGCGGTGGAAATGGCGTGGCCGTGATGTGCCTGTGGGCGGTACCTCAGTGGAGGCTGTCTGTGTAGGGGGTTTGAAATTGGATAGTGAGATGGGTCTTCCGTCCGACGGCAGATTTATCCCGAGACTCTGAAGCGAGAAGGGCTCGTCCCGGGCGAGGAACCTGTTATACCCCGGTGTCGAGACCTCGATGTCGACGGCGCCGCCGTCGATCCGAGGTGTTGATATAGTTGCCACGTTCCATTGACTGCCGTGCGAAGGATCGCGACGGATGAGCGTGATATAAAAGCCGGGTCTCTCTGCCGATTTGGAACGGACGTGAGGTCTCCTGTTGGGTGACCGTGCCGGGCTTCGAGACGGGGACCCTTGGCGTATGTATGATGACGACTCGTGAGATGTATGGGGCCTTAATTTGGGTCGAGAGGAATCCAAGCTGTGACGACCAGCGGACAACGCTTCATACCGTTCTTTCCAGCTCTCGAGTCCACGGCTGTTCAGAAGCGCACTCCATCGATGATCTTTCCTCTGGCCCTGACTATTGACGAGCGTCTCAAACGCTTCTTCTCTAGATCCACGAGGCGGTTGTCGTGGCGGCAACTGAGGCGCTCCTGCCTCTGCTGTATTCCCGACTTGTGCATCCCCAAAAGACTGCTCGCAGACATCCGAAGCCCACCGAGGGGCAGCGCCAGCGGAGCCGGAGGAGGAGAAACCTGAGGGTAATAGCGGACGAGGCGGAGTTGAAGTAGGCTGAGGATCAGCAATTGGAGGATACAGCGGAATATTCTCCGGCTGCAGCTGCAACTGCAGCTGCGGCTCCTGCGCCGCAGCGAAAGATGCAGCTTGGGGGAGAGCAGGGCTCGCAGTATTCCCACTCCCTGGCACAGGTTTTCGGCGAACATTGTTCATCCGTGCAAACTCCGGCGGCGCTTCACCGGCTGCCTCTTTATGCATCCGTGCCTGTTGTTCTTGCTCATCCTCCACTTCCTGCAGCAGCATGTCATCTTCCGGAGTCGCAACATGGAGATAATACAGGGAGGCGTTTATCGCCTCCGCGGAGACGCTGAATTTGGTCGGTGGCTTGAGCGGTGTGAGGAATACATCTGCATCGGCGCGAGAAAGCCACTATTAGCATTTCCGGTGACTTCGATTGTGGTTTGCGCTCGTCGCATCGGAGAGCGGGGCACTGCTGGGAGCGTACCTTTGCTTCCGGGAACACGCACGATATAGAGAACGAGAGGATCGAGCTTCTTCTGGGTAGGGTTGCGAGGATACGCCGGGGGATTAGAAGCTATCGCAGTGATGGAGGAAAGAGATCGAGCCTCCACGGGACCGTGCGAGAGATTGGGGGTTGACGACGCGGGGGACGAAGCAGGAGCTGCATCCGCCGTGGCGTCGGCTCGCGCCATTTATCTGGGGTATCGGAATTGCAGTGAAAGATAGAGGATGTAGGCGCCGATATTGGGAAAGATTGAATATCTGACAAGGACGAGAAAGACAGACCTAGCCAGTAGTCCTGAGGGAAAACAAACAACGGCGGAGATGCCGGGATGGTTGGGCAGTTGCGGAAAGCCGCCAAGAGAGAGATTTAAATCCTAGCGACGATCAGCATCGAAACGTTTGGAGGTCTGAAATTGGAGGATAGGAGTGAAATAAGAAGACAGATCACAGAGCAAGATGGAACTGAAGGTGTCCCTGTGGAGTCTGCCTGCGACAGGAAGAGGCGAAAGTTTCAAAAAGGGAAAATAGTTGCCTGGAGCTGTTGATCTACACGGCCGAAAAAGTGGCAGATGCCAAGTATGTCATTCAAAATGGTATCTCAAAACACAAAAATAGCTACAGAAGAAACTATGCTCGTTGCTGAATCCGGGATTAATCCATAGAGGAAAGTGGAAAATTCAAGGAATGATGGCCTTCAGCCAGGGGAAGGTCCCGTTGCGCGATACAAGCCCAAGAATATAGTAATATTAACTCCAACCTAAACCTTCCAAAGAAACAATTCAGCCTTTGTATGATGAAGCGCCGTGTTTTTAGACCACGGTCTCCGACCGCTCGTTCGTCGCAATGACCGGCACAGGGAGACCACGGTCGGGACTCTGCAGCACCAGTTGCTCGTGGCGTCGCGCACGTAGGAAATCACTGATTGCGCGTATCAGGATGAACCAGCCGACAATCATCAACACGTAGGAGATCCACTCGTTTGTCGTGATCGCGGAAACAGCACCACCTCCACCGTCGGAGCCGGAGGTGTTTTCCGATACCGCATTGGGATCGAAAGTGTGGCTATTGGGATCCGACGGAGCGACATAGTCCGCACCGCCATCGTCTCCCCGTGACTCGTCGCCTCCTTTCATGTAGAAACCGTACTGCACCAATGTGAGGCCGAGACCAGCTCTGCTACCGTTTTTCGCTGCGTGTGTGGTGTGAAGGAGGTACGTCAGGAGGAATCCGACGAGCTGGAAGGACATGGAGATCATTGCGTTCCAAACGAAGGAGAAGACGGAGCCGACCGGCAGCCCATCTACGTACACCTCGTCGGACGAGATGCCAGGAGCCAAGATGGTGGTCTCCCAGTACGGTGGGGTGGCATCTGCGGCGGCTTCCTCGTAGGACTACAAAAAAAAAGTCAGCTTTAACTTGCGAAGGAGTATAATCTGATATCACACATACCGGTGGTAAATCCTCGTTCTTCTCTCCCCGTTCTGGCTTGGCGGCCAAGTTGGCGAATACTCCATCATTCGAAGAATTGATCACGCGGCCCGGGCCTGGAGAGGTGTTGAAACTTGGTAGGATTGTTAGTCTTCGCTGGAGACCGTTACTAGGCTGGCTGGGTTGCTGGGATGACTGTTCATAGCTTGCTGCAGACGACGAGGAAGCGCCACTGTTGGCTGGTGAACGAGATGGTTCCGGATGTGCCCGCATCAGCCGCTGTCGGTCATCGGGTTCGTCATCTGCCTCTGAATCGCTTCCATCGCCAAAGGCGTCGGCGAGCGTCTGGTCTGCATCGTTTCGATGATTGTCATTATTGTGGAGAAGGCGTCTTGACGTGAGAGAGGAGGAACGAGAGCGAAAGGAGGGCGGTGGGGAGGATGGTGTTGCAGTCGTATGAAGAGGGATTGCCGAATGGGAGTCGGCTTCCTCGTCGTCGTCTCGAGCGTTAACCTATCATTTTACATTGTCAATACCTTGATCGATCCGTATGGGATTAATGAGTGGAGGGCGGGCTGCTGCCTTACCCGCTGATAGCGCTGCGAGCTCATGATGAGCTGAGCGAGGAGAACGAGGATTGGAAGGGCAGTCTAGGTTGGAAAGCAATAAATAAGGGAACAAAGGTTGGGGATGAAGAAAAGAAAAGGGATGTGATATCCGATGAATGAGCGTCCGTTGATGAAGGGCAGGAAGAGAATGGTGGAGGCGATGGAAGGGGATCGACGACTGTCCCAGAGTGAACTCAGCGTCGTCTCTCAGTAATCAATCAGGCGGAGAGTCACGGGCGGATAAGGAGTGTGGCGGTGCGGTGCGGTGCGGTGACGGCCTGACGGCCTCAGGCATCCACCGTGATTGCTGGATTTCCGCAGATGATTCTTATTATCGTCTCAGTCTATCTATCTCAAACAACTTGCCGGACCCCATTGACATCTCTGCGGTTCTACGGAACTATAGCTTTTTATTCATTCCATCGCGTTCTCATAAGAGAGTGCGCCTTCCATCCTCACTCTCAAAGCCAAAAAGTCCGAGGACCTCTCCAGCCAGATCATCATGAGCAAACCTCCCGTGAGTTGACCAGCTCCCAGCATCATGCCTGACACACACGCACTAACTAGTCTTTTCAGGTCAACCCACAAGCCATCCAGGCGCGTCTCACACAACTCCTCAAACTCTGGCCCTCTGACCCCGTCCGCCCGGCCTCTGTCTCCGTCCAGAGCTACCTCCAATCCCGCCTCTCCCAGACCACATCCCCGACCGCGCAGACACCAGCAGCCCCCAAGGGCGAGATTTCACAGGCGTCGCTTAACGCGCTCTCGTCGCTTCTGGAAGATCGCTACGCCAGACGATACCCGTTACCACCCAAGCTGCGGCGACCGGCGAGTAACCCGGACCACTACGATAATGTTGTGAGGGAGTTTGAGGAAGCACCGGGACGTGATTTCTGGGGGAGGGTAGGGAAGAGGCTCAAGGGGTTGTTTAGATTCTCATGATCTGCCACGGGGCGTGTGTAGGGTGTATGATGGTGTATCAAAAAATGGTGGTTTGCTATTATGGGTGAGGTTTGTTTTTTTTTTGTACTATAGCGGCATGGGGTTGTGTACTAATATAGTCTGGTAGCGGGATCAAGCCGTCACTATCTACAGAGTACTCCGTAGAAGATTGACACTGCATTTGTTGTTCGGGTACAGAACATTCAGCTCTCTCAACCTGGCCGTTCGACTTGGTCGATGCCATCCTCCTGACCTATCGTCTTCGCTTACCCTCCGCATCCCCGCAGTCACCGACTCTCTCTAAATACCCTCTGCTGACAGCTGAATAGCTTCGTCAACAACTCAGTCCTCCAGGATCAAAGCAATATCCTTCTCTTTCAGGGTTCAATGTACGAACTCTGAATACGAGTTCTGACATCATTCGATTCGAGATGTCTCATTGTCTCTGAAACGCCACCATACAGCTTCATTCTCTGTCGCTAATATGGCTCTTGGCTGCAGATCAGCTGCTGCTCATCGTATGTCTGCATGTTCCATGCAGCATAAGAGATGTATATATATATAAAACAATCATGACCAGCTGAGATCTGCAAATCTCATCTCGCCATCACTATCCCATCACCATCGCCATCATCACTATGCATTTCTCACTTCTTGCTACGCTTGGCCTCCTCGTCGCCGTGACGGCCAAACCGCCAATCAAAGCAGAACCCAGGGGCTGTTCCGCCCCGGACCTGTGTAACGGCGAGCCCTGCCCTGCCAGCAAGACCTGTGCGACATTCACCAAGTACTCACCTACGACAGCGACCATCACAACCTGTATCCCCACCCCGACCTGTCTCGGCGTCTACCGTAAGTCTCAGTCTCAGCTACGTGCTTAGCGGATATGTGGGGAAGAGAGAGAGAGAGAGAGAGAGAGAGAGCTGCTGACCGTCAACCCAGAGGGCTGCTCGTCCGGCGGCCAGGTGGGCAATTGCTGCTCCGGGTACTGCGCAGCGACGAAATGCCGGTCCACGAGTCCGAAGTGGCCGAACTGCGCGGAGGATTTCCAGCTGTGTGACTCGGATACGGATTGTTGCTATAGTACCAACAAGTGTATTGAAGGGATTTGTCTGCGGCCTACTTGATTCTGGTTTACTTCTTTCGTTTCGTTTATCTTCATGACTTATGACGGGAGAGGTAGTGGTAAGTAGATAATGAATTTTTTTTTTTTTTTTTTTTAAAAAAAAACCTATCTGCTAGGAACATATCTCATCTCTCGTCTCTTGTCTCGCGATCGTGTTGGAACTCATTTCACTAGGGGGTATCTAGCAGTTGAGGTTGACGGCTATTCAAGGTTAGTGCCGGTTTTTTTTTGTTATTCGAGATGAGAAATGGAGACTTACCATTGGCAAACAGGGCATAGGTATCAGCGTTGTTCAGGGCATCGCTGGTGCTCAGAGCAGTGGCGGCCTGGTATCCGTAGCCGAGATCATCGGTGCCGGGCGAGTAGACGCCGGGGGCGTGGGTGAACTCGTGCAGAGTGGTGGTGGCCTGGTCCTGCGCGTGGCAGGAGCGGGCCAGGGCAGGCAGGTCGGAGTAGTAGATGTCGCAGTTGGCGACGATGTTCTTCGAAGGGAGGGTATAGGCAAGCACGTTGGGGTCGCAGTATCCGTAAGGGTCACCGCAGTAGTACGTGGTCTTGCCGGAGGACGTGGAGCCGGCCTCCCTGGCAACCGCGCGCAGACGGGCGGCGACGGTGCTTCTCGTCGCAGACGAGGTGGTCTTGAAGTACTCGGAGAAGCGGGACGAGGAGCCCGACTCGGCAGCGCTCGCGGCAGCGTTGGCCAGCGAGACGGTGTTGCGCAGGGCAGTCTGGAGGGCGGTGGCCCTGCTGCCGGAGCACGAGGCGACCTTTGTTCGGCGGTCCAGGAGGTTGATGGCCGCAGGGACGGCGGCAGCCTTGGCGCCATCGACCTCCAGCTCGATCTCGTTGGAGGTGAACGGGATGTAGCCCGAGACCTTGTTGTCCTTGGTGAGAGGGACGACACCCTGGCTGCGGACGGTGACGACGCCACCCTCAGTGAGATCGGCGGTGCTGGCGATGTCGAACTCGTCTTCGAAGGTGGCACCGGCGGCCAGGGTGGTCAGGACATCATCGGTGAGGCCCTTGTTGCGGAAGCGCAGCTTGATGCCGTTAAAGGGGACCTCGGTGGCTGCCATGGTCAGTGAAAGGACTTTGGAATCGAAACACGAAACACATACCATTGCGGAACAGGGAGACCTTCTTGACGGGGGCAGCGTCACGGAAGAAGTTCAGGTGCACAAAGGTGACCTCCTCGGCGCCTGTGTTCTTGACCACGGCCTTGACGCGAGTGTTGTCAATCTGGCTCAGGGTAACGTCCAGAGCTGGGGCCTTAGCGGGAATAGCCAGAGCGCCCTGGGCCAGGGCCAGGATGGCAGAGGCAAGAACTGTGAGTTGCATTTTGTCCAAAGCGTGAGGGAGGAGATGAGATGATGAGATACGAGGCGATACCGATGCTGATGCTGATGCTGATCAAGAAACAAAAAACATCCAGAATCACCGGAATCGCCCTCATATTTATAGACGAGAACAAAGATGGATGGCATGGCCTGGAATGGGACATTGATGCCCCTGCCTCAGTCTCATGAACAGCGCAATCTATCTCGACCCGGAGATGCCGACCAAAACAGAAGGTGACATCTCTGGATGAGTGAGTGTCGACGATAAGGCCTCTGAACTTCATGATTTGATTCTTTCCGCGACTCAGATGAAGAATCCGGGACGACTCTGGCGCAGCCAAGGCGGCACATACAAGGCTTGTATGGGGTAGATGCCCATTTAATGCCAATTGAGGCGCCAAGACGCCCTAATAGTGACAAAAGAGGCTTGGCCCGCCGGAAAGCCGCTCTTGGCTGTTTCTTGTCTGCAAGAGATATGAAGAAGAGGGAGATGCCAAGGAGAATTGATGAAATAAAGAGACATGAGGTCAAGGCGCCGCCGCCGGTCTCCGCTGTAGTTAGCTGACGATCTATCTCTATGGTTCTGCAGGCGGTCATGGTGTCATCTGCAGAGGTGTTAGCTGGTGTACTTCAGTAGACAATACAGGATTCAGGATCTAGGAGAGTGAAGCATGAAGATGCGGAATCAAGGAAGTCGAAGGCAAAGAGAAAGAGAACGCGGAAGAGAAGAGCGTGGGTTGAGGCTTGGAGAATCCCCGGAGTCTCTGTATATCTCTCGAGTCACGACTAGCTGTTTCACTAGACCGAGACAAGTGAAGCAATATCCAGATATAATCCAATCCAATCCAGACCTCGACATGTCGATCATCACACCTTATCAGTAGTGCCTAATATCGCGACTCGAGTCTCGACGCTGCAGAAATGCTACCCAAGAACTTCCCGTCTCACCCGGTCCCCTCTTTTCCGCGGGTCTACAAAGTCGATACAAGCAGAGATGGGAATAGACGATAGAAGTGTTGATCACCTCGCTGGATAATCACTCACACCACTCAGACCACTGCATCTCTCTCTCTCTCTCTCTCTTTCTCTCCCCCTACACCTACGTCTCTCTCGCTATCGAAATGTCTGCACTACAGGTGACTCTCTCCCCCAGCCCTCCTACCACTCAACCCATTACTCTCCCCATCAATATCGCCATCCACAATCCAACTACCAACCCGATCACCTTTCTCAACTGGGGCACTCCCTTTGACCCTCGCGCCGATCTACTGGGCGTCTTCCAAATCAACGATACAAACACCGATACCTCGCTTCCACTGGATACCATCAAGATCTCGCGAGCCCTGCCTCCATCCAAAGACGACCTCGTCGAGGTCCCTGCCGAAAGCTCTGTCGAAAAAACAGTGGCAGTGCCCAATGTGCCCCTCGAGGAGGGTCACGAGTATGCGGTTCAGGCAAAGGGGATCTGGCACGGGCTGTGGGAGTGTCGCAAGGACGACGTGGCGGACTCGCATCTGAAGGACCTCAAAGGTGCACAGGGGAAGTTTGAGTCTGAGAAGGCTGTGTTTAAGTTCTAGTAGTCCAGGTTGCGAGTGTGGTACATGGAACATGGTGCATGTGTAACGACACCTGTCTATTTCTCTCTCTATATATAATGCTTCATCTCCAAGCCCAGCTGAGTTTCTGTACTCAAGTCAAGTCCATCCGTAGAAAAGATGTCCCCCAACATCTCCACCGACGCCCAGCGCGTCCTCGACATCCTCACCAACGGCGGCATCGCCATCATCCCCTCCAGCGTCGGCTACGGCATCGTCGCCACCGACCCCTGCGCCCTCGCACGTATCTACACGGTGAAACAACGGGCCCCGCATAAACGCCACGCCATCATCGGCAGCTACCCCCTGCACCGCGCACTCCACCTCCTCCCGTCGGAGAAACAGGAGCTCACGCGCGCCCTGACCGTCACCCTGGACCTACCCCTTGGTATCATTGCTCCGTATCGCGCTGATCATCCCCTTCTCCGCAATCTGGACGCGGAGACCCTGTCCCAAAGCACCGTGGGCCATACCGTCGCCATGCTCGTGAACGGTGGGCCGTTTCAGGAGGAGTTGGTTCGGTTGGCGACCGCTGCGGGGAAACTGGTGCTGGGGTCGAGTGCGAATATCTCCGGACAGGGAACCAAAGCGGTGGTGGAGGAAATCGAGGAGGAGGTGAGACGCGCGGCGGATGTGGTGGTGGATTACGGACGGGTGCGGTATGGAAAGCCGCGGGCGTCGTCAACGATGGTGGATGTGGGCAAGATGGCGCTGGTGCGGTTTGGAGCTTGTTATGAGGTGATTCGCGATGTGATGAAGAGGTTTTATGGGGTGTTCTGGCCGGAGGATCCTGGCAGGGAAGTGTTGTTTTCGGGAAGGTTGAATGAGATGTCTGCATCGATTCCGTGATATATTATAGGGAGAGCAAATTTTCATTCGAGGACCACATTCTAGTGACAAATCAGCTTGGTGAATTGAATGAGGGAGGAGACCGAGGTGAGATGAAGATGATATATCAGAGAGCATACGAAAGAAGCCATTCGGATGATTTGATTGGAATCGATAGATGCGCATCTGGTAGACATCTGAATGGGCTCATATGTCCTTTCTGCAGTTATCAGAAAAGGTAAGAGAGCCCTTCCATCAGACGGAAGATCTACAGAGGTATGAGGCGTGCAGATATCCATCGGCATAGCGTATGAGCTATTCCAAACCACGTACCTGACCGTTTTGGATAGCCACTGCCGCCGTTGACACTCGGGGAATACAGGAAGGATGAAGCTCCTTGTAATTTGGAGCATTATAAGATTGATGCGGTGTTAAACCTGCCGATCGACAGTTCAGTCTGGCTATCTGAGCAGAGTATCTATGCCATCCTATCCCCTATCGTACATAGGAGGTGATCAATGTTCAGCCACGGATCCTCGGGTAGCTCCTTCGCCGTCTTCCTCTCCTCCAGAACCCACCGCAACATTGACCTTATGAATTGACGAAACTGCTGTCTATCTTGTCCAGTTAGATTCTCCTCCGGATCCTCCAAAGTCGTCGATGGTACAGAGACACCACCTGCACCCAGCCATTGATCTGACAAAATTAGCTTAGCTTCAGCTACCAAATGCCTTGCAGAGAAAAGACAGACCATCTTTGTCAAAGACGTTGAATGTTCCCTCGTTTCGCTGAAAAAAGTGAAGTGGTGGTAGGCTGAGATACGCCACCATCTCAGCAACATGATGGGATGGCGAGCACTCCCATCTTCGTCCAGAGCATTGAACAAATGCTTGTTCTCAAAGATATCCCAGATCTTGACTTGTCAGCGGAATCATTATCGCTGTTGGCTCACGTACCATGGCACCAACATTCCATATGTTAGTGCTGAACCTCCAGGGCATGTCGAAAAGTACTTCCGGGGCCGTGTAGATATCGGGTTGAATATTCCCTCTGTAAGATTCGCCAATTCAAACCTCGCCAAGACTGCATAGTATAGGTTGACCCCATAAGTCGTTGCTTGGTAGTGGAAGCTTTCGCGAGGTGTATATAGTGCGGTTGTTCTCCACGACCTTTCGCGAACTTGGATGTCCCCTCTCTTCCTTTTCGAACTCTGTCAGTATTTTTTCATCGTCAATACTCAGCATGATGTTTGAGGCCTTGATGTCTAATGTGTTGTTGTCTCGGGTCCTGAAACGAAATGAAGTAATAAGGGACCTACCACAATAGATGATGCTTGCATTACTGTGATGGAAGTTGAGTGTTTGAAGAGGTATATTAAGATTTTTTTGGGTAGTGGCTCTCACTCAGTTTACAAGATTTGACCCTCATTCATAGTGCATTGATCAACATATGCATTGGGGACTGTACCAAGCATCGGTAGACTTCATGTGGACTATAAAGATCAAACATATCATGAAGATCCCTGAATGAGATGCTGTGATTTCTATCTAGGTGCCAGGTGTGCAATGCTCATGTAGGTGAGCTTGATCATGTGGAGGCTGGCACCGAGCAAAGACGTAAGAATGTGCCAACCGAGTTACATTCTTACCCATCAATGAGGAGCCAAAGACTGCCGCAGGACGGGCAGTCTTTGGTGATTGCCCCGCTCTCCATGAAGGTTTGTGTGAACTTAGGCGTCAAGAAGAAGAGTTCACCCAGTTTAAACGCAAGTATGCCCGGCAGCCGTCTATCACAAAGGGACATTAGTAGAGTTACCTTGCTATGACCTTACGATTACTCTCTGTTTGCTTATTCTTTCTTTTCTATTTTGTTTTCTCCTGTTTACCTCCTGGCTTCTGGGCAGGAGACTGTGGATAATGGTTCTGCCACGATTTGACTATTGGGAGACTGGAGTAACTTATCGAGAAACTACTCTACTCAGAAGGAGAGAAAAGAGAAAATTCTTGGGGAGGCTGTTGAAAGTTTCCTTAAGTCGCCAGTGGCTTCTAATTGCAGAAAACCCTTTCAATATAAAATCTACATGCGCACTATGCTAACGTGGAAACCGACTACTTTGGTGCGACACAAAGAATTCCACCGCCTCCTCTCCTAGACGTATCCTGTAGATATGCTGGCAAGGTTTCAAGCTCCTTGCGAAGCGCGTCCTGGTCGTCGCATTTCCGAGCCGTGTCAAAGTCAATGAGCACAGCCTTTGAGCCACGAATGAGAAAATTGAATCGATTTATGTCACCATGCAGGATACCCAACTGGTGTAGTCGGCACAACGTCTGTTGGCAGGCAGTAAGCTCACTTAGACCGGCGTGCCGAGCATTCGTGAAGCGTTCCATTAAGAATCCAATCACCCGATCTCCTTCCGTCAAGTGGCCTAAAAACCGTGGTCCAATGCCACGGCCATCAATCCATTCGTAGGCAGCAGTCTCGTTCTCTAGGTATTGGATCTCCCACTCGAAACGCACGAACTTGGCGACGACAACTGTGTCGAAGCGTGAGCATGTGACTTCGTAAATCCCTGTTCTCAGCTTCTCTCCTACCACAATGTCCAGGTAATCGACGTAGATTCCGTGCCACCGATGGCTAACGGAAGGGAACTGAGTCCGACTAGCAAAGAACGGTTGACCATTATTTGTGTCTCTGGCCACCAACCCATCATTCCAATCTCCAGGCGGGATCTCCGGAAGAATGGAAAGCAGAGACGGGCCGAAACACATATCCTCCGCGCTGTACAGACCGGGTTGGACGGTGAGGTATTTGATGGATCGACCATCGACCCGAAGGCGGAAGAAGCTCTGGTCATTTTCATCGACCTCCGCCTGGAGGACTTCCACCTTCGGTTTACTGCCCATTATCACAGTTGAGAAAGACGAGCACTAGTAGTAGGGTAGTACTAAGATAGAGAAATGGGCCTGCAGTTGTGTGCAGCTTGCAAGTTAATTGAAGTGAGAATCGATCCTGGAGCAGGACTAAGCATTCTCTCTGCGTCTGAATCTAGTGATAATGTCCAAAAGCCTCTGGCCGACAAGAAAAGGACTTTAATGTGTAGTTTGGAGAGACCTTGTAGGGGAACCTTGTTGCTGTTATTGTTTTGGGACGAAGGGCCTGGTGCTAAAGCGGAAAAGAGTATTGGGCTGGTTACCATTCATTCAGACAGTGACAGTGAGTAGTGGTAAAGAACTAAAGGAACGGGAGACAGGTAGGTCACCCTGAATATTAACCACTAACTTTAACTACGACTCTACCATGGTGTATTATAATAGCTTAAAAGAGAAGGGTTTAAAGACTTATAACCTATTATAGAGATAGAATATCCCTAAATAAGATACTTGAATTTCTATCTAGATTCTAGGTGCTAGGTATATAATGCTTATATATATAAGCTTATAAGCTTAGTAAAGGTCTTAGCAGGCAGGTGCTGACTAATAGTAGGGTAGGGTAAGCCTCCCTACAACATTTATGAATACCAACAAAAATCAGTAGAATTGCTCTGCTTTGTAAAAAGGGAGCTTCTCCTCTTCCACAGGGGCTATACTGTTGATCAGCGGTTGACTACTCATGCAGCGTTGGAGCTTAAAGCATCATGGCTCACTCGGAAACCCTCGAAATCTGACATAGAACGCACCGTATCGAAACATGACCGGGGATTCTCGAGATAAGAATTGCTCTCTATATACAGGACGAGCTTGACGGACGTTTGAGTCATGTTGGGAGGATCCTTTGGACAGCACTCCTTACTGTCTACTTAGTCCTGGCAGAGACAACCCATGAAGCTGAACAGTGGGATTGAGCATTTCAGGTGTACTCCGGAGTAGAATCATTCTTGCTTCAAGAATAGAATCTAATTCTACAAGTGACACGCGTACCTGCTATCGACTTGCAGCTGCAGGATCCGTTAGTGCATCCAGAATGCAACATCCTCCCCCGCGCTTATCTCCATCCCGAGGTACTTTCTCCCCTTTACGCGGGGAGCGTTACGATCCTAGCAGAAAACCCACGCGGATCATCTTCATCCTTCCAATCTGCTTTGGATGTTCTCCAATGGCACTTCACGATCCGTCACCGTGGCATCGTCCATGCTGATCATGCAACCTCACTCGGACTCCGAGGAGGCTCTAACCCCGAATGGCTTCATTTGGCGAGTCTGCAGAGAGATCCGTTGCTCCGAAATGCATATATAACGCGGCTTGAGTTGAGAGCACTCTGCGGTAGATAGTATACGACGTCCAACTACATACAACACACAACACCTCACGATGAAGTGGACTACGCTCCTCTTCCCCGTCCTTGCCGTCGCGCACACCACCACCACCACCACCACCACCAGAACCATCAGCACGAGCCACGTCGCCTCCCATGTCATCTACTCTTATCCAGGCGTACAGCCCCCCTCCGACCTCCTAGACCTCATCTCCCAAGGCAAAGTCGGCGGCCTCATCCTGTTCGGCGAAAACGTCGACGACAACCTCCCCGCCACAATCCAGTCCCTCCAGGATGCCTACGCTTCCAGCCCGGCCTATCTCGGCACCCCGCTCCTCATCATGACGGACCAGGAGGGCGGCGAAGTTGTCCGTCTCCCCGGCGGGCCAGCCCTGTCTGCCAAACAGGTCGGCGCCTCGGCCAACCCGGCCAAGACGGCCAGCCAGACCGGCGCGCAGGCCGCCGCCGTGCTGGCCAAGTATCACAATAACGCGAACTTGGCCCCCGTGCTGGACGTATACCGCGAGAAGGGCGACTTCGAGGACCGCTACCAGCGCTCGTACGGGAATACCTCGGCGCTGGTGAGCGAGTGTGCCACGGCGTTCATCACTGCGCAGCAGAAGGCGGGCGTGATCGCGACGGGGAAGCATTTCCCCGGTCTCGGGGCGGCGGGCGCGGATGAGAATACCGATGTTCTACCCGTGAGTATTGGGCTGGACCTGGAAACGTTGCGCGAGGTCGACGAGGCCCCGTATAAGGCGGCCATTGCCGCGGGGCTGGAGATGGTCATGGCCTCGTGGGCGGTCTACCCGGCTGTGGATAAGAAGCCGGCGGGGTTGAGTACGACATGGATTCAGGGGGAGCTACGTGGGAGACTCGCGTTCAAGGGAGTGACGATCACGGATGCGATCGAGGCGGGTGGGTTGACGGGCTACGGGAATGACGCCGAGCGCGGCGTGTTGGCGACGCAGGCCGGCATGGATCTGATCCTCGCGGCAGCAAGGAACGTCACGCAGGGCGAGGCAATTGTAGATGCACTAGTGCAGGGGCTGCAAAGCGGGAACATCAACGGGGAAGCTTTCGATGCTGCAACGGCGCGCATTCTGGATTTGCGCAAGAAATACGCATGATTGGGGAGCCGCCACTCCACTCCACTCCAACTTTTCTCGATATCTCTCTTATACATAGAAATAGCAATAATCCCCCGCTCGCGGATCCATCAACTCCCGGATCTTCCTTGCCCGATCCAGAATCCCAAACTCCACCTCCGTGTCGAGCGTCAGCAACGGCGCCCATGGCGGATCGTAGATCCAACCCGTCCCGTTCAGCGCATACCGCCGCTCAATGCCCTGGTCCTGCCACAGCGTCCAGATCCGGTCCACCATACCATGATGCAGAAAGAACACCGGGTCCTGCACCGACGAGAACACGTCCGTCATCGTCGGGCCCAAGGCGATATGGCCGGCCGGATGCGCACCGACCTGCCCGGCCACGCTGGGATCGAGCACGCGCAGAAGCTCCGAGATGGTGCGCGAGCGCAGCATGTCCTGCACGACGGATCCGTTGGTGTAGCGCCGCAGCAGCACCTGGTTGAAGCTGCGCTGCAGACACCGCGGGTTGTAGCGGAAGGCGTCCTGCGAGAGCGGTCGGTATAGCTGGTCCAGGCTGACGAGCTGGAAGGGGCCCAGATGCGTGGGCCAGTCGGCGAAGGGGCCGCCCGTCACGCATCCGCCGCCGGTCCCGCGGCCCATGCAGCCTTCTGGGGTGCAGATGGTCTGTTCGTTGGGGTTGTAGGCGCCGTCGCCGGAGAGCGAGGTGGGGCTGTTGTCGAAGAGGGCCGTGTGCGTGAGATTGACATTGTCATAGCGCGACCAGTCCCAGTACCTGGTCCGTCAGTACTTGGGATTTCATCAATTGGAAGGGGGGGGGGGTACGCACGGCAGGTGGCCAGTGTATCCACATTCATCGCGCAAGGCCTTCTCGAAGAGGTACAAGAAGTGTCGGTGCCAGGGGAGGAGGAGACCGTCGTTGTGGATGTTCGAGGTGTAATTGATGTGCGTTCTATCTGGTCAGCATACTGCTCTTCCGGGGAAGGCCGTCCACATACGCGACGAAGTCGTCGAATCGGTCCTTCACGCCTGGATACTTATCACCGGGTAGGACCGACGGCAGCTTTCGCATGCAGAACACCGCATCGATGTACCCCGTGCGCTCTCGTTTAGTCAATGCCCCCCTATCTTGTCAGAGCAGACTTCGAGTCGAAGCTTGGAAGATTTTACACACCATTCTTTGCGCACGCCCACCGTGAAGGGGTTGCAAGGCGGGTCAACGGGGAACGCAATTGCTACGGCGAGAAGAAACACAATGAACAGCATCTTGTTCTTGTCGCGTCAATCAACGGGGAAAAGGGCACGAGGACTGCTATTTATGTGAATCGGTAGATTGGCAGCAGACAGGAGCCCTAATGCTTGGGTAAATGGTGCCACCTGCGTGCCAGGTTCTTTTCCTTGCCCCAACTGCTGCCATCCTCGTTGCTCGAGTGGATCGATTCGCAAAAGTACTGGAAGAAAAAATGATTCTCCTACTGCTAGTTACACAGTTCTAGCTGCTCATTGGTATGTAGGGATCATAGCTCCGGTTTATGGTCCCCTCCGTCCTCGCAGAACACACTCCAGATCGGCACCGGCTCGTCACTTGAGTGATCTCCTGGTTGGAGGAGAGTCGTTCGTCCGATACACATGGGACCTCTAGTATTCACAAGTTTAGCTTTTGTCTTTCATCAGATTAGATGTAGGATTTGACACTTTGAAACCAAAATAGAGGGAGGACGTACGTGAAGAAGCGACACGGCGTCTTGACCGAGACCGTCAACACCTCGCTACACAAGATTAGCATCGACCACGAGTTTGAAATCTTCCGAGTTTGAGAAACGCACTAATCGCCCAGATTATGACAATCATCCATCGGCACCGTCACTGATTTGCTGCCCTCTTCCGTCGTCTCCAGTCCAATCTGCAAGAATCCTTGTTAGCCTATGTCTCTTTCAAAATTTCGGTCCGGATCGGCGATTCTAACCGTCGTGTTCTTGGCGGCTGCCGACAGAGCAAAGAACAGGATGCTTAAGCCAGGATGCATGTTGACTAGTAGGGGGGCCAATGGATTCTATGATAGAGAATGAGCGATTGTTGGTTTTCGGCGCCGATGTTATTTATAAACCCCCTAGCCAGGGGTATCAAGGGGCAACAAACAGGTGCCGAGCCCTTGCATTTCTTGACAATAACATCAATACTCTTGGAATTTCCAAGAAATCATTGAATTGTGTGACACAGGAGGATCCACGGCAATTTTTCCTCTCCAGGAATAGGCCATGGTTGGCGGTGATAGCATTGGTACAATGTTCATGGTCAAGTGCTGCCGCACGAGGTTCAAGATATAAAATGGGAGACGAGACGGGTTTGGCGCCTCTTAATCTTGACTGTTTGACCCTCTGGAACTTTTATTTCCACAGATCCCTGCTCCTATCAAGCAAGGTTCGTTTGTTGACAAGGTTGGGACTTTAAAAGCAGTAAGCAGCAATTCCCCTGGGCGCACTACATAGACATTGCTTGCCCACGAGATATACCTCTTGTGGATGCCATCAATCGGATTCTGGCATAGTCTATGCATTGGTCGTCTGCACTAGATTTAAGCTACCACGGCGACTTAGGCTTGTCAACCATGGATACGCGGGACTCACAGTCGTGCTGGAGCTCCGACATTCACCACATACCAAGTGCTCGCAAACGAGACAGGGCAACAGTGAGAACGCCAGAATATTTTTGGATCCGCAGGAACAACACCCCCAGTGCAGCGTCGGGGGTTTGATTTCTGGCTGCTTTGACATGTGTGCTAGCAGGATCTCAGAGACATCGCGCCACTGTCTCTTGACTGCCCATCTCAGGCTGCAGGAGCCGAATGCATCCTGAAGTCGCGGATTTGCACCGGCCTCCAGCAACCGCTGCACAACTGGCGTTTGGCCTCGGAAGGAAGCGACAATCAGTGGGGTGGCGTTGCCACGCCCACCGCGTGCATCCACCTCGACTCCAGTCTCGATGAGTCTATTGACCACAGGCAACATCCCGAACGATGCCGCATAATATAATGGCGGTGTGATCAAGGCCTGTCGGACCGGCGCTTCGTAGAGCAACACCTGCACCCAAGACGTATAATTCCCCCCTTTCTTTTGTTTGTGTGTATCAAGGAGCATCATAATCTCGTCGATGTCAGATTTCACGAGCAGAGGGCCAAGTGGTCCGTCTGACCTGCAATGCATCGCCCAATTCTCAGATGCATAACCGAGCAAAGGGAAACTGGTCAAACGGCTATCGAGAGAATCAAGATTCGGACAGGGCTGCTGGAAAGCGTCCAGCATCAAGTACGTCAAGCATTTTTCGTATATCTGGCGTGAACCTTCGACCTCGGTCAAGCTATAAAAGGCCGCTGGGCCATCTCGGATAGACTCCGACGTTAAGAACGTCTTGACTGAGGAATGTGCCAGTGTGACCACAGAAAGATGTTCATCATAGACAACCAATCCTTGACATATTGACAGGATGACAGACGGGTCGAAAAGCCTACAGTCGTCATCAATCGTCTTTTCCCCCTTAATCAAGACCAGTGCCTCGCTAAGCGCGGACAATTTGATCTCCTGGAACCCAAAAGTAAGCCAGAGAAGTGTTTCTCTTGCGAGCTCTCGGTCGTATGCCGGAATACGACACAGAATAGATTCATAAGTGCCGTGCAAACTTCCTGGCATGGTCTCCAGAGCCCTGATGACGTCCCTACCGGTCCTTTGCGCAATCAACAGGTCGATCTGGCATTGCACATATCGGAACCTTGATAATGATTATTCAGCGTGTTTCGTCGTTAGAGCGGGTTGTGTAAACTTACATCCCATGGGCTTTTTCGATCAAGGTGTTTTCAATTTGGCGTTTGGTGTGCTCTGGTAGCCGACGAAGAGTCGGAACGGATTCTAGCTGGGCGTCGAGGAAGGCCTGAATGTCGTCCTTGTTTGTCGATGGCATCATCTGAATTTTGCAAACCCCGAAACTTCCATCCAATGGAGGGAAAGACGTGCTGCTGATCATCATGTGTATATTTGATGCTCTAAGTAGAGTCACCAGAGCTTCAATGATTGATTCGCTTTCATGACTCTCGTTGACGGCATCGACAACGATAAACAGCTCTGTGAGCTGCTTCGTGTATTTCAGAATCAGCTTTATTAGGACATCGGGCGGAGGTAAGGCTTTCTTTCGGAAGTTGTCCGTCAAGTCCTGGAGAATACCCGGAAATGTGTTTGACAGCTGGACAAGCAAGGATCCGAGTAAATAAACCAGCTCCTGAGACGTGCTTGAGCGAAATGAGCAGTAGTAATACGCCAGCCTGCTGGACGGCCGGTCCGCAATGAGATCTTTGATTGCCTCTATTGTCGTTGAGCTTCATCTGCAGGTTAGCGAGTACTCAGACGCAGGATCTCTAACTTCATACCAAAGAACTGTCTTTCCTGAGCCAGCTGATATTCTTAGCAGGGGTCCTTGTAGTTAGCCACATTTACTTACACTTTCCCTCCAAAAAGAGCAGCCGAGCGTTGTCAGATGCAAACCATGATTTAAAAGAGCCACGAATGAACCAAGACCCAGTTTCAGGTTGCCAGACCGATCTTGCCTGCCGATGCGCTGATTCGACATCGACTGGGGAGATCCACTCCTTGACCTTCTCAAATTGAGTTTCTTCGCGAAAAGAGAAAAATTAGCGAAGCCATGAAGAAGTTCCAGCAGATCTACCTTGATGCATCTGTTTCATTTGTTTGCCCCAGTCGGCGATCGAGTCAATTGCATACGCCACGTCCTTATCCGCAGTCCTAGATATTGAATCGTTAAGCCAGTCAAACGCAGGGTTGGTGAGACGTACGTCTTATCATTCATGATGACCAGAATGAAGTAGGTTTTCAGCCTCTCCAACTGAGCGATGCTCCCTTGGAGACTTGCTTTCCTGCCCGGCCATCCCAACCGGGACAACCGGGACTGCCGCAACGATCGACTCATCAGATCCTCGAGGATCTCCTCCAGAACCGTATTGGCTTTGAGCAGCGCATCTCGAAAGGGCGATGGCGACGTATCGGATTTGAGGCTGCTATCTGCAATGCGCTCTATCCGCATTTGCTCAAACACGGCCTTGAGCGCGAAGAGCTCGCCGAATAATTCCCGAATCTCGCTTTTGGCATCTTTGACCTGCTTCGCAAAGTCGTAAACCTTGCCTGCGATCTCGATGGCTTGTAGGAGCAAGCCTGCAATCGACAGTGGATCAGCCATGGCTCGGGTGTTGCTTCATGCAGTGGAGGAGTTTCACGTACAATTGACTCGAAGGATTGTCAAAGAAAATTAAGTTGAAAATCGTGGTAACCAGTAGATACGTTAGTTGATTTGCTAAACGAGGCTGAGCGACACATCATCAAGGCTTTCTCCATTTTGCCAATCAGACGATGATCCACTCAGCGCGGACTGTCGCGGGGTAACAATTATCTTCATGTAGTTGATAACTGAAGATGTCTATATTTTGAATGAGAAATCTCAGATTGCGTATAGATATCAGTTGTAGATTCTGGAGCAAGGGAAGTGAGTGTAATCAAATTTTGATGATTGTGGGAAGTGGGAAGTGGGAAGTGGGAAGTAAATGGAATATATTGATATAGGCACGTGCTGAAGGACTTCCAGACTTCTCTCTCAGCTATCAAAGTCTCGAATCAGCTCCATACGTTGGTTGACACTTCCCTGAGAAGCAATAGAAGTTGAGGGAGATACACAGCCTCCTTTTGTTCTAGGATGGCTTCATCTCACTCCTCGAAAGAGATGGGCTAATAGATCAATCCATTCGGATCTCGCTGACCCTCTCTGACCGTCTCATCCTTGAAACCACGAATTCATACTGTTTCATCATGTATCTGGATACCAGTTAGTATCAATCGGGTGTACTTGAAACCCCTCCAAACTCCTACCCAAGGAGCATCTATCAATCAAGCATTTCAGTCCCGACTAGCCCTTTTCTCTCCTTTTCATTCATCCCATTTCATTCGACGCCATCGAATTGTTGAATTTATAAGCATCGCTCGGCCTCTCCCACTTGGACGAATTATATTTGCAGAGATCCCTGAAGGATTGTTGTTCGCCCGTGATGGTTGATGGTGCAATTCTTGCTCTTACCAGCATTCGATGATGTGATGCCAGAGCGGGGAAACGATATATATTCTCGATTCTGAGCAACGCCCTACAAGGTGAACCGATCAGTCTTGTTAGAATCATATCCTGCCTGACAATACGCCCAAAATGGTCGACGTCCAAAGAGCCACCCAGCCAGATATTCAATATCATCCCGATTATGACAAGTACAAAGCCCGCGGCCAGCGACGCAAGGCTACAGAGAGCCTCCCCCAGACTCTTCCCCCCGGTTTCCCGGAGAAACTGTCCTCTCCACTGGTCTGGGAGGGAAAAGATATTGAGCAGCGCGATGACTGGATCTACAAGCTGGATGATGCGCAGAGAGAGGAAATTGATGCAGCGTTGAAAAGCTTCAAGGGTAGGTCTGCTGTCATCCATCACTCGCGACGCAGCACTAACCGGCACAGCACGAGGCCTCAGTCTCGGCCACGTCAATCAGGAGACCTTCCCCCTCCCCACATTGCATTCCACTCTGCGAGAACTGTCCGGAGAGCTCCACAATGGCCGAGGGTTTTTCGTTCTTCGTGGCCTAGACGTCGACAAATACACTCGTGAAGAGAACATCATCATCTATACCGGTGTATCCTCCCACGTTGGTAGTTTGCGAGGCAGGCAACAGGACCAGAGGCTTGCCGATGGCACCTCCATAATCCTTGCGCATATCAAGGACTTGACACACACCCCTGATGGAAAGTACATCGGTGGTCCCGGCAGCACAGCGGACAAGCAGGTGTTTCATACTGACGCCGGAGACATCATCTCCCTCCTCTGCCTCTCCCCGGCTGCAGAAGGCGGCGAGAGCCAAATCTCCAGCAGCTGGCTGGTCTACAACATCCTCGCCAAGGAACGTCCGGATCTGATCTGGACCTTGTCCCAGAACTGGACGGTCGATGGGTGCGTATATATATTCTTCAACTCAAGCACACGCCCGGCTGATTGTTAGCTTAGTTTCAATAATCCCGAACGCCCGTATACTTCCCGCCCACTTCTGTATCACCAGAAAGCCACCGAGTCAACCCCAGAGCGAGTTCTGATCCAATATGCCCGCCGTTACTTTACGGGTTTCCTGGCCCAGCCACGCTCGGCGAACATCCCTCCCATCACCGAGGCCCAGGCGGAAGCGCTTGATGCGCTGCACTTCCTGGCGGAAGAGCATAGCGCCGCGCTGGATTTCCAGAAAGGTGATGTGCAGTACGTCAATAACCTGAGTATTTTCCATGCGCGGAAGGGATTCCGTGATGCACCCGGGAAGGAGTAAGTATTTCCTTTCCATTAGCCTGGACGACTGGCATGACACATGACTAATGCGCATATAGGCGTCACTTGTTGCGACTCTGGCTTCGGGATCCAGAAAATGCTTGGGAGACACCGGAGCCGTTGAAGGAACGCTGGAACATCGTGTACGGGGATGTGACGCCGGAAGAGCAGGTCTTTCCTCTGGAGCCCAAAGTGTCTAAGAAGAACATCAGTGCTTAGGCATGATATGTTGATTTCTGAAGAGTCAAGATTGTAAAGAAGCTGGTGGTGAGCCGGGTTAGGTTCTGTGGCTTCACTTGGCACTCCTTCCTCGAATCATCCTTGGCGTTCACGACAAGCCGAGGGCGGTTGACTTGCAAGCGCCGTGGCTGTGAACCTTGGGATGCCAGAAGTATATTCATGATTGATGTAGATAGATATTTGATGAACAGGGTCAGATGAATGTTCCACCAGTTCTGGATGATGACAATAGTCTGCAATACGATCTGACTCATGACATCTCTCCTTCGGAATGCAGATCGGCAATTGACCCTCCATCGGCAAGGGAGAATCACCTGCATCCCGTTACTCGGAGACTACCTGTCCGATGCGGATAGACGCTACATCTCATCTGCAAAGTCGTCAACGTTACCAACTCTGGGGAAAGACGTATCAAAGAGGGCCGGGGAGATCCGCGCCCGCGTCCTCCCCGGATTCCCTCCGCGGCAAGCAGTTGTCGTTGCAACTACCGGGTACCAAGATAGGAGATGAAGCCTAGACACGATGTTTGCTAGTCTGTAGAGCTCGAGCTCGATACACAATCACGTAGATTAGTGGTTTGCTCGCATTGCCACTGTCAGCCACTATCGATTTCGCATCCATCCCCCGTGCCCGATTCCAACTGTCTTCCTGAAGCTGTCGACAGGAGTCTAGAAGGAGGCACATCCCTCTTGTATCCCACCACGGCCTATATTGCCAGTGTGCAATAGTGAGACACCATCATGCCCCACATCGACATGCCAGAACAGACCTTCGCCACCCCCTGACAGTGCGGTCCGACTTCCTCGAACAGACAGAAGCCGGCGTTAACCCTGAGTCCCTGAATGCAGGAATCGGCTTCTCTGAACCGCATCGCACATACCTGCTTGAACGTCATGGCACGCTCGGCCTCGCCCCGATCCCTAGCATGGACGCGGCTGATCCATACAACTGGCCCTTGTGGAGGGTAGGACACGCCGCACGCTCAACATTGTTCTGGGAACCGCTCTCGCAGCGCTACGGACGCCGGCCCATCTTTCTCCTCTCGCTACTGCTCAGCTGTATCTGTAACATCGGCTGCGCCAGGAGTCCGCGTTGATTATCGGAGTCAGCTTCGTTCCGACGGCGCTGTTGCACTGGCAGGGGAGGAGGCTGAGGGGTGAAGGAAGCCATTAGATTAGATACTCCAAGGAGATCAGTTATATACATATACAGAGACTTCAATCAGTTTGACTAGCCTCCAGCGCCCGTTTCTCGTCCACCGTCAATTCACTCTTCGCTCGACTTATCCTCACCCACAGTGCATTTACGACGAGTCCCACCGCGCACAGGGCCACCTGGAACCAGAACACAGCCTGATAACTCTTCCTCGTCCCTTTATCCTCCGTATTGACTTGCACGATATCCGCAAAGCCCAAGTGCAGCGCAATCCCCAGATGCAACGTGCAGTTGATCAGCGCCCCTGCCAGTCCCTGCTTCTCCAGCGGCAGGTTGCTCGTGATGAAGACGTTGGTCACGTTGAAGCTGATGTCGATTCCGATGGTGCCGCAGATCATCGCTGGGAAGACGAATGGCCAATACCCTCCGTTCTCGGGCATCAGGGCAAAGAATAGTCCGGACCCCAGGTAGCCCAGGCATGAGATGATCATCAGATTCGTGCCAGAGATGCGGTGGAGAATGAAGCCACCCACGGTGGAGATGAGAAGGCCCCCGACGGCCATGGGGACGGTCCAAGCGACGATCTGCAGGGGCGAGGCGTGCATGATTCCTTGCATGCTAGACCTTGTTAGTACCGTGGCTCAAAGAATGGAAAGGATAGGCATACTAAAGTGCGCCGTAAAGGAGAAAGATACCCAGACTGCCGTACAAACACACCAGCGAGAGCAGCAGCGGCTTCATGTACTTGACCGCAAACACATCCCCCGGCACCAGCGGCTTGCTCACCACCCATCCTTCCACATATACAAAGGCTGCCAGCAGCACCACCCCCAAGGCCAAGCACACATCGATATAGGCCGTCGCCCACTGCTTGGGGGCATGCGAGCTACCCGCAATTGCATAGACCAGCAAGACCAAGCCGGGCACCAGCAGCACCGAACCCAGCCAGTCCATCGTGACCGTCCGCTTCTTACGCCTCTCAGCAAAATCTGATGGAATAGACAGATACGATGTCCCCGCCGTGATGGCGGAGAGAATTGCACCGATGAAGAAATACCATCGCCAGCTGAGGAAGCGGCCGCAAAGTCCCGAGAAGAAAATGCCAATGAAGAAGCCCAGCGCCGCACACGCACCGTACACGCTAAAGACAAGGTTCTTCCGCGGGCCAGGCCGATAGACACTCCCCAAGATCATCAAGCCCGAGGGCAAGAAAGAGGCGAGTGCGAGACCTTGGAGGGCTCGGCAGATGACAAGCATTAGCCAGCTCTGCGAGAAGCCGGCCAGGATGGAGGAGAAGGTGAGCCAACCGGCACCGAAGAGGTACAACACAAAGCCGCCGTACATGTCCCCCAGCCGGCCAAAAATGAGCAGAGTGGAAGTTACGACGAGTGAGAGCGCGGTGGACGGCCAGATGGACGAAGCGAGAGGGATGTCCAGGGCATCGATCAAGGTAGGGAGGAGGATGTTGGAACCGGAGATGTAGTATTCCTAGCCAGAGTGAGTTGATGCCGTGATATTAACGTGAGCAAGTGCCTTACAGCCAGGATTTGCGACATGACAATGGAGAAGCAAAAGGTCAACTCGGACCAGGCACTTGAGAAGCATGGCGGGCGCTCTCGTCCCAGTCGCTCGAGTCGCGCTTCCTCCGAGTCTGTCCTTCGTTCTAGATCAGATGAACCTGCCATTGCTGATTAGGGGTTGATCCGCAAAGAGGATAACAGCTATCGCATCTGAATTTATATCAAGTCAATCCATCATGGTGGTTGATTTCTAAGACCAGTGGCCAAGCTTCCAGAGTAAGTCTCGACGCGGAGAGCCATTGTCCTGTCCAATCGCCTCATCTTTTAGCTCATTGACCCGACTCCACGCTGGAACACAGATGTCAAGTTTTTCATAATATTTAATGATCCATGAATCTTGAAGAGTTGAACCAAGTGAACCAAGTGAACCAACGATCCCACCGTCTTCTTGGCTTCGACGCTGGCCTGCCGTTTTAGGAAGTTGCGGGGAGTGGGACTGCTGGATACGAGATACGAGATACGCAGCCAATCATAGCTCACTTTCCTCTGAATGCCTCAGGCAGGAAACTATCTAAATATCGAAGAATACCTATTTACTGTCTGTATGCGTTCGACAACAACAACAACAACAACAACAACAACAACAACAACACCCGAGGGGTCATGTCAGAAGGGAAGACTCTGACACATTCTCTGAGCTTGAGTGATAGCTCAACCTTTCCGATCGTCTCATGTTCTATCTAGAGTGGCCAAACCATACGAGTCATGTGACCCCTATTCACCCTAATCATGGCTGCAGAATGCTCCCCCTATCCCAGACCTATAGAGTTATGGGTCGAAAGTAATCGATTCAGCACATAGATACTCAGACCATGATAAGGCGGCAACATTGAGCTTGGTCTTAAGGGTTAAGGAACCAAGTGGCAACTATCTTTTGATGATGACACCTTTGTAGGGAGATCTGCTACCATGGTTCTGGGACATATAACCTACATATAACCTCCATAGCTACTACTAGTGGGACTACGGAGTAGGGATAGTATGCTTTAACTGATATGGATCGACTCCGTACACCTGAAAATGGGCTGAACAAATCATTTCACAAGCTACAATCCTGGGTATTATTTATTATACGAACTATGCAACCTCCCCTGTCACCCTCACCGATCCTTACCATCCGTTATCCCGGCATCTCATATAATCTAGTCGCCCCCGGGTCTATCTTCCTCTGTGGTAACTCATGGCCAGACAATTCCGCTGGCATAGTCGAAGTTTCTGTTGGTTCTGGCTCCCGCTCCCCGGGGCTCGGCTCTCCCTGTGTCCGCGTGTACTTCCTTCGGCGCCGGCGCATAAAAATCACCGCCAACACAACCAGCAAAATCAGAGCTGCACCCCCGACACCGACCCCAACGCCGATCCCGATCGTCTTCGAACTCGACGAGTCGCTCTGCTCCGCGGTCGGTACAGGCGTGGCAGATGTTGTCGCAGATGTTGTCGCAGAGGCTGTCGCAGAGGCTGTCGCAGAGGCCGTTGGTGTCGCCTCGCCGGTTCCGGTCAACAAAGCACTGGTCGATGTACTTGTCGCAGTCGCACTTGCTTTGTCTCTGACGTAGAAGAACGGGCTCCAGGCTCGCCAGCCGTATAGGTCATTACCGCCTGTGCCAAGTTTTGCTGACGCATCGAACAGGCCGATCTGGTACTGCGGGTTGGTGGTGTTGAAATCCGAGGGGATGGCCCAGGTATATTGCTCGAGGGTGCAGTTGGCGGTTTTATTCGTAACGAGGCGGTAGAGATTGCTCGATGTGGTGAATGCAGCACCAACTGAGCCGATCTGTGTCAGAAACAGACATATATGGGTAGTGTTAAATGGACATGACGCGTGAACAACGCACCGACAATCTGATCCAGCAACGCGCCCCCTTTCCGTGCCAGGGAGATATTCAGAGACGTCTTCCCGTGGTCAATTGCGCCCCATTGTAGATCAAACGTGTGTCCGGGATAAAAGTTGTTGTTCTTGCTATTAGTGAACCCGTAGAAAGTCCCCGCGACGCAGTTCTCATATCCGTTGGTGGACATGATGGCCTATATTTGTGGGAATCGAGAGAGCAGGGGGAGGACAACAGAAACAAGAAAATCTCAGGTGTATCAAGATCATGGCAGTTGAGTGAGATTCAGCAGAGCAGACAAAGGCTGTCGGAAAGACATCGGGCCTCGAATGATAAGAATCAGGCGACGGATTCGACCGATGATGTCCCCCAGGGCTATGTTAGCCACCAACAGAATGTTAGAAGCATCACTGAAGGGATTTATTGGCCTGGTTTACTGAGCCAAGCGAAGCGATGCATCAGCACGTTGGACTTCGGTTATTAGCAGGACGGCAGAGTGAGACTGTTATTGCAGGGATTGAGATTTAGCCTTCAGGCTTGTGCAGAGTATCAAGCCACTCAGCTTACATTGCTTCTGGTTAGTCTTTGATGATCGCAATTTACGGAGCAGTTGTGGAGAATTATCATGGTGTTGAGTGAATCCCCATGGAAGAACACTATGGAGGAACAGCGAGTCGTTTGTATTCTTTTCGACTCCAGCATCGCAATTGCGGCTGGAGATAAGAACTGAAGACCGTCGGCTGTTTCTGCCTTAAAAAAACGACTACGGAGCACTGCAAATCTTCATCAAATCGAGTATCCCGAATTTCGACCAGCTGAGAACTAAACTCTACCTAGCCTCATCCAGTTAATCTATCTGATGCTATTTCAGCCCGCCAATCATCTGCTGTTACACGGCCTAGTTTCGTTGTTGGCCTCGTGTTCAGAATTTCAGATGCGCAGCCCAGCAGCCACCTGTGTCCTTAGCTTGGCTTAGTTTTGGCCTGTCAATCAGATTTCTGGAACTTCTCCTCAACCTCTTGTTTCACAGCTGTGATCTCACTCTCCTTGTTCTCTTTCTCTCACTGATGGGAACGCGGGTTCGTTCTCCGTCGTTCTCTTACCACTTTCCTTTCGATGGTGTCAAAGCAGGAATCCGCAAAATACTGACACCCCATAAGCCATGAATCGATCTAACCAGCAACTACGACGTCGAAATGTTCTGATCGCTTTTGGACTTGTTTTCGTCTTCTGTTGGATTCTGTATCGACCAGGATCATTCCAGAGCAATGTCACCTCTACCGGACATAAAGAGTTTTGGAGGGAGTTTTATCCTCTACTAACGGCGGCAGCGCCAAATTGCGATGCGCCGACGAGAATCGCGAAGGCTGAGGCGGAGGGGTTCGATCCAAAGAGCACCAAGCAACCTATCAACCTCTTAAGGATGCCCGAGGGAGATGTGATGAAGATGAAAAACGCCCATGGCACGTTCCTCAGGAGCATCGAACGCGATGCGCCGCGGCTGCACTACAGACCTGGCACGAGAGGGTTAGTTTCGACCGCGGGGGGCGCATATCTGCCGGTTTTGGTGACCTCGCTTCGCATGCTCCGGAGAACAGGCTCAGACCTACCCATGGAGGTCTTTCTGGCGGATTGGACGGAGTACGATGGATATACCTGTCAGGTGGTTTTACCTTCGCTCAACGCCGAATGTGTGGTGCTGTCGGAAATCCTCGACGCGGCTCCTGGGAGTAGGAATAAGGTCGAGAAATATCAGTATAAACCACTGGCGATCCTGTTCTCCTCTTTTGAGGAAATTCTCTTCCTTGACGCAGACGCCTTTCCCCTCCAGAAGCCCGACTTGATATTCAACAGCAACTTGTTTAAATCCAAGGGATTGATCACCTTCCCGGATTTTTGGATCACGACAGCATCCCCTTTCTTTTATCAGATTACGTCTCAGCAACAGCCCGCGCCTAATGTCCGCCAGTCCACCGAGTCAGGAGAGGTATTCTTCTCGAAATCAATCCATCTCCGGACCCTCCTGCTGGTCATCTACTACAACTTCTGGGGCCCGACGCATTACTACCCGCTTCTCTCGCAGGGCGCGCCCGGCGAAGGCGACAAAGAGACCTTTCTTGCGGCCGCGGCGGTCTTCAATGCACCATTCTACCAAGTCAGCGAGCCGATTCGTGCCCTCGGCCGGCACAAGGAAGACGGATTCTCCGGCTCCACCATGGTTCAGTACAATCCGGTGGAAGATCACGAGCTGACCAGCCATGGGGTATGGCGTATTAGAGGCCATAAAGCGCCCTCCCCGAAGCCGTTCATCGTGCATGCCAATTTCCCCAAGTTCAACCCCGCAACCATCTTCCATGACAACGGTCCCGCTGTAAAGGGCGACGGCAGTTATACCCGTGCCTGGCTGGCACCTGAAGATCTGGTCCAGTCATTTGGCACAAACGTCGAACAGCAATTTTGGACGGAGATCCGCTGGACCGCTTGCGCTCTGGAGGGCAGGACAGTTAGTTGGATGGACAAGAAGGGAATTTGTGCTCGAGCCGATGAGTATTATAAGAAGATTTTTGGGTCAGATTTGCCTGCCTCTGCCTGACTGCGGCAAGCAGACTGAGACCTAGAGAAAGGGAATATGTAGCATATACACGTAATAATCATGATTTAAAAAAAAGCAGACCTTCCCATGGATATTTCCGAAGGTAAAATTTTGATGGCTAACCTGCGGCTGGCCCAGCATTCACCGGCTGGGTTTGGGGATGACAATGAAATATTGTGTCGCTGTCTTGCTGGGTGGAAATGAAGATATTTTACGGACTGAGAGCCTCATTAAGGGTGAGGACAAAGGTCGCTATAGTGTGTTTCACGAGAACAAGGCCCAATTGACAAAGCATAAACCTGGGAATATTTATACCATGGGATCCCTGTCTGCTTCTCTGGATATTCTATCCAAAGAACATTTCCTGCACAATGATACTGGCCTTATTACCAAGGAAATACATAAAAATAGGACCACTAGTCAATCCTATACTTCCTGCAAGTTAGATACTAATGCAGTGGTAAGTCATGAACCTCAATGGCTGCCTTCAGCTCGAATAACCGGACTACAGACAGGCTTCAATACAAGCTGGTATAGGCCAGTTTCGAGAACAACGATGTCTCGAAAGAATACAGTGTAGTCATTGACGTTCCCTGTTGAATGACCCCATGCCACTCTCAACAGGGCAGTGTATAAATATGGAAGATATCTCCAAAGGAGACCATCTATCCTCCTCGAACCAGAGACTGTCGATCCGAACATCAACATAGCAAACTTTGACCTCTCGCCCCCTTGACGGCAAGATGCCTGTAGTAAAGAAAGGGCCCCGGCATCATCCTTCCCTCCTCGGAATCCCCAAGAAAATCCAGCTCAAAATCATCAAGAAACTCGACTTCACATCAAAGATCGCGCTCCAAAGAACCAACTACCACTTCGCCAATATCATCAGTGAAGACCCTCCCAAGACACGCGCAGAGAAAGCCGAATTCATTAGAGGATACGAGCTCTGGGCTGAGTAAGTGAACAACCCCCCCGTCTTTCCTCTCCCAAACACCACAATCGATCTATCAGAACACTGACTGTTCTCGTTCTCCACCCAGAAACAATAGTCGATTCGGCTGCTACGAATGCCTGAAACTCAAGGCCGCCACAAAGTTCGCCGACGACCAAGTCACTGGCATGCGCGCCAAAGGTCGAGCCGAGGGCACCCAGCGCTTGTGCGTCCCATGCGGCCTGAAAAAGGATATATACAACTACATTGAGCCCGTCATAGTCTGCCAGAAACCGCACTATGCCTGCCTTGACTGCGGCAGGCTTCAGGCATATGGACTGCGCTGCATGTACTGCAACTCGTGCAATCGGTACTGTGTTGCCGTCGAGACGCCGGGGCGACGCAATGTGCAGTGTACCCATTGCAAGAGGCGAGGCGCATTAACGGACTTGGGACAGGAGCCGGTAGAGTGCGCATGCTAAGAAGTTAGTTGATACAACTGGTGTTGGAGGTTGGGTACTGATCGATATGTAAATTCCGAGGAAGAAAGGTCCGCAGTCACAGCATGTTGTCGTCTGTTGAAAGTTATGAGGCCAATGACTAAGGTAAGAAGTTGAAACCGATATACTGAAGACACGAAATAGGAAGTTATTCAGATGACTAGTTTGCTTAGATTCATCAATGCTCATCCAAGCGGAATTTCACTGGTCTATATACCCCTTCAGGTAGCTGTCTCGGTATATGGAGAGTTAGAGAGAATCCTTAATTCATCAAATGAACGACCTACTGAGGGAATGGAAATGTTGATGCGGTTATTCAAAATATATGAAGCTATTTGAGACAAGCATATTTGGTGGCTTCCCATGGTTGCCGGCGTTTTGTAAAGAGTGACTGGACACCTCAGGCACCGAGATGGTTCGAACTTGGTCAGGTCACGTGACCACTAGCACATCACATGAGCACATCTAACATATTCAGATTTCATAATTTTTGTCACGTCTTGGCAGTTGGCACAACCCTAACTACTGCTAAACTACTGCACAGCCCTACTAACTTACGCTAGATGAGATCACATAATCTTTCCCATCTGTTGTGTTGTTGATAGCGACAAAGGTACGGGGGGGAAACAAAAACAACTGGTCGGGCAAAATTGGTCCATCCGTCAACCATCAGGCAGAGGATCTTGCAATTATCCGCACCTTGGATCCTTGAATTGAGCTGTGTGATATAGGAATGTTACAATGGCTAGCTTCACTAATATGGAGTCGATGGACCCCTTAAGGGATCGCTTTAATCATTTCTTCCAGCAGGATGCTGAACGAGCACAGCTTATCCAGGTATCTCAAGAATCCCACTATCTTCCTCCTTCGCCTCTTCTTCTTCCAGTTTGGTTTTATCACGTGTGATCCAAGCTGCTGTACTAATGAATACCTGCCAAATAGGATATATTAGAGAAACTCCATCAGGATAAAGCGCGCCTAGATGAACTTACCATTGAACTCGAGCATGAACGAGAATCACGCATTAGGTACCTCTCAGAACTCCGCGACCTGCGGGAACAGAGTCGGCAATGGGACCACAAAATTGTACTGTTATCCCGTTGCTATCTGGCCCACATTGGCTAACAGGAGGGGTTTAGAATAAGGACCCCTATGTCGCAGTCCTTGTCGATGGTGATGGAGCTATTTTCGATGATGAGCTGCTTCAGAATCCTCGCCAAGGAGCGCCCGAGGCAGCTCTGCGACTCACCCACGCAGTGAGAAACTATCTTAAGAATACACCATTTGGCTCTGAGGACGTCCCTATTGTCGTGCGCATCTTTGCAAATCTCAACGGTCTGGCTAAGTCGCTTGTCCAGTACAATGTGATCGATTTCGAGGACAAGATGCGGATGTTCGCTGAGCTATTTACTAACAGCCGTGCCGAGTTCGACTTCGTCAACGTCGGCCATGGTAAGGAGAACGCCGACTCTAAGATGAGAAGTAAGCCGTTCGCCAGGTGCAGTCTACCGCACCATCCGCTTACTTCGTTCTAGGGATGTTCAGCCATTTCTATAAGAATTTCCAGTGCAAGAAGATTTTCTTCGCTGGTTGTCATGATAACGGATATCTTCATGAGCTGCGTGAATACGCAGGAGAATCGGCCAGGCAGCGCATTGTTCTTCTGGAGACGACTCCCGCGCAGCCTACCTTCATTCACATGGGCTTTCCCGTGACCCGTTTTGACACCGTCTTTCGTACTGAGGTTCTTGGATCGCCACCTATTCCTCCTGCTTCCTTGGCAGTGCAGCGAACCCAACCGCCTACTGTGTCGATGAACAACCCGGGGGTTGTCCCACAACAACAGATTGCAGCTTCTCCCGTCATGAGTAATGGGGCTCCTGTTGTACGATCGGCCAGCACCCCCACTGCCCGGATCGATTCTCCTGCACCGGTCCCTCCGGCCGCTCCGATCAGGCAAGATTCTCCTGCCATCATAGCTTCCGGCAATGGCGGTGTCTCAATCCAGTATCCTACGTATGCTACCGCCGGGAATGCCAAGGGCCACCAGAATGTAGTTATCGCCGCAGCTTCTAAGACCAAGGAACCTCGTGTCATACATTATAATTCTGGCGGACAACGGATCGACCCGCCGAATAACAAACCCCAGAACGCACATGATCAACGAACGTACAACGAGAAGAACTTGAAGATTAAACCCAAGGGGTTTTGCAACGAGCTCTTCTTAGCGGACGGCTGCCAGAGAGGACCAAACTGTCCACTGGAGCATGAAATCAAACTTACTCCAGGCGAGCGGGCCGTCCATAGATGGAAGGCCCGTGGAAGCCTGTGTTCCAATGGTCCATACTGTGAGAGCTACCGCTGCTACCTGAGCCATCATTGCCCATTTGGGCCTGGTTGCGCACGCGGCTCGGAATGCAAGTTTAAAGGAACGCGATGGGGTGACTTGCACTATAGCAAGGCCGATCTGGAACCAGAGTAAGTTGGTGTCTTCGCGCGGCCGAATATCATTGTTGACGTTTACAGCACTCGGTGGGTTGAAGGTCACGATTTTCCCACGAGAATTGGGTCCGCTTAAATCGACAATGTGTGCACAGCTTCTTCAACATAGCCTTGACTGGTGCCGGCATTCCAACAATGTCGCCTTCGATTGGATCATCTCGGGTTTTGAATATCATGGCATTGAATCAGAGCCAGTATCTCATTTCTTCAAACAACATCTCCACTTTACACTTCAGCATTTTCCATTATTCTATTTGTTTTAAAAGCATAGCAATATTGCATACGGTACTACTGACATTCCTCCCCCCAACATACACTACTGGTTAGTTCTCCAATGTCTATTATAGAGCGTAGTGACGAACTTACCCATTGGCCTACGTTCTCTCGTACACAAATGGGAAAGAAATCCCGAGATCCGGACTGGCAATTATCGACATCCATGAATCAGAGGAGTTTCGACTGGGGTATCGCATGTGTGTTGACACACAGAATCAATCTATTTACATTGCAGGTGGAGGTCTCTCACCAGCCGTGACGAATGCTTCTTCCAACGCCGATCAGTGGTGTACTGGATGTGGAACGGAGTACTACGTAATTGCAGGCTGCAACTAGTGCGACACCGGGCCTGACTTCAAACCCCTAAATATATCCACCAACCGCACCAACCATGACTCTCTGTGGAGTAGTTCGATATAACCACCGGCGTGACGGTGACACGCCCCCGTCCAAGTGTGCGGGTAATCTGCGGCAGATGTTCGAGGTTGATGGAGTCACCAATTTCCGCCAATCGTTGAATAGCTTCATTTCGTGGAAGTTTGCAAAGACTTTGAGCCAAGGTGGAGAAAGATGCTTAGCACTGACTGAGGATTAGGTATATAAGGGCACTGTTATCGTTCTCGTTTGTGAATATCCATAGTAGTCATTCCTTATTCCATTCCATACCTGTTGATCAGGATATTTTCTTGGCTCTTTCTTCTGTTGACCAGAAGACATATCCCGTATTCCTCAATATGCGTTCCGTTGAGATCCTCGGCCTGGCTGCGCTAGGCTCCCTTGTTGCGGCTGCCCCTTCTCCTTCGCGTGTATCTAACTCGGCCAAGAAGGCTTCATCGTGCACCTTTACCTCGGCTGCACAGGCGTCTAAAAGTGCATCGGGTTGCTCTGAGATTACTCTGGATAACATTGCGGTCCCCGCTGGCGAAACGCTGGATCTCTCCCACGTTGATGATGGGACTACTGTATGCTGCTAAGCATCCCTCCTCGACGTGCAATGCCAGGTACTAACGTGAAAAGATCATCTTCGAAGGTACCACTAGCTTCGGGTACAAGGAGTGGAAGGGGCCCCTAATCCAATTTGCTGGCACGGGCATCACCGTCAAACAAAACACTGGTGCCGTCATTGACGGGGATGGATCCCGCTGGTGGGATGGTAAGGGGACTAACGGCGGCAAGACGAAGCCCAAATTCATGTACGCACACAAACTCAGGGACTCAACTATCACCGGGCTGTCGATCAAGAATACCCCAGTGCAGGCGATCAGTGTGCAGGCCACAAACCTACAGCTGACCGACATCACGATTGACAACTCGGATGGTGATGAGAACGGCGGTCACAACACCGACGCGTTTGATATTGGTGAGAGCAATGGTGTGTACATCCGCGGTGCGGTGGTCAAGAACCAAGATGACTGCATTGCAATTAACTCCGGCGAGGTATGCAAGGTTTCTTTTCCCCATGATAGTATTGCGTAGCTAACCATCACAGAATATCGAATTCTCTGGCGGCAGCTGCTCCGGTGGCCACGGTCTCTCCATCGGCTCTGTCGGTGGCCGTGACAACAACATCGTCAAGAACGTGACGATCACCGATTCAACGATCTCCGACTCGGACAACGGCGTCCGCATCAAGACCATTTACGATGCGACTGGTTCAGTCGGCGATGTGACCTACTCCAACATCAAGCTCTCCAATATCGCCAAGTACGGCATTGTGATTGAGCAGGACTATGAGAACGGCAGCCCCACGGGTACTCCCACTACCGGCGTCCCAATCACTGGCCTGACCATTGACGGTATTACGGGGTCTGTCGCCAGCAATGCCGTGCAGGTATACATTCTCTGTGGCGATGGAAGCTGCAGTGACTGGACCTGGAAGGGCGTGGACCTCACTGGTGGCAAGAAGAGCTCCAAGTGTGAGAACGTGCCTTCGGGGGCCTCTTGTTAATTTGTCAAGACTCGGATGAATGTTTCTGTTTTGTTGATGTGACTACCTGATAGCTGTGATAATTCGATATTGGGACATGGCCAGAATAGTTCAGTCTTGCTAATTACGGTTGAAGATATTTACAACCTGAAGGTTCCTTCTTTATATTGAATAACAAATAAAACTAGTTTGTTGGGCTTGCTCTAGACGATAAAAAGCAAAATAAAACGTAGGCTTTCATCTGATTAAATATTGTTAGAAACAATTGACTCGAGTGAACATTCGAAATCCATTTATATTCAGGCGCATTCAGAACTTTTTCTTAAACCAATCCTGGAAGAAGTTAATTCTTTGAACACCCAATTTCTTCTTCCATCTATCACCAACTGCAAGCAAGCGATTGGTCTCTTTCATCAAGACAGCTAGTTTTAGATGTCTAAGGTGCGTGGTGACTCGTGGCTGAGTACATGTTGGTTGAATGAGGCGGGGGCCACAAGTCCCCGTCTGTTCAGCCTGATCATAACAACCATCGACAGACACTGGGCATTGTTGCACCATAATCGGAATCCGGAACATAAAAATGAGTGAGGCACAGTGATAGGAAACAGAAATGGCTGCCGTACCAACATTTTTACGCCAGCCCGAACTTTACACAGTGGCATGGATCTGCGCGCTTCCCCTAGAGATGGCAGCCGCCGAGGCGATGCTGGATGAAAAACATCCGGAGCTTCCCACCAGCCCGGGCGATGATATCGACGGGGAGGCACCACTATGGTGGGCTGCAAGGAATCGACATGAGGCGCTTGTGAGATCTTTGCTCAATAAAGGTGCAAGGATCGATCCTGTGGATAAGTTTGGTCTCTCGCCATTAGCATGGGCGGTTGAAAAAGGACACGAGCCGGTGGTAAAGCTGTTGGTTGACTTGGGTGCAGATATTCGGGCTGCTGATAAGTCCGGGCAGACGCCCTTGTCTAGGGCTGTTGACAAGCAAACGCGAAGTTTGTTACTCAGAAATGGGGCATAAGCCATGAACTAGTATTATCGTCGTGTTCTTGATCTTTTGCTCCATTTCATAGCATGCAGGTAGAGTTAGGGACTGAACTGGAGAAACGCTCCTGAATGCATCCCTACCTATGCAAGCTGCGTTCGGGCCAGGGACTCTATGTCTTGAGGGAGATTAATATAATTGTTCATGGTGTTTGATACACAATCCATTCACCGAGAGTACTCGGAGGTTTGATATCATAGAGCACTGGATACTTAAGACATGGCATCTCCTTGCAGTCTTCTACCGAACAATTCATACTATAGCCATGAAGGAGCACTGTGGCGAACAACTGCACAATGATGAAGCATGTGGACTACCGCAAATATTGCCCATCATGACAAACCAACCTAATTGGGTAACCAGCTTGGTTGAGTCTGAAACGGAGCACGACAACGCCAATGAATATTGATCGCAATGCATGCCGAGACAGGTATAGCATGCGCTCTTCAACCGCGGCTACAGTAAGACTCGCGTGGACCTGAATGACAACGGCTGATGGGTCGTAGTATCATTTTTCAGACCTAATTGGTGGTAAGAGCATCAAATCCACTTTATCTTCGTCATATTGGAGGGATCGCCAATCTTGTGCCATTGGAATCCCCCGTCCGGAATGCGGGGAGGCGTTATCCTGGGTAGGACTCTCAACGGAACCCATGCCAGAGCATCTGACGCAAGGTAAACAAAGTAACAAACCCGCATTCCTGACACAGACAATGCATACCCATTAGGATTTTGAAATTCAGATGGTCCTCGGTCGAGCCTGTGCCTGAGCATACCCAATGCTGGACCAGAATCGGATGTGAGTAGCGTCTCGGTGTCATCACAGACATCTTGTGATATTCAGTTTGAATCTAACGCGTTCGTTTAGTGAAGGTCATTCTACGGTCTATGCGCATTATTGTCGGTTTCTCAGATGCGATGAAACTTAATCCCTAGCATAAGCATCGGTCTATCAGGTCCACTTTCCGGGGAGGATCAACATGGCTATCGCAAGAGCCGTGATTGAGCTTAGATCAGTGGTCCGCAGATTTGGCTCATTCGATACATTCCTCTCCAAGAACTCATTCTGCATCCCCACGATGATGAGCAAGGTGGGACCGAGGTACGCCGATCCCGTTGCGGGGAAGATTTTCATATGTCTTGGACTTGAGGAATGTTGACTTGGACCCTATATAGGGAGGGCTGGATCCATTGGCAGTTACCCTCTCGAACATGAGTGATTCAAGTCAAGAAAAAATCTGCATCAGCAACATGGCACCCACGGAGATCCCCCCCGGTTTTCTCGGCAATCTGACCACAGACCAGCAAAAGAAGCTCGAGCATCTCTGGACTATTACCCTGAGTCTGTCAACTGTTCTTGCGCCTACCACGACCACGGAAGAGACTCACCACGAACGGACATCCTCGCTGGCTCGCACCAAAACCACCGTGTCCAAGGGCAGCACGGCTACATCTCCGACCCATTCAACACAGCTGAACCGGCAACTACAAGCACTGGGATTACACCATGCAGAGATTAAACATATTCAACATATTCTGACTCAGATCTCACCAGAGGAGATTCGAGACGGACTGTTGAGCACAGCCAGACATGACCACCCGGACGCGCTGCTGCTGCGCTTCCTACGCGCGCGTAAGTGGGATGTTAACAAAGCATTTGTCATGATGCTGGACGCGGTGCTGTGGCGCATGAAGGAATTCCATGTAGACGACGAGGTTATCGCCAAGGGAGAGCTGCATTCTCTGAAGGCATCACGGGACAGCGACGCCGTTGCAGCGAAGCATGGCAAGGACTTTCTGGCGCAGATGCGCATGGGCAAGGCATATGTTCATGGTGTCGATCGGTTGGGGAGGCCAATTGTTGTGATTCGGGTGAAGCTGCACAAGCCGGGTGCGCAGAGTGAAGAGACGTTGAATCAGTTTATTATCCACGTCATCGAATCGGTGCGGTTACTGCTCGTGCCGCCTGTTGAGACTGCAGTATGTTCCCCCTTCAAAGTTGAATTTCTAGACTGACGGGTAGAGGCGGTTGTGTTTGATATGTCTGGTTTCGGCTTGTCGAATATGGAATATCCGCCCGTCAAGTTCATCATTAAGTGCTTCGAAGCAAACTACCCTGAGTCGCTAGGGGTATTGCTCATTCATAACGCTCCCTGGGTATTTTCTGGTATGATCAGCTCCCATGACACATGAGCTTAACGGCTAATGGGACTAGGAATCTGGCGTCTTATCAAAGGCTGGATGGACCCGGTCATTGTCTCCAAAATCCAGTTCACCAAGTCCATCGCCGACTTGAAAAAAATCATACCCCGCGACCAGATCGTCAAGGAGTTAGGAGGGACGGAGGATTGGACATATGAGTACATTGAGCCCGATGAGAACGAGAATAAGAAAATGGAAGACACATCCACTCGCGACGCGCTGCTGCTCCAACGGGCCAATATCGGCGATGAATTGCTCGCCGTCACATCCAGATGGGTGACAGCAATCAAGGATAACAACGAGACGGAGACAACTGCCGCCAAGGCTCGTCGGGACGAGTTGATCGAGGAGTTGCGCACGAATTATTGGAAGTTGGATCCCTATGTGCGTGGTCGGAACTGCTTGGATCGAACGGGGGTGATCAGAGATGGAGGCAAGATTGATTTCTATCCGAAGAGTCAGCCACGGTCGGATCTTGAACTAGCGAAGGTGATTGAAGAGGTAAAGCACGTTGAACAAGCCCCGGTGCAGGTTGTTGATGTTTGATTATGCCGATGTGAAGTACGAGCTTTCCATGGATTTACCATCTGATCCATTTGTTGCAATGGTAGAATCAACCAGCTTGTGTTATGTGCAAGGACCAATGACTAACAAACGACCTTATCATGGAGTGATCATAGCAGGTATTAACCTCACCTAGTTGGGACTATTGTTTGCAATCTATTGAATATGAATAGACCTATTTGCTAGCAAAAGCCCCAAAAGCAAGGCCGATTCCATCACACAAGCATACAACGATAACTCTCCATCACCAGATGAACTGGCAAGATAGATCATTTATATTTGAAAACGCATGTGAGAATCATTCTTGATCTCTCCGCTCAATCTCAGCTTGCTGGTAAGCCCCTTCCCAGCGAATACAACACCCACACTCGGCCGTGCAATGCCACTTGGCTTTGGCATCCAGGGTACTCCGTTGGCCCCTGCGGCCTTGTCGATGTCGTTCGTAACATCTGTAGGCTCGTGTATAGTAGCCTCCGTTCATCTTGCATGTCTCGATGGTGTTGAGCCAACTGTCCTCTTGCATACGCTGGAACTTTCTGATACGCTGATCCGATGACGGTATTCCCAATAGTGCTGTCATATCCCCCTGCACCTCCTCATATGTTGGCGTGATTCCGGTTAGCTTCAATTTGACTTGTTCAAGAGTCTCACTTTCCTTGGAGGTAAGCTCCCCCTTCTCTCGTTGCTCCTCAAGGTGGTCGGATGTCTCGATGAGAGTTGTTTCCAATTGAATGAGTCAGTTCGCCTTCCTAATAGCGCGCCAGTGAATCCTATCCCATCTATCCTTCGGTGTCTCTCTGTATTCAGCACGCTGGCACCCTTGCCTCTTAACATCCCCACACAGGAGCCTAGCGGGGTTGTTGATTGATATAGCCCGTGCCGTTTTCTGGGCTTCAATAAAGTAATCTTCCAACATTGCAAAAACCGGGTCCGTTTTGGTAATCCTTGCACAGACACTTGACATGTGTGCAAAAGTAATGACCAAGAAAATGACTATGCATGATAACAAGGCAACGGAAAGCAGGAATGGTATCCTGAAAGGCCTGCTTGTGGAGGGCTGCTGAGGTGCTGGTTAGATAGATGGGAGTCAGGCATTTCGACGACTGAAAGGAGAATTTCTGCTCTTAGTTCAGATTCTATGCTGTTGTACTTGTATTTGTGACCCCAGTCTCACACATATTTGGGTTGCATGGATGGGAAGTCTACCTGCAGATACAGATCTACCCGGTGTATGACACGCAATACGTTCTGGTGGTATATTGAGAAGCATCGTTATAACGTATACATTAGAGAGAATAGAATGCCTCGTTCTCAGACTGATGATAGTTGGACACTCGCAGAGAATAAGAGGAAGACCCATGGTTGATATTGGTTGATGCCTTAGAACATGCGGGCAGCAGCAGCCTAGGCCAACATCCCCTTGTTAGACTCTCTTGCTCACCTCCCTCTCACCACGCATCAACAACATTCGACTACAACATTGACAATCTAAGCCGCTTTTATCACTTTTGATTACTCATATACCTTGAGTGTATTAAGCGGACAACGCAGAATGCTCCTCTATCTCAGAAGCCTTCTCGCAGCCCTGTGAGAAACCATGTCTCCTAAAGATTTCCAAAGAGACCTGAAGGAGACAAAGTCCTCAAACCAGTTTCCTCACTTGGATAATGTCAAAGCAGGCGATCATGAAGGCTCCATTGTCTTTGCTTTCTGCGATTCCTCAACTCGTGTCAAGATTGATTTTCAGGCCATAGTATCAGGTAAGATGAAGTTTGCGAACCGTCTTAGGATGAAGCCGGCGATCGGCAAGGCTGACATCTCTACCAGATTCGCACGATTATCCCCATGACCATGCATATTTCGTCTTCACGACTTCTGAGGATGTCCCTTCACGCGTCACGACTGCCTTGGAAGATGCCCAATCGCTCTTTCTGGGGCTACCAATCCAAGACTTTCTCACTTATGTGGATGAGATTGTGAGAAACGCACTGTGGGACCCAGCGGAGGAAAGTGACCAAACGCAACACTTCTCCGATGCAGATGCTGAAGATGGGTTTGACGCGATCAGTGATGACTGGGAGGTAGGCAGCGAAGCAGAACCTGGGGTTACCATGGTTCCAACGACGAATGAGGCCACGCTAAGGCGTGTGCTACGGCGAGACCTTCGTGTTGCCAAAGATGCCGGCTTAAAGGTGAGCTATCATGGGCCGCCCACGTGGTTCTTCATTGTATCTCTGTCGTGTCGTGCGGCCAGACTGGGTATTCCAGAAGAGGCTATGAGCGCTTGGGACATCCGGCCGTCCCAGTACATCGTCCTACTCATTCGCTATTCAGCGGGCTATCTTGACCTGGAGAGCGTTTTGTCACTTGAAGGTAGAGGGAATTCTTTGGTCCAATTTCGCGTCGGAATCTGCAGCTCGTACAAACCAAGTCATAAATTTGCGCTACAGGCTTTTGATTTGGAGCCATCAACAAATGAAGAGGAAGCGGGCTTAGGGCAGCGATTGAAGCCCATTTTCATAGAAAAGCCGCTCAACTCGCTCCTCAATGATAGATTCCTTCGGATAGTTAAGGCTCGATTCGATTACGGCTTTTCGTGGACGGGCGCTGAACTCTACACCCACGAGAGTCAGGGCAAGATGTTCCACGCAGAAGAAAGCCTCCCAGAGGAATATTTTGAGCCAGATAGCTGGGGTAGCGGTCCAGCCTCAGTCCTTCTCCTGTTTGATCATATGAGGGATGAAACAGCCTCTTCTCAATTGTCTCTACCACTGGTAGCCATGCAGTTCATGCTTCGCCACCTTGTCAAATGCACAGAGTTCTGTCTAGTATGTCATTGCAAGATAGCTGACAGCAAGAGCTACGAAGCCATCAAACCATATGTTTGTTCCAACGGCCTCTGTCTATACCAGTACATGGCGCTGGGTATGGCCACAAATTTGGAATATGAGATCAAAACGCAGCCAGATGTGGTAGACCTACTGGTGAGCCTGACCTATGCTCGAGCCGGGTCTGGTAGGCTGGAAGACTTTCCTACAGGTCTAGGCCTACGGGTGCCTGCCGTATTGAACTTTTCGAGATTGGACGAACTGGAAGCACTGCTAAGAGCCGAGGATACCGGCCAGCCGAGGCGATGCTATAGTGGTACTCTCAGAGTGAAAGAGATGATCTGCACACTTGACCAGACATCGTCCCTCAAAGAAGGTGACTGGGCTACGATCTTTGCCAACGGGACACAGCAGGCCGAGGGCCTCTGGCACTGTCGGATAGCGAGACTTACGTCTGATCTTCGTCAGCTACAGTTCTCTCTTCCAATAATTCAAGGTCAACAGCGGCCTGCATCAGACTATCTACCACGGCCGTCACATGAAGTGAAGTTTGTTGTTTATGACAAGAACTTTGATGACCTCAGTGACACAGAGAAACGGCGTGCGGTGCAGATGCTTCTTGGGACCCTCCCTAGTATTGAGGCCATGAATATCTTCCTTGCCAAACACCCCGAGAACAAGGGGCTCGCTGCATGGAAAGATGCCATATCTCCCGGTGCACTTGACATGTTACGTTGGGTTGTTGCCTCTAATCGATCTTTTATCAAGAAGGACAACGATGACAATCTCGAACACCGTGTATCTGGGATGGACTCCTACATTCAATTCCGGTTGGTCCAAGGGGCACCAGACAAAGAACAACGGTTTATCAATGCCGTCAACGCGAAGGCAGCCAAGTCAAACCATCCAACCTTGTTTGCTTGGCATGGTAGTCCAATCCAGAATTGGCACAGTATATTAAGGGAAGGTTTACATTTTAAGGAAGTCTCGCATGGCCGTGCCTACGGAGACGGTGTATATCTCTCCAATAATTTCAAAATATCAGCAGGGTACGCAGCCGAGTATAATCATCTGTCCTGGCCCCAGAGTCGGCTGGGGATACAGGCGTGCATCTCGCTCAACGAGGTTGTTAATGTGCCAGCTGAATTCAAGAGCAGAAGCCCTCACTATGTTGTGCCACAGCTAGACTGGATCCAACCACGCTACCTCTTCGCCAAATGTCGCCATTTATCTGCGGGATGTGATGCAGTAGTGCGGCCATCATTCGTGTACAAACAAGACTCAAATTATCCGGTATACGGGCCCTGCGGAGAGCTGATTGAGATACCAATGTCTGCCTTCAGCAGCCAGCGAAGGCGCAGTCTGATGGCATTGATGGATGCAAAGGCTGGCGACACCAAATCATTTCCCCTTGCTCCTGCGGGCCACAAGCAGGGACTATGTGATCCCCCAAGCACACCACCAGTCGCCAACACAGCACTTATCGAGCAGGAAGACGACAATATCAGCCAAGCAACAACATTTGAGGATATGCAGCTTCTGCTATCCGACACTGAAGACGACTTACGAGATAAAATGACCGAACCATCCCAGCCATGCAAGAGTTGCATCGAGAGTAACTTTGATCCCGGAACTTTGGACAAATATTCGTTTAGGCTACTGACACCCCCGGAATACGCAACGACTCCCGCGACAAGAATTCTGCAACAACATCTACAAGCGACACTCAAAGTTCAAGCACGCGAGAACATCCACGACCTCGGTTGGTATATCGATCCCGATCTCATCAACACCGTGTACCAGTGGGTTGTTGAGCTGCACAGCTTTGATCCAGCACTCCCACTAGCTAAGGACTTGAAAGCTGCCAATCTCAAGAGCGTACTCATCGAGCTCCGGTTCCCGCCACGTTTCCCTATGGCCCCGCCCTTTGTCCGCATCATCCGTCCGCGGTTTCTCGAGTTCGCTGCTGGAGGCGGGGGGCATGTCACCGCTGGCGGAGCCATGTGCATGGAACTCCTGACAAATTCCGGCTGGCTGCCTACGGCATCGATCGAAAGCGTGCTCCTGCAGGTTCGAATGGCGCTCACGAATACCGATCCTCGACCGGCGCGATTAGCCGGAACTCACTCTCGGATGGACTACGGGGTCGGCGAGGCAGTGGAAGCATATAAGCGGGCATGCATTGCGCATGGCTGGCAGATTCCAGAGGACATTCAACAGTTATCCTGGGGGTAAATTTGCTGAAAAAGATGATAGTTCATCATGCAATTTTTGGGAAATAGTATTCCAGTGCACATCTAAAGGTGTCTACACACCTTCACTGTTAGCTATCTGAAATCAAAACTAATCTACTTGATCACGCAAGCTAGTTCGCATTCATCCTGTCATAATGCTATTCGCTGTAAATAAATATTACAGTCTCTTCCACATCACACATCTCCTACTCAAATCATGTCCATGCCGTCCCTGCTCCCCCAGCTCGTTCACATGTTCTCCTCCTGCCCTCTCACCGTCCACCTCCACAAACCCGAGCTTCGCATAAAACGGCCCATTGAACGCCAGATCCCGATACGTCGTCAACGACATATACTCGAATCCCTGCTCTCGTGCTTCCCGCTCGACGTGCTCCAGCATTCGCCGCGCGATTCCCTTCCGCTGCCATCTTTCTTCCACATCGATCTCGGCAATGTAAAACATCCCGTCGAGGACTTGAACGGCTACGAAGCCGACTGGTGTGTCCTGCGTGTCCACTGCGACCCACAGATGATGCGCTTCGATCATCGAGCGGAGCACAGCTGCATCCTGCGGCGGCGACTCGGCGACCCAGGCGAGATCCACTGTGCGGAAGAGTTGCGCTGCGGAGACTTCGATGTCCCTGATGATTGGGATATCTTCGTCGCGAGCGAGGCGGGTGGATATTACCGCTGGTGGTGTTGGAGAGGTCATATCGGCCATGTTTGGCACATGGGTGGGTGGGACCTTGCAAGATCTAGGGGGTTGGAAAAGGCTGTGTTGTGTGAAAAAATATAGGATGGAAGGTACGATTTGACACTTGACTAGGTTTTTTGTGATTCGAGCGAGAACATAACACGGTTAAGGTAGCTATATACCTTGGCTCCGTTAAAGATCTCCTGTTTACGGCCAAACAGGCCAATCGGATGATCATATCTGCCCCATTGTTCGCCTCTTGAGTCATATGAGGCAGTGAAATGGACCCTTTGCAGTTCGTACCTATGGATTGATTGATTGATTGATTGATTGATTAGATGAATGTGCGAATCCTACCAGTTCAAATATCAATATATGTAGCCTTGTTTTCCTGGCATCAAATTGGCAGTGAGTAACACAAGGCTATGTTGCTCCAATGGGCCAAGGCAGTCTACGTCTTGATTTCAACAACAATCTCAGCACCTCAGCATATCAATCCGACGCTCAAAATAGACATGAAACTTGCAATCTCTATACAGCCAGCTCTAGCTCTATCGTCTCTGTTGCTCATTGACCAAGGCCTCATATCTCCCCTTTGCCAACGCATACACCGTCTCCAGGCGAGGCATGCTCACTCCCCATTTCCTCGCCAATCGTACTGTATTCCCAACAATCGCTTCGACCTCAAATAAACGGCCACTTTTCACATCTTGCAGCATGCTCGGATCGCGCCCTGTCCCCATTTCCGCCCGACGCGTCGCGGTTATCAGTCGCGCTTTCGCCGCCGCCTCGTCCACCCCCGGGATCCCCACTTTCTTCGCCAGTGCGACAATCTCCATCATGATACCCCAGACCAGCTCGTGGGCGAATGGGTCAGAGGTGAGCAGGAAGTCGCCATCGGTGCACAGGCTCAGCGCGCAGATGGGGTTCCACGGCGCGTTGACGAGCAATTTGGCGAACCGAGCGACCTGGATGTCTTCGAGGTATTTCGCTTCCCCGCCGCCTTGGATCATCAGATCCACTAATCTTTGGGCCTTGGACTGATGCGCAGCCGGTGCATTCGCAGGGTACGTTCCCAGCTCCAGCATATTCAGCATCTCGGGATAGTCGATGACCCCCGGGCTGGTCTGAGTGCCAGGCAGGTAGATTACACCGCTGATAATAGGATTCTCTGGGAATGCGTCCGCGACATCCTTTTCGATCTCAATGCCGTTCTGCGCGAGTACAATCGCCGTCTCCGGACGACCGGCAACTGCCGGTCGGATCAGATCAGCGAGCGACGGCTGACTACCCGGGAAGCATTTCGCAGTCACCAGGACATAATCGTAAACGGTGTCTTTGGGGCATTCTTCAACAGTGCGCACAACGTGATCGGGGCGATAGTTGACGTTGCCGAATCGGACGCTTGTCAGCGAAAACCCTTTCTGTTTGACAGCATCGTAGTTGGATCGGCACACCGCAGTGGTGGTACACCCGGCTCGCTGCAATTGAAGCAGATGGATGGCACCGATACTGCCGACGCCGAAGATCAAGATATGAGGTGGTTTTTGTGTCATGATAGCTATGAAGAACAAAAGATAGTTCGGTGAGTGGCCATCAGAAGCCTTATGAGTCAACCTCGGCGGGACAGCGCTCCACATTTATATCGCCATTTCTCGCTTGAAAACGAGCTCAATCGCCTCGGATGAGTGCCCTGCACATAATCAGACTCATCTAATGCTGACCAATAGTGTTGTTTGTTCTCAACATCTCACTATCCATTCATCAGCATCCCCTTTACCATTCTGCTTTAAGCTAAGCACACCATACTGCCTTCTCTTATCGTGTTACGAAGGTAATCATCGTCACCAATCTTAGACACTATGCCCCCCAGCAAGACCTCAATTGAGCTTCATTAAACTCTGAATTTACAGTAGACTTACTCACTTTTCAATACACAGTGAAGAGGAATTAACAATTTAGTGAAAGAGCAGTGAAGATTTTTCATAAAACAATAGACGTCATCGCATCACTCTATCAACCCAACTATCTGACTTAAGTCATTCTGAACCAAGGAATGTAATACAAAACCAATTCTTGTCAACATCCTCAACATAATGTCTCATACAGGCTGAAATATCCGTACGTTGTTCTTCCAGACCTCCAAGTCGTGTCTGAGCGGCTACCAAGCTCACCTCCAAGAGCTGTCCACCTTTTGGGAGGTACCGGCACACGCTTCGGGAACAGTGTAAGACCGGTTAGGGTCATTCTCCCAAGCGACGCCACCATTCTGCTCCTTCTTGAGGAATTTGTATTCAAACGAAGTTCCCACGGGGAGGTCGAGAGTGACGGCCCACAAAGGATTCGACGAAGTGTACTGGCTGGAAGAAAGAGCGACTGCTTTATCCGGGTTCCAGCTACCGAGCTGAGGGATGGAGCCGGAGATGAAGATGTTCTCGCCGTAGGATGTTCTCACGCTCTCTTCAAGGACCACTGGAACGGTCGTCGCAGTTTTGCAGCTACCAGTTGGAGTCGTGACGGCGGTGGCGAGGGTAGTGCTGGAAGAGCTGCCAGTTGGAGTCGTGGTGGCGGTGACGAGGGTAGTGGTGGAAGAGCTGCCGCACAATCCACTTCCGGACATCCAAGATGCCGGAACAAGGACACGGGGAAGACCAGATGCCATGGGGACGGGGATCTTGCCGTCGGAACCGACCGTGACAGACGAGCAGGTGTACACCTCCACTAGATTGGCTCCAGACGAGTATCCGCTGTTACCCAAGTTGAGCGTGTACGATCCACCGTTGGAACCAGAGTTGGAAAGTACAGTGATGACCTGCGAGCCCCCGGAGCCCTTTCGCATTGCAATGGTGTTGCTATCAGTGTAGAAGGGATTGTTCTATACCGGTTAGTATTGCAGTGTGAGTCTGGCCAGAACACATACTCGTGAAGTAAGATAGCTTGAATCCTTTGAAATGGCGAGCTGACGGATCTTGTTCGTGGTGGCAATGAATTTATACAGCTCTGAGGTGGTAGAGTAACCCGACAACCAGATAGCTTCGCGGTTGTACGGGTCATTTCCACCAGAGTAGTGCTGCTCCTGTCCAGAATAGATGATGGGGATTCCGTCCGATAGTATGACATAGCTAATAACAGCCTTGGCCTGGGACATATCCTTGGTATAGCTGCAACAGTTAGCCTCTTCTCCTTTCCTATGTCAGTATTGGCCTACCTAGCGAAGCGAGGATTGTCATGGTTCTCAATGAAACTTCCTAGCACGGTGGGGTCTTTACAATCCGAGGCCACAGAGTTGATCATATTGTAAAGATCACCCATGCTACCACTCGACGATTCGAACGCTCTCAGGAGGGGATAATAGCTGATTGGTTAGTACATCAATCTGTATATGAAAGGGTGAACTCACATGGGATAATTCAGGACACCGTCCACATATCCCTGATAGGGGCAGGTATAAGCCGGGTCCCCATCTAATACCTCGCCAACGGTATAAACACCAGCAGCTTGGGTGTAGCCAGTCCAGAAATCCTTTTCAACGTGCTTGACGGTGTCGATACGCAGACCATCAGCTGTTTCTGTTAGTTCTGAAAGACGCCAGGGGACGGGACTTGGATTGGATTACTAACCAGAGTAATTGCCAACAATTTCTTTGATCCAGCTGTACCAGATGTTCCGCACATCCGAATGCTGGGTGTATAGGTCTGCCAGAGCCACAGTGTTGTCTCCCAACCAACAGTTCTCTACCTGAGACTGGTCGTTATAGTTGTTGATCGGGCAGTACGAGTGGAAGTAGGAGGCAGAGTTGAACGGGGTAAAGGTGCTAAAATCAGTCGAGGCACCAGGTCCATTGTAACCCTTTTGTTGAGGTCGGGCTGTCAGTAGGAATGGTATAACTCAATCAGTGAGATATCACCTACCATGTGGTTGGCAACAACGTCAATCATCAGGTACATTCCCCTGTCGTGAAGGGCCTTGGACAATGCCCGAATGTCATCGGCGGTTCCGAAATGGGAGTTGACATTGTAACTGTTCTATATTAGCAAAACGTAGTGAATGTTATAAGGAAACTCACATATCCTTCTGCCAATAGCCGTGGAATGCTGATCCTTCAGCGGTATCCTGTGGGATTTGCTCCGTAATGGGTGTGATCCAAATAGCAGTGAAGCCCATTCCTTGGATATAATCGAGCTGGCCGAGTCAGAAAGGAATTCAACAAAATTGGAAACCAGTAGGCTTACTTGCTTGATAATACCCTGCCAGCTTCCACCACAGTACGCCTGAAATCGTCAGCGTCATGACACATGACAAAGAATACGATGAAATCACTAACCCTCTGGCTGAGATCACATGGAGCGGTTGTTGAGCCATCTGTACGAGCAAACCGGTCCGTTATCAGGAAGTAGATAGACTGGCCCCGCCATTCGGCCGGAGTTAGACCAAATACCCCTTTGCCCAACAGGGCGAAGGCAGTTGTCAAAGCTAGAAGCTTCATCTTTGAGTGCGTCCCAAGCGCCTGAGTCGTAGTCTGTGAAGTCACTGGCTTGGGGGGAAAAAAGAGAGAAAAAAGATATCATCTTGGAGCAGAAGTCGTTGCCCGGCTTTATATGTCTTTTCAAACCTACACCGGTCATCCAAATGCCATGGTATCCAGCAAGAAACAGCCCACTTGGTGGTAGACAGCGGAAAAGACGGGGAGGAAATTGAGACTCGACGGACGATTGCACCTATCATGGAGACTTTGCACGTTCAACGGCTTTTTTACCGTCACTAATTCTGCAGGAGACATTTGCGAACATAGTCCACCCCGAGTTGAGGCAGTCGGCATATCCTACCTCCACATTGAGGGTGGCTGACCTGTTCTGCAAACCCCCTTATGTGCCGAAGCCCAGGTAATCATGCCGTGCGCTAAGCAAATGGTTCTGTATTTGGCCTCGGCATTAGGGGGATTTTCTTAGCCAATCCCCGACAAGCTTTTGACCGGCACATTCAGTGTGTCAGCCCTCATGTCAAGGAAATCTTGGTGACAACTGACGAGGCCTTTCCCGCGTGTGGGGTAATTTCAAGGTCTCGTTAAATTAATCTTTGATTGCTTGAACCCAAAGCATCCAATCTCAGACCACAGCGTGTCTCAGTACGATGACCAATGCGGCATGAATAGTCGATCGCCATTTCTTCATCCTGCGTATGAAGGCTCAAGGGTCGGAGGATTCGGTGGTGTGTGTGGGCTCACTCATACAAATTATTATAAAGGATTGGAACCTGGCCAATGACGCAAGTCAGCAGGAAGTTGGCTAGATGAATACGAGGGTTTACATGCTCGACTTGCAGTTGCGGAGAATATTTTGTGGGCTCTGACTGGGGTACAAGCTGCCAGGGGCGGAAATTCTGCGGCGAAATGTACAATATACTCCTTCTGTTCATGAGACAACTAGTCAGGCAGCAATGAAGAATGATGTCAGTGAGACTTTTAAGAGATATCAGTGAGTCTGAGAGAAATATCATGAGACCCCGAGACAACCACATCAAGCCACTTACAATTCAGTTGAGAATCCTTGATCAATCTCCAGAAGACAGTGATTGATCGATATCTGAGTTGAAACGGCATCCGGTATCAGTTGACGGTGGGGAGATGGCTGGATAGTAGTCGGAGGGTGAAGAGAAGAAGGAGTTATCCAACCTTCGAAGCGCCTAGGAGTCGCATCACGTGGCTGCCGGTGGTAGGCAGTATCGTCTTTCCTATTGCAAATCCGATCCATTGCTGATGACAAGTACATGCCTACCCCCCAGGAACCCATGATTCTGTACACTGAATCAAGGCTGATCGGTGATTGATCAGGAATGGCACGGCGGCTATATCCGAAAACAAGTAGCATGCCTGCTGTCTATCTATCTCGGTCCGAGATTAGAGCTTGATCGTGGTCATTCACGCCCGAATTGAACCGAGCCATCGTGGTTATGGCTTATCTGACATAAGGCACTGTGTAAAGTATTGGCTTCTCCAGTCAACACCCGCATTTGCCATCAGTTGCAGGGCTGACAGGACGCTGTGCTTGACAAGTTGAATACGATGTACTTCACAATGACTCTCCTACTCAGCGTCACAAAGGACCGACTCCAGATCGCTGGCTGATGTTTGGCTTATAGCCGGAAGGGAAGACCCATTATTCAGAACCATCAGGATGCTGCGGGAATTTGATAGTCGGCTTTTGATATCAGGGTGGAAATGCTTGATCACTTCGTGTATGGATTCGAGTATTAGGTTGATATCCGATGATTATCACCAAGTTCTCGAGCTTGGACCATGCAGCTGTGGTTATTCGATTCTGCCCGACTCACAGATTGTAGTCCTCACATTGCTATTGACCGAAAATGAGATGAGCGTACTTGTCGAGCTTATACTTTTCCCGTCATCCAAATCGGTAAAATCGGCTGCTTTTCTGTGTCTGTGTTTGGACAGTGACTGTCTTCGATAAACCCAGAGAACAGCAAGAGCCAGGACCGAGAGTATGAAGAGAGCCACTGTTTAGACACCAACGCTGATGAAGAAGGAAGCACCAAGTGAAAATCCATGCATTTCTGAGTCGTCCGTCCCTGATGAATTGCCAGTATCCCAGGAACTGTCCGAACTAGAAGCATAGCCCATCCCCGCAGAATTGCTTTCAACGGAGACTGCATTTCCCGTGCAACTGGATCTGTAGGTCGCGGAGCTCGTGCTTGCATGCATAGTAGCCTTTCGTGTGCTACTCGCTGGACGCGTCTGGGTCTTCGGCGCAGCTAATGGCAGGGAATTTATGGTTGCCAGTCTCCATGACGGTGGACCAGGGTACAATTCGTCCGAGGGATCATTGCAGTTGACTACCCCCGTGGCTGATTGCTTGCAACATGCCCAGTATCCTGCACGATTGTACGTTATGACTGCGCTGCTCCGTCCTCCTGGAGATTTATTCATCTTGGCTCAATCATGAAGTCGTAACAGAGCGCGCATACCACACCGTGTGTTGCATGCCGGATCAGTCAACATTTTATCCGTGCAGTCAGCCGAATAGTAGAAAGTATGGCTGTTGGGTTTGTACCCCTGACAGATAGAATTACTCAGACAGTAGTCCCCTTTGGCGCAGCAGGAGATGTGTGGATGGGAGGAATTGGTCGTGCCGCAGGGGAGGCCGGCGGGGATATTCTGGATGAGGCCTTTGTGCATCCCATAGCAAACATTTGAGGACATTTTGGCAAGCTTGTGGAGTGCTGCGAAAGAAGCCATAGATTCTGAGGGAGAGTTATATATATAACGGCTATTTGAGTCTGTGACTATCTGTTTATGGTGGGCGCCTACAGCCCGAATAGACAGCCGTACTATACGCGCCGGGACAGCGAAACACTGTCCAGCTTGCCAGTGCAACTATAAATCAAGCATAGTGACTCCTGCTCAGGCGCATGATCTTTAAGCTCAACATCAAGATCAAACGTGCAGTCAAGACAGTGCGGTGAAAAGCGTACGGACCGCATGGCGATCAAGAGATGGTCTCCAGACAGTAATATACACAGTATGAGAGGGGGGTCCAGGAAGTATTAGAGCCGATTCCTGTCGCGTTCTCACCCATGTCTCAGATTTTCTCGAGCTCCAAATGTTCCAACCTTTGTGTGATGGATATCATTTTCTTGCTGTACAAGGTGGATGAATCAAATCTCCTTGTCCGGTTGTGGGAGAAGCAACGAGTGGCGCCCATTGTGAGATTGCGAGTGAGGCTACTGATTGTTAGCGCTCGGTAGGAGGTGGTGGCTTGTCGCTCCGATGGATCCTTGACTGTACCATCCAATTATCTCAATTGAATGGCTCGTATTTCACCACGATTTTAAACGTCCAGCCTTATGGTGGCTGTGCGAAAACAGATGACATCCTCAGGCTGCAGCATTAATGGACTGGATGGGAATAAGAAGCAGCAAACATTCGCTTTGATCTCGAAAGTCAGAACAACCTGATAGTGACCCTCGCGATTATGAACGGTCTCAAAACCCCCAGTGAGGCAGCACCTGCCTACCATGAGCTGTTTGATGTTGAATCTGGCGCTACCTCATCCAGCGCTGTAAGCATTTTCCCCTTCCATATTCTTTGGACCCTGGATAGGACGCTGTACTAATCATTTTGACATCAGTATACTGCAGTGCCGCAAAACGATACGCTCGACGAGACCCGAGCCAGCGACCGCCTCCATGATGTAGAGTCGCACTCCCACAACTCGAATCCACTGTCCCAGGCAGAGAGTCTCAAGCCTCATACCCATTGTGAGGTTTGCGATCGCCAGATAGAACGCCGGGAAAAGAAGAGGTCTGAACAGAAGTGCTGCCAGCTTGTGGCGATTGTATTTATCGTGGCGTTCGTCTGTCTGATGATTCTGGGGATTGTGGTTGCAAAGGCAGCTTCGCGTCGTTAAGCCATTAAGCGAAGATGTTGACATCTTTGTTTATCCTATTCCCTAACTAGATAGATACAAGGTAGTTTATCGATTTTGTGTTTTTATTATTGTGTTTACAACGTCCCCGTTGTTGTCGTTGAGCGGTGCCACCCGATGACGTCTTCCACTCTGGCTGTGGCACATCCGCCTTACATATATATGTATATATCCTCATTTCAACATCGGTTCTTTTGTCCTCATCATAATCACTGTATGATAGCCAAGTGCAGATCCAGTAATCATGCCAGAAAGTTAGTCATCTCATGGATAGATCTAGTCTTTCGTACCACTGACTTTATAGACCCCAAATCACCGCATCACGAGAGATTCATGGACAGGATGCTCCATCCTGGACATCATGAACACCGTGGTGAAACCGGAGAAGAACACCAGCATAAACATCATGGCGACGAGAAACACAGTCCACCTTCTGATAGTTCCACCAGAGGAAAGAATTTAGTGGAGAGATTCGAAGACTATACAGAAGAGGAGAAAAAGCTGCTACAGGAAGGTGATACCTATGGAGGGTTGATGTAGCCTCTGGTGGTGATGATACGCTTTTTTATTTTTGTCTTCCGTCATTTCAGATATCAGATATCGTTTTCATTCTCTAAAGTCAACAAACAATGCTCTCCATCCTAAAAATGAAGTCATTTCATTCTTCCATAACAACAGTTAAACCCCGCGAATGTATCTTCCTTCACATGATCAAAATGCACCTCTTAACAGCTGCATCCACATGCCTTACAGCCGCCAGCACCGCATTTGTCCGAGGCATGGCAGTCATTTCTGCTGCTGCACTTGATCCAATCTCCAAATCCATCGTTGTGGGCCGTCCAGCACCATTCACCAGAGCCAGGTTGAGCACACGACTTGTAGCACCACCCATCCTTGCTACAGCCGAGAGAGTCTTTAAACCAGCAGTCGCGTTTGTCGATGCTCTTCTTCTGAAGAGCTCCCGCAGGATGCTCCCTGCATGTTCGGACCGCTTCAGGATCGACGCCTGCTGGGACATTGGTGGTGTTCATGACGCCGAGATCGCCGCAGAAAGCTTCGGCTTCGGCGTAGGAAAGCCTGGAGGCCTGGCCAAAGTTGGAGAGGCCCAAGGCAGTGAGGATAGTGATCAATGTGGCTGACTTCATGTTGGCGTTTGCGGAGTAGGTCCCGGGAAACGAGAAGTGGTGATGAGAGAATACCTCACTTGTGGGAGCTTTGGATAATGAGAGTTGAAAACCACCAGATTACCGGCAGAAGCGCAGAATTTATACTCAGGATCGCAGTCGGCGAGACAACACTACTATCTGATCCGAAATATCGCTGTAGCCACAGTTTTGGCAGACCGCATGTTTGATATGGCTAACAATGCATCTGGTGGTCCGAAGTACTTTGCAGCCTGCCTGAGTTGTAGGTGCCACGGGCTGATAGAGATGAAGGTGTGCTCTGAATCATGCTTGGGATGTCATGACACGACCTAGCCTAACACGTCGGCGACATTTGAGATGGAAAGAAAGTAAGGAATGAAGCGTCGGTCTTGGTAGGGCTCAAAGCGAAAGTAAGTCTTCCAGTTGCCGTCCAGAAATTGACTAGAAATCAATGCTTTGTCCTACATCCAACCTGGCTCTTTATGTCAAATTGACCCTTGCATGAGCATATCCCGAGACAACCGCCTCCACAACTCATTGCTACTGGTTTTTCGGTATCTGTTGGTTGCCTTCTTGAATGCTGCCTCGTTATTAACCGGCCTTGTGGGAAGAATGTCGGGTGCTGGGGTGGAATAGTCCCTCGTAGGCATCACCTTCCTACCATCCACGGGTTCGAAGTCCTCCTTTTGGATCCGCTCGTGCGGAGTCTTTATGTTGTGTAGAAATGTGTCGAGAAATCGTTTTCCAACGGGTAGTAATATATGTGGTTGTTGACACTCTGTCAATAGCTTTTTAATCTGCTCCTCTGCACTTACAGCACGAGCGTCCTAGATCTCCTAGTCATCCGCAATACTCCATCCTTGCCTAGGTGTGTAAATTCCTGGCCAGGTTGGTCGAGTTACATGTACAACACAGAACTAGGAAGGATCTTGAGATGATGCTGAATGTGTTTGGTCAAAAGTCCCAGCTATTCGCACATAGAGGACAGCCAGAGCTGTTCCTTACATAGTTGTTCAGTTTAGTAGTGTAGTATGAGTCATACAGGTTTTGTTATTTAGTGTATCGAAGTGAATGCCAATGTCATGAATTTACCCCGTCAAGTCAACTAACCCTTACGTTGTGGGGGAAGTACAGAATTTAGCGTCGACCCATTGCGCAGCCACATATTTCGTCTGCGACCAGATAATTCGAGAGAGAGTAGTCCAGGAAGATCGAGGCTGTGTCTGAACCTTTTCTAGTGTCATTCTTGGCGTCTCTCACCCAACTGCATTCTGTAATAATAATCGTAAAGGACAAAGCTGTGGTGATTCGTTAATGTCTATGATTCCTGATCACTAAGCCATGGGAGCCCTCCATGGCGTGGTGCAGCTTGCATAAATTGAGTCATTTATTATGTAATGCGAATCAGTCTAAGCTTCATCAATACTTGAAGCGGTAAAAAGGTTAAGTATTCTTCTACCAGCCAAGGGTGCTCTGGAATTTCCGGTGAGGCTTGTTCGAGTGTCGGCGTGGGCTGTGGTAGTGTGTAAACTGTAAACACATATGTACAGCCAGTTAGGGCGGGGAAACTCAATTCCTAGGGAAGAATACAGCCTAAGAACTAAGACTCAGAATGCCTAATGTCTCCTTAACGCTCACCTTGAACAATAGCGAAGTGTAGCTAGCATGGACGATGACGACCAAAGGGTCATATGGAACAATAATCATCATCCATTGAGATCATCAACAGCCACTGATGTTTATCTGTAGCAAAACCATGGCTCAATGGGTCGTTATACTAATGTCACTCTTGAGAATGGTATCGTACTGGATATTGCGTCTGAAGATCCTTGTCAGCAACATCCATTCAATTATCTACTGGACACTACACCAAATGTAGACTGAAAGCTGGCCAAGCCAGTAAGCTAATAACCAACAGTAACTATCCAACGTGATTCGGTAGTTCAAGTGCCCAAGTGGCGAGGATCCGCCACGTTTTGCAAGGGCTGTGCCTAGTCAATATTCCGATCATTTCCTAATCGGGTATATTTGAAGGCCAAGAAACGCGGCTGACATCCAAGACGCTGAATGCGCGATGATATACAGCATAACAACACTCCGGACACACGATGTTGATAGGGAGCTCACATGCTGAAGAACAAACTTTGATGATGCCATGAGGATGGCTGCGCTGTCAACCCATAAAATACGTCAGCATGTCTTTGAAGTATAAAGATCAAGACGAAACCACGAGAATTGGTTCTTCCAGACAGACTGGAATATCACACCATCCCAAAACATGCGTTCAATTCTGCTTCCGATACTTGCGCTATGCGCCTCGTGTACCGCGAACCTCCTGGGTCCTGTGTATCCAGCACCACAGGACCTGAGCTCCAAGTCCAGCAAAGTCGCCGCTGGTTGGAACAACCTCACTTCGGTCCTACACAAGCACACCACCTCGAATGAATCTCCGCTGCACACCCTCACGTTCTCGGTGGGTTTGTTTTCCACCCATGATCGTACTGCCGAAGCAATGCAGTTCCATTACACATCTTCCGAGATCAGCCAGGGCCCCAACGGCACACGCAAAGTCGATGGAAATAGCATCTACCGTGTGGCCAGTCTGACCAAGCTATTCACGGTCTTTGCCGGGCTGCTTGAACTGGGCGAGGCAGACTGGGAGCGCCCTTTGACGAAGCTCTTCCCTGCGTTCGCCGCAAACGTCAAGGCTCGAAAGGATCATGATTCAGTTTACAGCACACCATGGGACCAAATCACGCCCAGTGCCCTGGCGGCCCAGATTAGCGGCATTGCACGCGATGGAATTCCCTGGGATGGTGGAGATGTGTTACTGCAATACCTCGGTGCCATTCTCACTGGCCAGACACCGAACCCTCTCTTCGATCCAGCGACCTATGGCCTGCCTCCCTTGGATCAGAGTGAGGTCCTCTCCTTATCGCCCTGCCTTGCGGACGGGAACACAACGTGTGATGGATCTCTATACACCAAGGGAATTGCGAAGAATGCTCCAGTGTACCTCCCTTGGACAGGTCCAGAGTACTCCAACAATGGATTCATTCTGCTTGGGCTGGCCATCGCCAATCTCACTGGAAAGCCCCTCGAAAAACTCTACCAGGAGGCCATCTTCGACCCGCTTGACATGCGTTCCACCACTTCCGATCCCCCTGCGGTCTCTACACTCTCCCGCTCAGTCATCGCCGGCGACTATGCAATCAACTTCGGCGCTCCTGGCGGCATCAGCAAGTCATCCGGAGGTATCTTTTCCACCATCAACGACCTGGCGAAGTTCGGTACTGCGATCCTCAATTCTACGCTTCTGCCAGCCGACCGGACCCGTAGATGGATGAAGCCCGTCTCACACACTACGGATCTGCACTACTCCGTCGGTCGGCCGTGGGAGATCTACCGCTACAAGCATCCAAAATCCGGGGTCATCACGGATCTGTACACGAAGCTGGGCGACTCGGGCAATTATGGCAGCTTTCTCGTCCTGCTTCCCGACTTTAACGCGGGATTCAGCATCATCGGGGCGAGTGCGCTTAGCTCAAGGTCCAATGCGACAAACTTGCTGGCGGATTTGGTTACGGAGGCTATCTTGCCGGCGCTGATGGACCAAGCTGCGCATGAGGCCGGGAAGAACTATGCAGGTAGATATGTCACCGATAGACTCAACTCCTCCCTGACGCTGGCTGTGGGCGAAGCTTCAACCCCAGGCCTCTCTATCACCTCCTGGGTCAGCAACGGCACTAATCTCATGCCAGTGCTGGCATTGCCGCTGGGAGGTCTCAACGCACGACTGGTGCCTACGATCGTATCGGACAATAAGATCGCCTTCAGACCGTATACTGTTACGCAGGAGGCGAAGAAGGGATTGTTCTCGAGCAACTTCGACGTGAGCGACTGGCTGGCTCTGGGAAGTGGCTCCTACGCTGCTTCAGGGCTGGGGCATTTTGTGTTCAACGTGGACAAGGACGGCAAGGCAAAGTCGGTGGAACTTCCAGCATGGAACGTGACGCTCAACCGCCATGAAAGCTAGACTTCATGATTCCTATTTTAACTCCTATATAGACTGAATCAAGACACCCATTGGTAATTCAAAACAGGGACCGTGAATGTCTCCGCCGTACATGTCGCATTGAAGAAAGAATCATGCACACAGTTCACCTCAAACTCGGTTGATCCCGAATAGGTAATCTTACTCCCATTCACACAGGTCAATGCATGCCCATCCCCAAGCACGTAATCCATCCGTCCCACGGACTGCTCTTCATTCGAGCTGCCGTAGAACGAGACAATCCGTCCCAGGCCCCGGTCGCTGTAGCCGCAGTTGCTCGCTCCGTTGCCGATATCGTGGACCCGGTACCCGATGTACTCGTCATGGCACTGCAGGCCATCTTCAAAGTCGATGTCGAGCGTCTCCTTGGGTCCGTAGCCCCAGGGCTCGTAGTTGGGCATGCCTGTCCAGCAGTAGTGGACCCATGATCCGTTGCAGGTCGACTGCACTGGTTCGCACCAGTTGTTGCCGCAGAGGCAGCCCATGGCGTTGATGTCGGCTTGGTTGTGCACGCAGTCTAAGCTGTGGGAGCCGTTGTACCAGTGGAAGTTGTTGACCGTCCAGGTGGGAAGGGGACAACCCTCGGGGGGTGTGATGGACTGGGTGAGGGCAGTTGTGGCCATGGCCAGGAGGCCGGTGAGAATGATTTTCAGAGTCATCTTGAGGCCTTGGTTTTTTGATGATGATGATAATGATGATGATGGAGAAGGGGAAATATCGAGAAGTGGTCTGTTTATATACCTGTGAGACCAACTGTAGTGGTGGAAGGATGTGATCGGATGTGATCGCGATGTAACCTGATTTGCATTATACCCGAGGAAGTTCTTCACCTGTGCAGCATCGAATGTGATATGATGAGACAAACCCAATGATCGACCATCATAATACCCACTCATCGAGACATGGCTTGCTCTTGATTCTTTTATTGGTACAACGCAGAAATCAACTCCACAAAAATCGAGCAATCGATTAAATCTGACGGCGGAGGAAACCGTGGGACGACGGGATGCTTAATTTAGTTCAGACTGCATCAAGCTACTTGTCGCTAATGTACGTCTGGGCATGGGCAGAGGAGATACTGACTCTTCTGCTCACCAAGATCTCACCATGTATTGCGGTGGAACAGCATTCATCGTGTGTCTTTTTCTGTGTAGTTGAAACAACGACTCTATAAGACCATTGCGTTGCCTATGCCTCCTAATCTTCCGGGATTCGCAATAGACGATGACTGAAGTTGTACCCCAACCTTTCCTGCATAGATCTCGTTTTCCAAGTATTAAAAGGTTTTTTGATCCAGAATGACTGTATATAACGCAGTAGAGTAAGCAGCAGTCATGCTTTACGAAGACACACTGCAGACATACTGGGGACCATGCTGTACTCGCTCCCCCAGCTCATTGTAGATCCTTTCTGTGTCGAGGTCCCTATCCCTGTAGGCTGTTTTGTTTGCTTTCGATGTAAAACATCCCTCTCGCTTAGGCCTTGTTCGATGTCAGCTTGTTTCATATGCTTCATCTGACATCTGTGCTCGCCCATCATTCGTGTCAACGATCCGTTGCTGTAGTGTTATAGTTGGCATGTTCGACTAGTCCCAATGATTGGTGCTGATATCCGCTCACATAGAGAACAAATGCATTTAGCTGAGATGCAATGAAGAGTTGCTTGATTCATAGTATACAGACGGATGAAGAGCTCCTGCAAAAACTTGAATGGTTAGTTAGTGTCAGAATATGGGTGTGCTGAAAGTAGACAACACACAGCCTTTCATAATGACCAGTCAATAATCCAACCACGAGGAGAATTTCAACATCAAATCTTGAATAAGCCTTTTGGACCGAGCCTCCTTCCCTCATTCACACCCGCAACATCACGTATGATTCAACCTCACTCCACCAATTGTCAGTTTCGTCTCGATGTGTATCTCGACTGCGGTGTCCCGTGAGAAGCTGAAGGAGGTGGAAAGGATGATAGACAGTAACCACAAATCAAGGAGAAAGGTTTGTGTGAGTCTCCTTAGGAGATGGTGTGAGGATCACGTTGTGAATGTCAACCTTCTTGTCACCTATTCTGATATCTTCCAGTCGGTACTATGTCAGTCTCATACCCAGCTTCCCCAGAAATAGCACCCAATGGCAGCAGTGCTGGAACTTCAATAGTGAATGAACATTCCCTTGCCACCTTTTATCTTGGTCCTAGAGTGAACCATTCACTTGTGCAGGTGAATGAAGGTTTTCTGAGTGTGCAGGCACTCTACATACACCATGATCTCAGAAACATCCAGAGCTACATCTCTTCTGCCTCTTCATATCTCTACAAAAACCTCATATCCAGCATCTACTACCTTCAACTATGTTCTCCACCATTCGGACCTGGCTTTTTGTGGCCTTACGCCTCCTCAAGTTGAAACACACCCGGAGCAAATGGGAGAAGGTCCTCAAGAAAGCAAAGACCCCTAAGGACTACGAAAGCTTCCTCCTCTCAGACCTGGACAGCCGCGCCAAAGCCAGATTGATCTATAGAATCAGTCTCCAAAAGGGCCTCCCAAACCATCTCTTTGGCAACCAAGATAAGGTGGATCACCTTGTGACTCGGCTGGAGAAACAAGGTCTATATCAGACTGGACGCCTTCTGCGCTTCTTTCAGTATCATCATCAGCCCCCCGATCCCGAGGCCATGCATTGGTGTCAAGACCTGATCGAGCACGAAAGAACCTGCAACATCATCGCCCAATCGCTAGCCTTCTATCAATCGGCGCACAAGGCTCTCAACGAAGATCGAAATCCCGACAAACGTCGTCGCCTCGCATCCGCCTTGGAGCATGCAAGGGACAGCCTCGAGGAGCTCAAGAGTCTGTACCGGGAGGTTAAGGCCGAGCTAATGACCCATCTTGGCAACATGCCTGGCGGCCCGTTCCGGAAGGCATTTCTGGCTTGGAGAAATGAAACAAACTGGCATCTCTGCGATTGGATGCGTCAGGATTGTGTTGCTCGAGGAGGCTGTTGTGCGAGGGAGTGTGGATGTTGCGAGAAGCCTCGAGGCACTGGCGGATACGGATATCCGATCCATGGACATTGCACTTTGCTGTGTGCCTGTTGCGCACAAACAAATGGACTACCCGTCATGGATGAGAATGCGCAGTGTAATGTTAATCTGTGGGAGGATATTGAGAGGTTCATGGTGGACCAGACAGATATGTACAGCCGTCGGGCATACCGTGCATACATCTGGGGAGTGGATGTCGTCAACGAGATTGAGGACTGCGTTTGACTATATCTATAGGGGCTTTTTTGTATTATTTTCGATAATGATATTGGTTTAGAGGATGTCTATCTTAGACAACATCCTAGATCATTGGTTTGATACCGGCTGTGCGACGGCGACTTTGTACCTTAGACCATTTACTTCCCCGTATCTTACTAAGACAAGATCTATCCAGAAAACTCCATTACTCTTCTGATTGTCGAATCCTAGTCAAATAGTAGTTTTCATTTGAGGATACAAAGTTCAGGGACAATCGTATCTTCACCAACGAGGCAGAAATCTGTCAGAATAAAGATTCAATCAATGACTGCTGGCTTGGACGACCTCTATGACACCATCGTCTAGGAAAGAAATCAGCACGACCATCGATAGGAAATCCCCCCCTGTTACATAAAAGCCGTCGGCGGGAGAGGGGTTGGATTTACCCCGCTTCCCTGGCTCCTTTTATACCCGTTAAGAGAATGTCAACATCTGTCGACCACACATCAAGCCACGATGCCGTATGATCTGAAAGGAAAGAATGTTCTGGTCACCGCAGGCTCAAGGTACAAATCCTCCCTCATCCACCGCCCTCTGGGATCTCCTGCTAACAGACCTGCTCAGAGGCCTGGGGGCCTTGGTATGTGAGAAGTTCGCTGCCGAGGGCTGCAACATTGCCATCAACTACCATTCGAGCCGCGATATCGCCGAGGGTCTTGCAGATCGACTCTCGCGGGACTTCTCGGTGAAGTGCATTGTCCTTCAAGGGGTGAGAGTTGAAGTTGGAGATGGATATTGGAGGTGCTTCAACATGGCTAATCCTAGGTAGGACTCTGAACTTCCAGAGGATAATCAGCGCATAGTGCAAGAGGCAAAGGAGCAACTATCTGGTCTTGATATCATAATCGCCAACGCTGGGTGGACCCGATTTGCAAACAACCGTGATATCTATGACTTGTCGCCGGAGGAATGGGACAAAGTAAGTTTCTGTTGAGTTACCTCCTCCGCTGTCTCGGTTACTCAAGGACAACAGTGCTGGAGAGTCAACGTCATGTCTCATCTGCAGCTTATGCAGACGGCCAAACCCATTCTTGAGAACAATCCCGAAGGCGGCGCATATATCATGACTTCCTCCATCGCGGTACGTCTCGTTCACTGAAGAGGGGCATTTACAAAGTAGTGACACGGGCTTATTTATGACATGACAGGGTATCACACCTGGCGGCAGTAGCATGGGCTATTCGGTCACCAAGTCCGCCGCGTTGCATCTGATGAAACACCTGTCTTTATCGGTTGGACCGAAGATCCGTGTCAACGCCGTTCTACCAGGATTGCTTTTGACCGATTGGGTATGAAGATTCCTCCCCTGACGTCCGTACCTCTTCGTGTACTGATACCGAACAGGGCAGAAGGTTTGGTGAGACTGTGATCGAACGTCTGAATCAAAAAGCGATCTTGAAACACGAGGTGAGTGGCTCATGTTTCACATACGTCATTTTTTTTTTTTTTTTTTTTCTAATCTCACGGGTAGACCGACTTGGACGACTGCGCCAATATGTTCATCACCCTTGCAAAGAATACGTCAATGACCGGGCAACAGATTGTCGTTGGTAAGTCCTTGCCGTCCTCACTGTACGTGTTCGGGACTCTAACAAGCGCAGATTCGGGCCTGTCCATGGGTGAAAGTGGGAGTAGGTAGGCTGGATATAACACATCACATTGTCACATATATATTGGATATTGAATCTGCCTTCGTCCACGCAAACCCTTTACATGGCAGAGATACTCTAATCATGCGCACAGTAATAGTACATAGATACATGGACCAACATCGCACCAGACATCTATCAAAAAGACAGCACCAGCTCCTTCAGCTTAAGAAAGTTGGGCACTCCGAGGCCGGTAACAGGATCCCACCCAGCAGTAGCGTTCCAGTGGGCATAGGGGATGATACCGCCTCCCGGCACAGGCTTTCCTGACTGCGGGTTGGTACCGTCACAGCCAACGGAAGCTCCAGCAGTGATATCAGTGAAGGTCTTGAATCCTTCGCTGTACAGCAAGGGGTTGAGGAATCCGAGAGTAGGCTTGCCGGCGCGCAGACGGGCATCGTTCAACATGCCCACAATACCGGCAAAGACGGGGCAGGCCGCAGAGGTACCGCCGGATCTCGAGCGTGCACCATAGTTGATAACCTCATAACTGCACTCATCTTTAGAGAGAAGACTCATTGATCAGGCGGAGAGAAACTTACTCGGGAGTCAGACTGTGAGCAGACACATCAGGGAAGCCCCGACCGTGGAAGTTTGTATACTGAGAATAATACTCCTTGGTGTCCTTGGAGATGTGATGTTTCAGGTAGCTTTTCACGGCGGCCTCTTGATACCTGGGCCGTTTAAAGTAGTTGCTGAAGCCACCAGAGCTTCCATCCCAGGCAACCTCGGGGGCGTAGGCCTGAGTACCGCCGACCGAAGTGATGAAGGGGCAGGTGCCGGGGAAGGTGGGAGTAAATTGAGGAGTGTTGGTGCCATCGTTGGACATGCATGCCGAACCAATACCTGGCTGTGTCAGTACGCCTCAGCGGGAAGGGTTCAACAAAGGCATACCGGTATCACCAGAAGACTCGAGGACGGTGATACCCCGAAGTCCCATCAAGCCGATCATGTTACACACTCTCTTCGCATAGTATTTGGGGACAGTCTAATCCGTCAGTCAAGGTGCCTCGGATCACAGGAGTCGAAAGTTCTTACCTGTTCATCATCGCCATACGAGTTGGAGATCACCTGGGGCAACGCAGCGTTGGGCTTTGACAGCAAATACTCGTAGTATTCCAAGTAAGGCTCGTTCTGGTTGTCCGCGGCAGTTGGCCCGTCAGCGTTGGGAACATATGGACTAGAAACATTAGCACTTTTCTTGATCGCGAAAATAAAGGTGAGAGCCCTACGGTGAACCACCAGTAATGTACTCGACGACAGGAAGTGGATGGCTGACGGCCACAATCAACTCCACATCCAAGTCGGCTTCCCCAAGTTGGGCTGTGTTCCAATTCTGATCGTTAGTTCCTCCGTTGATCAACTCAACAGAGAAGTTCTGGGAAGGAATTTTGAACAGCTTCTCGTACGCTGCCAAGTCGGCATAGTTGGCCGACTCGTTCAGGAAACTGCCGAAGCCGATCCGACTTCCCGACGAGACAACAGGCTTGTAGTCGCCGAGGTTGTACATCTCCGCCAGGCACGCGGGGGTGATGAGGTCCGCGCAAGACGAGCTGTTCGATGCGCGCTTCGGGAGAGTGGGGAGCTTTGAAGCAAAAGAAGGCAGCGCGTTGTCTTGGTCCTTGCCGAAGAAGACAGTGGGAGCGACCAAGTCGATCGCATCGGTCAGGCTGTCGGGAATGGAGTACTCCGTCGTACGCAACTTCTGCGACGCACCATTCTGATAGTAAGAGAAAGTGGTGTTGAAGAGCTTGTTCACGGTTCCCACAGTGGACGCAAAGTTCACCAGACTGCCCTGGCGGGACACCTGGGTGATGCCGGCAGCTTTCAACCATTCAATGATGGCTTCATCACTGGCAGTTGGAAAGAGTGATTCAATATCCGCCTTGTCCAGCCATTGGCCATACTCGGCATTTCCAGGGGTTGCTAGCGTCGTCAGCTTGGATTCGAGTTGGTCGAGATTCTGACGAGCAAGGGCAATCGACAAAGTAATCGTGTCGGTCTCCGGTGCATCCTTGATCAAGGTCCAGCCATTGGGAACAGCGGCTAATTTCTCGTGCGCAATTCCGAAGGCGGGTGCCGCAAGGGAGCAGAGCAACCCTGCGTAGAGAGTTGAGGAGAGCATTGCTGAGATAGGAGAAAGCAAGCTCGCTCACGTGGGTAGAGAGAATGGAAGAAAAGGCAGGTAAATAAAAGATTGGCCCCGGCCAGCGATCGATATTTATTTTCCCACAATGTCATCCCCAGCAATCACATTCCCCATTGCCTCATGGCCCCATTGGACCCTTCCCACATGAGACATACAGAGTAAGTCTGCAGACTTCCTTCTTGCGTGATTTTTCATGCAGATTCCATACCGGGAGAGGCTAAACACGCCTGGTTTGATTAGCCCCATCGGAAATCCGAAGGAGTAGCGGTATCGCGGCCCTGGATGGAAATGAATCGCCATTGTCACAGTGCTTATCATTATTGTCAAGCACGACAAGCATTTTCTCCACTGGCACCAATCATTCTAAGCTTCTCTTGGTATTTTCCCCTTTCAGGAACAGCCAAAGATGGATTGATTGTGTTTGATTTGCCCTTCAGGACGGTTACATCGTTTCGCAAGCCTAGCAGCACCTCTATCGGCGCAGTCCGAATTCCGAATTCCCGGTGGAGCAACAGACAGACAGCTTCCTCATCAGATTCAACCTTCGAGCACTGTACAATCAAGGCAGAAGGATTGTACCCAAAAGAATGTGTCAGAGATAGATGGACAGGATATCGGTCAAGGATGTGATTGTTCCAGTTTCAGTGCGCTAGAGATTCCCAATCACTAGTAGATCACTTGGGTGCTTATGAGTTGTAACTAGTAGTAAGACCAACGCTTTCAGGAAGGTGCTTGCCCTGAATATCGATGAGTCCCAATCTACATCTCAATCACTAATCAAGAGGGATATATTGAATTGACCTTGGCACTCAGCATCAGGAGCCATGATAAACAGGAAAAGAGTAAAAATCACATTGAACGTAAAAGTGTTATCATATTTGTGAAATTTTGAGGCATTTCAAGCACCCAATCAGGTGGCGCAGTGGTCGCATCATTGGTCTAGTGGTAGAATTCGTCGTTGCCATCGACGAGGCCCGTGTTCGATTCACGGATGATGCATTCTTTTTTTGCTTTCTTTTCCAACTTCTTTTTCACTGGCCTCATCTTGAACAACATTCTAACCTCGATATTCCAGCCATTATTTCCAGCTCTCTGCATACACGGGAGAGTGGCACAAACCATGGTTTGGGTGCAGGAACATGGAAACACCACCATGCGACCAATCACGTCAAGATGTGCCATCTTCAAAGGGTTTACCAATGGCGATGGATTTCAGCACTCAGTGTTTGAAAGTATCTGTCAATTTCAACGATCTTGGTGTTGCTGTTGGTACGGACTTTGAATTCGAGGGGTTCGCTCTCGTTTCTCCGGGCAGCCGCATGCATATCTTCCTGATATCCAGGTACATATATCAAAGTATGAGGCCTTCTGTATGACCAACTGGACTTTATAGACTAGAATAAAGTTTCTTTTTTTTTCCCCCTTCCCGCAATAGAGAACAGATTTCAAGAGAGTCCGAAAAGTACCGGGATACGTGCAAGGATGATGTCACAAAAGAGGAATTACATGACCTCAAAATGCGATGAAGTATCTTGCGATATTGGATCTGCTTTGAATATATTTCCCTGCCTCAGGTTTGTATACCGGATCAGGTGATACTGCTAGCGCTTCATGCATCACACACAACATCCGGTATATCTTTTCAAACCAACTCTCAACAAGCACCTCAGAACCTCTTGAGGCGTCTTTGATTGTCTCATTTTGCCTTCCTGGCCTCTTCTGTAAATGTAGCAGATGCTGAGCTTTACTGCTAGAAGGCAGACCGACTTTTCAGTTGGTTAATTACTGAATGCCAACTTACACCCCAAACCCTCTTCTTCCTCTTCTTCCTCTTCGTCTCTCTGTTTCTATTTCTCCTCCTCTTCGTCGCCATCATTACCCCCCTTTCCCCTTCCTTCTTCATCTCACAAGTACGCCATGGTTCTAGATCCTAGCATCTTGGCTTTGACTTTCAACCACGTCGTGTTACCTTCCCAGCTCCCAGGAAAACACGACAGCAATGAGGAGAGTCAATTTATCAACGCAGACTTGACACGGCGTCTTATACAGTCTGTGGAAGTTCTCAAGAAACACTCTTCTGATGATCTCTCTGCTGCCTGGCAGGCGGTCAAAAGATTTCTTGAGACCTGTGTACACGTGAATGGAGATGGATTCGTCAACAAGGATATGACTCTACAGGCCTTGAAAGAGCTAAATCCCGGAAATGCCATTGCCTTGTACATTGTACAGCAGAATGCGTGTCTTTTTGTGCGGAAGCCTGTGTAAGTTGAGTTCTTTCGAACGCTCCACAAGTGCTCATCCATATCAGTGACGATCCGGATGCCGTCGTTTTTGAAGCTTTCGAGGCATCTCCTGCTGCGGAACAGACCCTAGAAGCAGAAGCGGCGCTGTTGTGGAATTTTCCCGATCAGGCAGTTGTACTCCCTATCCAGGAGTTCAAGGACCCGGTGTTTCAGACAAACCTCGCGGCTTTTTTAGACCAAGCAAGCTCGGAGTCGGTTTATGAATTTTCTGCCAAGGCAAGGAAGGCTGGCGTGGAAGTTTCTGAAGCTCGGGATTCGGCCAATCCTGCTCTCATTACCCAGTTCTTGATGACTATTCTAGCGACAAATGGCGAAAGAGCATGTCCACCTCTCTTGCAGAAACGGATAAAGGATGACGTCTGTTGGGACAATGCGAAGGTGCCCTGGCGCCGGAGTCCCTTCTGGCTCATTCTACGTGTATGCACTGAACGTCTTCTTATGTTTCATTTAGGGGAAGAGCTGGGTCGCATCCACTATAAGTTTCTTCTTTGTAAGTTCATGGCGAGACTTCTAGAGGACTCGATTGAGAGTCTCAGTCCTCAAGACTACAATCATCTGAAAATCAAACTTTGTCGACGTTTGGCGAAGCTGGCTTCGGAAACGGAGAGCTCGACTGGGCCGTCGATGCTGGCGTACAGAAGCCTGCTATCAAGCATTGGGTCATATTGCCAGATATCCATCAATACTGCTACGAATGCGATAGACTACGAGTGGAAGGCTTTTAAGTCCCGCCTGCAGCGTAGGATCCCACCACTCCCGGTCCATGCTCAACCGCCGGACTTCGACCTCAGTCTTCGAAACAGCTCCGCATTCTTCCACAGAATACTTGATTTCTCGAAGCGCTCCCGCTGGACCCCATATACCATTGATTGCAACCGCCTAGGTCAGCATGTGAAGAAATCAACTACGGAAGCATTTCTCGATATGGCCACACGCTACTCCCGTTTGGCCGAGTTCGAGACAGCCATCGGCAATGAGGCGCGGGAAGTCCCCAAGGGCGTCAGGGAGTGCAAAGATCTTTGTATCAAGCTGAGTCGCCAGATTGAACGGTATCTAGATGCCGTTGGAGACGCTTATAAGGACGACCCCGAGCAATTAAGTATTTTTGTGCTGAATTTGTTCGAGCTTTGGGTGCACATGGATAAATGTGCTACTACAGTTTATCCATTGCTCAAAAAGTTTCATCCCTGGGTAAAGCCAGAGCTATTGGATGTCCTGCTGCTATCACGTCTTAGCGATCTGGAGCGCCTGCACAAAATACAGCACTATCTCGGCAACCGCTGCCGTCAATTACTGCCAGATTCGATGACGATATTTAGTGATCCACAGTTAGATTGTTTTACAGATCAGTATTTTGTGCGGGCCTCCGGTCAATCGATGCACCAACTTCAAGAGAGGATTGAAGCAGATTCGCTGGTGGCTAGAGCGAATAAAGAGGCCGAGCTCAACACGGTTAATGAGCAATATAATGCCTTAACAGAGAAGAAAACAATGAGCACCTGCACGCAGCGCCGAAGTGAAGATGGGTCTCATGATATCAGAGGGTGCAGTCACTGCTATTACGTCCGCCGGCGCCGGCGCCTGAAGATCGGAGTCCATGAGGATTTCCTCCCGGAGGATAGGAATAGTCCTAGCAAGAGGGCTATCGTGTTTGAGCTAGGGATGCCGAAATCCTTTGAGGCATACCGAAACGCTACTTGGAATATCATCGCAAGTCTCAGCCAATGGGGTGGTAGCACTGGGGAACCTGAGGTAGTCCTCGAAGATTACTCACAGTTGACGAAGTATAGCACCAAGAATCGTTCTGCCTCACCAGAGGGGATCACTCTGGCTTCGGAGACCAAGTCGTATCTGGGGACGCACTATAAGTGGAAGGCTCTACCGGCATCAAGCCGCAATGTTCTGCTTCCTTCGGGGTTGAAGTTTGCCTATTACGACTCTAGACGTAAAATTTGGCTGAAACGGTTTCCGAGAGAATTGAGCTTCGCGCATCTTTTCCAAATCGACCTGCCCAAGGATCATCCCTTTGCAAGGCTTTATTCCTCTCCACTATTCCGAATTGAGGGTCCTGGCCCTTCATCCTACGAAGCTGTTGCCAGTGTCGCCGAATGCCCTCGAACGCTCACGGTGCACGAATATATGGCAAATCACAGTCTGATGGGCGGGAAGTATCGCCGTTGGCTCTCTTTAATCCTGGAGCTGGGCTCGAACAATCTTGATTTCGGTCTGCGGGATACAGTGGCATTCATTCGAGCGCTGGCTCTCCAAGCTGGCCCTGGACCCACAGAATATGATGACCCACGACTTGATCATGGGCTGTTAGTCGGCCGTGGGGGGAAAGAGAAAGACCATCTACGGTCTGTTCAAGCTGTGTTTCGGGATCAGGAGTTTTGCAGAAAGCTCAATGAGCTGCTTCACCAGCACATCGACCTTATTCAAGCCAACTGGCGGGAGGCCAACTACATGGAAACACTGCTTACATTGGCGCTTCAGCTATGGGCCTTCTGCTGTGATAATGTCCGTTCTGACGTCTTAGATACGCTCCATCGAATCAGGCGGACCACGCTGGCTTGGATCATTCTGCTCCGAGATGTGATGCGGGGATCGGAGGTAACTGATACAGCGAATCAAGCAGCAAGGCATTGCTTCTTGTCTGCCCTGCTGTGCCGTAGGACCTTCCTACCTGAAGTGTTGGATGACGGCTATGACATGGATGCCCGAGGCTTTTCAGATTTTCTCCAGGCAACCCTTTCAATGCAGGAAGGTCTAGTCGTCGATCTCGCAAAGTTTACGTCCATCACACGAAGTATGCTGGTCCGAGATATCAAAATGACCGCCGCAATGCGCCCCAAGCTTCAAGGCTGGGTAAAGGAGTATCCAGATGCGGTCGCCGAAGCCATTGATGCCACATGGGATGGGGCCACCCGACGACAATACGATGAATGGGAGTTCGTACCGCTTCTAGATGATCCTTGCTGGGTCACAACAACGGTGAGGGCGTTGGATTCTGGCAATCTTCAAACTATACATCTCCATCTAATCCAAGGACACCTTTTGCTTGACGGCCAGACGGTCGGGAAATTGCCGACTGACATAACCGACTCGGCGACACTGAAAGAGCTGTTCGGCAACCAAAGACTCTTTGCGCTCCCATCGGATATGGCCGATATGCAATATGTGCTGGCGTTCAACAAGGAGGGACATCAGATTCACATTGGCTTTCGCAACGAAGAACTGGTGGTCAGGGCTCGACGAGCTGGCTCTGTGATAGAGCTGGTCCCTCGTCATGTCTTTGGTATCGGCGAGGACTTGGACCTACCAGCCGCACTCATCGAGAATTGCGTCCATTGGGTGGACCTAAAAACTGGCTTACTACAGATCCGAAGGAAATCCCATCTTTGGAACGACAAATTTTGGACGGTGGATGTTCATGGCCGCCGCGCGCAGCGTAACCGCATTTCCTTAATCGACCAAAGAAGCAATGTTTTGCAGTCTATTGCACGGATTTTTCGCGACTTTGAGGAGCCTCACAATCTCCTGGTCACTCAAACTTGGGAAGGTCATATCTGTGTGGAACTTAAAAGAATGAATCTGTCATTCCAAGTCAACAGAAAAGGTCTCCTGCAATGCAAACAGCTACCTGCCGAGGTGGATCCAAACCAAGATGCAGGCACCTTTTATGGACTGCAAAGTATGCTTGTCTTACGAAATGTGTATAATCGTGCGCAGCAGAGTATCATTGTGCCCCTCGGACTGCCAGAATATCGAAAAATGGGCATACACCTTGTGGTTCGAATCAGAAACCCAGACGGTTATGCAAGGTACACTGTTGATAATGTGCTGGGCAGGCTACAAAGTCCCCAAGATCTGCCGATCTTGTATACTAAAGCTTTGTTACATGCGTACACATCCTTTCCTATTCCAGACCCGCTTACTGGCCGGACAGGAACCGAGGAAGCGTTATTTTGCTTGCAATCCGGTGATTGTCAACCTTGGATGCCAATTGCAGAGACAGAGCAAGGTATCCTGCGATGCATAGCGAACTTGACTCCTCAGCGCCACTACTACCCCAAAAATACAAAACGCCAGCAAAATGTTCAGTGGAACTCGGGCTTGCCAGCGTTTATCCAGCACGATGCTTATTGGGCAGTCGTTGACTCTATCACTTCAAAGTCCCGTCAACTGTCCCAATTCTATTTGGACGCTACTGAGCCTCATCCTGACCTCAAACTAGAAACACTCCCAGTTGAACACCTCCGTAAGCGAGCCCTCTGGCGTCGCTCCCTCTACGAGCGGTCTGTTCTTCTGACTGGAGAACCCACGGGTCAGAGTGACCTGAAATACATTAGTCGCGGCGGCTGGATCTCTAATAAGCGCATCTCGAACGTTCGGGAGATCGTTAAACTTATCAATGTTCAACCATCTTCTATCCACACAACATTTTCTTTAGCCAAGGTGTTTCAACGCTGGCCCCTTATTGGGGGATACACAACTACCTTCAAATCCCTTTCACTAGAAGATTGTCTTTCCATCCAACCCGCTCATCATTGGGGAGGTTTGATCAAGCTCTGCAGGCAATGTTCTTCGGCGGAGAAATACAAGATTATCTTCCAGCTTGGACTGGTGGCGTTTCGAGATGGTATTGACATGACCGTCTTGAGAGTGATTGTCGCATTTTTTGTGCTAGAGGAATTGAAAACCGTGCGGCTTCCACCCAACTCATCGTTCACCAACTTCAAAAATGGCGAGATACCAACTCATGAAATGATAAACAAGCTTGCCGCGCCGTTTCTTGAATCATTTCAAGTTCCGACTCTCCCACCAAGGCGGAAGAAGAATCATAATTTATTACCAATGGCTGAGAGGGTTGCTATTGCTCGGACAGAGCATGAGAAGAAATGTGACCAGGCGATGCGGGAATTTTCCAACAACCTAATCAGCCAATGGCCATGTCTCAGGCCATCAGTAGAGGACTTAGAGCTGGAGGGACTCGACGTTGCTCAGGCAGCGTCTGCGGTTTACGAAGAATGGGGTCGAATTTATGCGAACCTGGAACTCGCTAATCACGCCAGCGAGGTACAGCAGATCCTCAAAAAGCATTTCTCCCCAGAAAATCCACGTGAGACGACTTGGGCTCCGTTGGAGCATGAAATTTTTGGTAAAAAGACCCGTTGCGATTTCAGACTGCCTCAACTGGAAAATCACCTGCTATGTCGACCAGGACCTTTGCTTGACGTTTACCAATGCAGCCTAAGTCATCTGGGAAGCATAACTGCATCCACCTCGTCGATCTCAAGACAAATCGGAGACAAAAACGCCAAGGCCACGAAAACCGAGGTTTTGGAAATCGAAAGAATTGTGGAGGGCTTGTTGGATTCTGAGTGTCCAGTTAAACGGAAGTACAGCGAGGATCTCATGGAAAGCATTACTTCGTTGAAGAAGATTGACACACCCGTGAAGGCAGCGCCAGAGGTCAATTTTGGCACGGAAGTTGGACGCATCAATGCGGCAATTTGGGCGGCACGAGCTGCGATTGAACATAGGCGAGGTCTGATAGCGGAGGCGCTCTCACGCAATGACCCTAGGCATGTCTGGTTAGAACAGTGCAATCTGTGGCCGTCCATGGGCCCAATCGCCCTCCTTCAGCAACTACGATCGACGATTCAGTCTCGCAGTGCCTTTGGACCGGGTATGAAGATGGCCTTGGTTTCCTATGGTCAGTCTATCTTGGAATTACAGCGTTTGATCCGTATAAAACAAGCCCTTGCGAAGAAGGACAACACGAAGTTGCAACAGGAGTTGGAAACCCGAGGTCATAGAAATTGGCGACCTTATGAATTCCCTGACTGGCTGCTGTTAGAACTGGATGCAAACATCATCCTCCGGGATGAACAAGTCACTGTCGCCTTAGAGATGATTGATCCCAACTCTGGGGCGAATTCCGTGCTCCAAATGAATATGGGGCAAGGCAAGACATCCGTCATCATGCCAATGGTTGCGTCTATTCTAGCGAACGGTGAGATGCTTACCCGCCTTTTGGTGCCTAAGGCATTACTATCCCAAACAGCGCAGATTCTCCAATCGAGGCTTGGGGGCTTGCTTGGGAGGCAGATCACCCACATCCCCTTCTCCCGACGGACTCCAACGACACAGGAACTGATAACGCACTATCAAACTATCCACGAGAATATCCGTCGGGAATCTGGTATTCTGCTGGCCATTCCCGAGCATGTGCTATCCTTCAAGCTCAGTGGCCTACAACGTGTCTCGGATGGCCAGTTCTCAGAAGCTACCGCCATGGTTGCTACTCAAGATTGGATCACTTGCGTTTCTCGTGATGTGATTGATGAGTGCGACTTTTCTCTCGCTGTTAGAACTCAGCTGATCTATCCCAGCGGCTCACAGTTGGCTGTAGATGGTCATCCTCACCGGTGGGAAATCGTGATGGATATTCTATCACTCATTGCGCGCCACTTACCAGATCTTGCGCATGAGATGCCTCGAAGCATTGAAGTCGTGAATCGAGCTGATTTTCCCGTTGCACATTTTCTACGCAAGGATGCGGAGATCGCACTTGTTGAAAGATTGGTCAATGATATCTGTAATGGCCAAGCAAGCATACTTCCTGTTCACAGATATGCGGGTGCCGATCTCGCTGTAGTGAGGACTTTCATTTCCGAGGAGATTGTTGATCTCTCGACAAGTGATTGCACTGCAGGAATGTTCTCAGATCAGCCTCATGTCCGGAAAATGCTGTATCTTGTTCGTGGATTGTTGGTGCATGGCATCTTACTTCTTTGCTTGAAGAAGCGATGGAATGTCCAGTATGGTCTTCATCCCGAACGAGATCCGATGGCAGTGCCATTTCTTGCCAAAGGCGTCCCCTCCGAGCAGGCTGAATGGGGTCACCCGGATGTGGCAATCCTCTTTACCTGCCTGGCATTTTACCATGAAGGTCTTACAGTAAAACAGTTGCGACAAGCTCTTCAAGCTGTACTTCGATCTGATGATCCCACTGCTGAGTATGATCGATGGACACTGACAGCAAATACTCTACCAGAATCTCTTCGTTACTGGAATATCCTAAACATTGATGACGACGGACAGATCCATGAATTGTGGCGCCATATTCGCTTCCAAGTAGCTGCCATCAATTATTTCCTTAAGGCATTCGTCTTTCCCGCTCATGCCAAACAGTTTAGCATCAAGCTCCAGGCCTCCGGATGGGACCTTCCTTTATTGAACAACAGCCACCAATCTAATGAGGACAATCCCATCCGGGGTGCGGGGATTACCACGGGCTTTAGTGGGACAAACGACAATCGACGACTACTACCTTTGACAATTCGGCAAAATGATCTCCCCGAGCTCGCTCATACTAATGCGGAGGTCTTGACCTATCTTCTCCAGACACGAAATCGTCAATACATGTTAGCTGCGAGGTCTGATGACAAGCGGTTCTCCGAACTAGACTTGCTAGCGCACCTCAAAGAAAAGAGAATCCGTGTTCTCATCGACGCGGGAGCCTTCATTTTGGAAATGGACAATCGTTCCTTGGCCTCTGCCTGGTTACAGCAGGATCAAGACGCCCTTGTGGCAGTCTACTTCGCGGAAGACAACAAGCCATGGGTGCTCTATCGGACTGGGAAAGCGAGCCCGCTGATTGCTACTCCTTACTTAGACAACATGGACAAGTGTCTAGTGTATTTAGATGAAGCACATACCAGGGGAACCGATCTGAAACTACCGCTCAATGCTCGAGGTGCATTGACACTTGCTTTGCATCAAACGAAGGATCATACAGTGCAAGGTAAGCTCACATATGAGTCATCTGTTGACAACCTGTCATACTGATTTGTGCTCCAGCTGCAATGAGATTGCGGCAGCTAGGCACGACTCAATCGATTACCTTCGTTGCCCCGCCCGAAGTACACCAGAGTATCTTGGATGTGCGAAGGCAAAACAAAAGGGGCGACTGTCGCCTTGACTCGTCAGATGTTGTTGCCTGGTTGCTTGATCAGACCTGCGCTGCGAACAGGGACTTGCTTCCTCTGCATTATGCTCAAGGGGCGGATTTCTGCTATCGAATGCAAGCGGCAGCAAGGTACGAAAGGTTTCTGACAAAGAGCACCCACCGAGATAAGTTCCTTCGGCTTGTGCGACAGGCCGAGCAACAGACACTGGAGCAACTGTATGATCCTCGTTCTCAAAAGAATCGAGAGGCGTCGATCTCACGAGAGGCATCTGGGTTTCACCTGGAGGGGGAGTTGAGGGTGTACATGGATGAACTCAGCGCCACTCGTCACCTCAGTCAAGATCTGAGCCTCATGAAGACATCGGCCCTGGAAGAGGTAGAGCAGGAGCGTGAGGTTGCATATGAAGTCCAAGAGGAAAGGCAGTTACAGCGACCACGGCGACAGAAGGCTCTCGAATTTCCCGGCGTTAATGAGACAATCCTGGAATTCGTGCGTACTGGGTTTTTGAAAGGTTCAAGTGGCTACATGAAGGCTTCGAAAGCCCTTTTGTCTACAGAACTAGCCCGAAAGCACCAAATTACTGCGCTGCCCTTCATGCCACGTCTCTATGCTTCTGCAGAGTTGACACGAACCATTAAGCTGCGAGAGGGCGAGCGGAATGATAATTTTGCGGTATGTACTGCGGTTGTTCGTTGATCACGGAGATGAACTAATGCTTGGTTCTTGCAGCGCCCAATTAACTGGATACTGTGGAGTATGACATCCAGTACAGCTCTTGTTATCATCCCAGAAGAGGCTGAAGCTATAATACCGGTGTTGCGTACGCTTGAAAACCCCTCGGTACATCTGATACTCTATGCGGCGCCTTTCACCAGGAGGATGTTACAGTTTAACCGCTTGAGATTCTACGCCATCCCTGAACTTCCCAAGGACTGGCATCCGCCATCTTGGCTTTCTTTTGAACTTGGTATACTTGCAGGGCGACTGTACTTTGAGTTTGAGGAATACCAGGATATCATGGATCGTCTTCAGCTTGACGCTAAAGATGGATCGAATGGAGAATCGAGCGGCAGCCTGTGCCTTGGGAATCGTCTTGACAAGAAACACTTGCAATTTCTGCAGGAATGGCTCACTCTTCGCCGTCATGGGCAAGACATCTCCCATACACCCATGGGATACGTGTGCCAGGGGTGGCGACTGCGCGATGACCATCCATTCTTCTCCACTCAGGAAGGTGAAAGGAGAAACGCAACCGAGCTTTTCCCTCGCGCGAGCCAAGCCAACGGTACTATATCGGAGCAAGTCTTCTATGACAGTGATGAGGAAGATCTTATCGTTTTCGACGCTGGGGATGACGCTGAATCGGATCATGGTGATGCCATACACACCCTAGCTGAGGGTGAGCATGGTCCTTTTTTTGTGAAAGATATCTCGAAGAAGCTGACACTGTAGTACAGGACTCGAAGGCATCAAGTTCGACTGATGCTGTGTTTCGCTAAACGCCTCCTGCCTGGTGCAGCCCCGTTGATAAAGACTGGCACAAGTGGTACTGCTGGTATTCTTTGAGATGGACTTTTATGGAGGATCTAGTCGACTGTTAGGGGATTTCGTGGCATATGATGACTGTCTGGATGAATCTGAAACTGATATGTCCAGTCGGTCCGGCTTAGAAGCCCCTTTGAAACAACCATATGGTCTTCTACAAATCTATGATCAAAAAAATGTCTGCCATGCCATGGTACTCTAGTAAGCTTATCAGTGTATATCTGGTCCAGCGAAGGAAGTTTCTTTGAGCAAGCATGTGCACGATGTATGCATATATAAGCCGAATGTAGAAAGCAGAATGTTTCGGGATATCAAAAAGCAGCGTAGCTAAAACACCTCCCATTAATTATATGTTCAGTTATTTCGATATTGTGATTCTGTGCTGGGTTTCTAGGCCCTCTCGTTATCGATCTTAAGGTGCACCGCCGTCATCCCCTTGATCACCTGCGGCAGCTGCGCCAGGCGATTATACCAGCTCGTCAACTCGGGGAAACGCTCCAAATCGAGACCAACCTCTCCTGCAGCCGCGACATATGGGAAGATCGTCAGGTCGGCCAAAGTGCTATGCTCATACGTTAGGAACTAGAGAGCGAAGGATCCAGGGAGAACAGCATACCACTTCCGTCCAACCAGATACGGACTCTGCGCCTTCTGGATGTGTTCCTCGAGATGCAGGTACAGTCGCAACGCAATGCGTGCAGACGACTCCTCCGCATCCCCGGCGGTGGTGACCTTGTCCAGGAACGCCAGCCAGTTGCCCACCTCCTGAGCCTCCTTCGACCCTTCCTTGTAGGCGAATTCGGCACCGTCGTCATAGCGTGCGAGGAGATAGCGAGTGATGTCGTTCAATCCCTGTGCGCTAACCTTCTTGCCATCCTGCGTGACGTCGAAGACGATGGGGAGAGACTTGTAAGCGCTGGCGTCGTCGTGCTTGATATCATTGGGCGACTTGACGAGATGGATGCAATGGGCTTGTCTATTAGAGGAACAAATAGTCAGCGTGTGAGCCAGACAAGTGGAATGTAAGACTGACCGGAGAAAGTCAATCAGCATGGCAATTGTAGCTCCCTCTTTCGCACCGGGCGATGTGTAGAGGGCGATGCGACCGCTCTGTTCGTGGAAGATATTCATCCTGGATGTATATGCTGGGTGGTAGATGCGTCAGAGAGTAGTACGAAGACGGGAAGAAATGTAGAGAGAGAGAACAGATATCTATTTGATGCAGAAGAGCAAAACCCCTCCCTGTCCAGCCCTATCAAGAACGTCACAGCACGTGCAAGATGCAGGGGGGATGACACCCCTCAACATCCAAGCCCAATCAGGCAATCTATCAGGCCATTACCACCAATGAGACGGTCCAATTGGGAACGTGCTCCTGACCTTCAGTGGATTTGCGGTCCCAAAACAGTCTAGACCAGAACTTAGTACTACCTAGAGGTAATAAGTTGCCGAGCTGTGGCAAATCAGCAATCAGCCGCCCCTCGCAGTTTGCAGCTCAGCCAATGGCATTATTCTCTTCTTGACAGTTCATTGTCATCTGGCCAATGAAGTGGCAAGAGGGAAAAGAATCCAGTCACGTTTACTAAACAATGATCGTAGGTACTAGAAGCCGGTAGATGCATCATAATGTATCCCTATGCCTCGCTACTAATACGGAATAGCAGTGAATTGGCTATATCACCTATAGATCGTAGTAGATAGGAGGGCCTTGTAGGTACTATACGCAGGTATGGTTAGTGGGCATAGTTAGGGTGGGTGTAGCCATAGGTCTGGCCATGCCTGCTCACCATGGCTGAGAGACACCACTATCTACTAGGTCTGACAGCCAAAGCATGGTATGCAGAGGCCTATAATCCTACCCGAATAGGCCCAGCGGGTGTTCTCTGTTCAAGGGAAGAGGGAGTTCCTAGAGTTGAGAGAAAAGGGTTGCTGTAGCGACTCCCTAATTGATCGGACATAAAATACCATAAACCTCGTGAGATGAGCATATCAAGTACTACCCGACAAATTACCCAGCACGTCCATCACAGTATCAATCTGTTTGTTCTCCACCTGCATATAATGCCGCATCACCAACGCCGTCACCAGAATCATATCCAGCAGCATCTCGTCCCCACGGACAAACACTTCTAGCTGTTGACTTGACTTCAGCAAGGAGGTCTTCTCCTTGTATTTCGCCAGCAGCTGTCGCGAACTGTCATATAGCTCCAGCTTGCTTCCTCCCCAGGCGTCCGGCTTCCACTTGAAATGGCCCAGTGGCGGGTAATCAAAATGGTGGTTGTCGCCTTTGAGTAGGTCACGCTTCAGCTGGAATTCGCGTCCGCGTATACTAACGTCGATCTTGCTTGAGGGGGAGCGGTGGAGGGTGCACGTCGCTATCACGAAAGGCGTGGCATTCCAACCGGGGGGTGGAACGCGCGAGATGATCAAATGTGGTTTGCTCTTCTGAATGTGGAAGCTGAAGATGGATAGGATGGTTTGGTTGACATCCCGACAGTTCACCGTCTGACCTTTGTTGTCGATCGTGAAGGTATAGACAGGACTAGTGGTCTTGCTGCTTGAGAAAAGCTTGTCCATGATGCTGGTGGGTATATGACCTCTGGGAAGTTTGTCAACTTAACCTAGACGACTGTCCCAGGACACACCACCCTTTATATAATAAGGCAGGGCTTTATCTGTTACATTGCTGGACTCATCTAGGCAGTAAAGATTCTTTCTGTCCCCCATAGCATTGGATGGTATAGAAACGCTGATTTCCTGGTCGGCCCATCGCTTATCTGGCGCTAGACTGGAAAAAGTAAATTTCGTGCAACAACTGCATTTTCAGCCAAGAGCCGCGGTGTCTGCACAGCCTGTTAGGCATCAAGCACTGGCAACCATAGACTGCATAGAAATCATCGGAGCAACTAGAAACATGAAGTATTAAGAGAGGATGAGGAAGAGAGAAACTATCTAGCTAAAGGGGAGTCTCGGCCCAGCCGCAGGTGCCGATAGAGATATATATATCTCACGAAGCGGGCAGTGGAGATGTGCATCCTTCTTTCGGATTCTCTAGATACTATCTGCAGACTTCTCCGAATTTTATTAGTTGGAATTAGTGACGATTGACATAGGGCATCAACTATTTCGAACAAGGTTTTTAGAAATCTTGCACTAAAGACTGAATGCGCCAGCAGGGTTTCTTCGGTCATAGGACACCACTACTGGTCATTGGCAACACGCAGGGAATGGGCATCGACTGAACGGCTCGATTGGCGAGGGAGATAAGCCAGACGGTATAGCTTACAGTATCTATCAAGTGTGAGGCATGATGATCTGACCGTCGGAACAATCGCCATCTCCCATTCGACCGATCTCACTCCGTGGCGTGTACCGCCTTGGTCTCGACAGTCGACACCCAATTCTCAAGCTCGCCAAGACCCATTCGACCAAACGTCCAGGTTAGACACCATTTTCCATAAAGGAAAATGTCCTGTTCCAAGGGTGAGGATGCTTAGCTCGAGATCGTCCCTGTTGACGGGTCTCGACCGGGATCAAACAGATCCCGATTCCAGAATCGTAAGGCTGGCGCATCGAGACGAGCAAACACCGATACGCGAGTGAAGGAACGAATACAGCCGGTCTATATGTCACCGTGAATGTATAACAAGGTGCACAATTCTCTTTGAAGAGATACCTATGTGTGTATTTGCTGTTTCTGCTTGCAACTCCACGGGCGATAAAACCGAGGAAGGTCTGACAGCGGGTGGCCACGTCCGTGGCCACATTAGGTCCCAGATACAGTGGCTGCGTGTCCATCGCCCTCACAAGAATTGGTTCCAACGGCAGACTGGAACGATCGACAAGATATTTCTGAATCATCGCAGTGTCGTCATGTATGGTGCTGAAAAAGGTGCTATTAGTAATCTCCCCGAGTGTCGAACACAGCCGGAAAAAAAGGCGGCAAAACCAGACGGGAACAGAAAAACACTGACCAACACAGATCACCTTGAATTGTTAAGCAGCACCACGAGAATCTTCGATTGTGTTGATCTTCTACCAGCCCAAGAGCTTGGAAGTATATCTTGCTGGGACGAAGCTGTGCGAATCTTGAGTTGTCCAAACTTCTTGGCATCGGCAGTGACCTTCCACCCCCCCGTGCGCGAGAATGCGACCGTTGACAGTGATTCACAATGTTCATCCCTTATCGCGGACCCTCCAAGACCAAAGACCAGAACACACGACGCGCCATCAATGCCTTCGTCGCAGCTGACGCGAATAGCCGGCGTCGTCGGCGGAATGAAGATGCCAAATCCAAACCGTCGTCGGGGACATTGCAATGGCTCCAGATTCCTCATCCGAAATCCGACCCACAACATCCGCCGGGCGAGGGTGATGGAGCGGGCCGAGGTGATCGACAAGCACAGTCGCTGGCGATGGCAAGACCCATTGGTGGGAGCAGGTTCTACCCGCTCGAGGGATTTGTATCCAAGGGACCCATGACTGGGCGTGCTCTGAGTTATTGTAAGTCTTGTTCGGGTGGTGCTGCGTTTGGCAATGCTCATGTGTTGGTCCATTGAAAGACTTTGACATCCTCCTTCCCCACGACGCGAGAGCTCTCGGACTCGGAGACGCCGGCACACGCTCATACGGAAACGGACTGCTTGCTTGGGCGTCCAAACACAATTTGATTCTGCACGGCCTGTCAGCATTCACCTTGTGTAGCCTGGACAGCCAGGATAGCACTGGAAGGACCAGCCGTGCGATCACCTACCACCGGAACGTACTGTTGAAGGAGCTGCACGAGCGGCTGTCTCGCCGCCAAGTGGACGACGTCCTTATCCAGGCGATTACACTGTTGATACCGGTGGACGATTATCTGGGCCATGCCGAGTATGGCCCGGTTCATCTCAAGGGGTTAAACGATGTGGTCCAACTCCGCGGCGGCTTTGGAGCCATCGGGACTTCTGACGAGGCCGCATTCGGAAGCAATCTTCGAATGAGTGTGCAGGTGACCATGAGTCTAGTAGAATTCCACCTACAGACCAACATGAACCAGGAGTCAGACACGATAGTAGGTCCCGTCAGTGCACCTTCGTCGCCAAGCGAGCTCCAGATCAAAGCCTCGGGTCTCCCACCTGGCTTCAGGGATCTGATTGATCAGGGTTGCATATCCGATCAGATGATTGATGTGCTTTATAGCTTCATGGACTGGTCAATCAAGGGCCGAGAAATCGACCCGTCCGCGCGAGGGACGTGGCGGTGCTCGACTGCTCGGGACCTGAACAACCTTGAAAAGTGCATCGTGGTCACTTTAGCGTGTTTGGCTGATGACATCAGCGCGATGGGCACGCACCCCGCCACGATAATCTTTCGAAAGCCGAAACAACGAGCCGCGATGCTGGCGCGGGTTGCCGAAGTGTGGGACAATCCACTCTTCGTGGACTGTGTGATCTGGATGTGTACCGTTGTTAGCACGCCCCGGAACCGAGATATCCTCTGCAGGGAGGCTCAACGGCGCTTGTTGCTGAAGGCTATACGGTGCAGATACTGTGCCCTCCAGTGGGGCGACATCCGGCAGGTACTGGAACGGTTCATCTATGAATCAGGCCGCGCGGCGGATTGGGAGGAAGCGTGGAGTCGTGCCTTGAAGGATCCACGTCTCGTCACGGGAGAGACAGACCCATTCTGCTGCCCCTCACCATGTGTGTTACCCTTCTAACCTGACTAGCAGGGAGGGGAGCCGCTTCGCTTTGCATATTATATTAGTTCTACATGTTCAGAGGCATACAAGTGATGATCTTTCGTTGGAAGCAAAAGCAACTTCAAATCACACACACACACACAACAATATCTTTGTAAATGCAGCGGTGTCAACATTAAACTCGAAGGCATTTGGTTTCTCATCTGTCATTAATGGGAGCCTCCGATCTCTGCCAAAAATAATCATCCCACGTCCAATGCGGGTTAGCTACGGACGACTGCGGTAAACCGGCCGTGTCCTCCGGACTGGTTGCCGCGCTGTGAAGTAGACTGTCAAACTGGGACAGCGTCCCGTCCGCTAAAGAAGACTGAGGAGGAGTCTGCTGCGTAGATAACGGAGGAGTTGGCAGTTGGGGTGTAAACTCGAGAACTCCTCCTTCGTCCCACTGACCGTCTATCTCACAGCTGACGCAGGGGCTCGAATTAAAGCTAGTTGTGATTGGCACAGACTGCGTGAGGGAGAGCAGTAGTGACAGGCTCTTCTGCAACGACTGTGACAGGAATGGATGGGAGAGCGCAACGCCCGAGTCGAAGACAGCATTGTGCATACTCAGATAGAGATCACGAATGGCGGTAATTGTCTGCTCAAGCTCTGCCACCTTCTGGTCCAACACTGCGATTCTCAACTCCTTGCGGAATCGGTATGCTCTTTGAGCTAGTCGGATTTGTTCTTTGCGTCGCTATTTATGGCGGGTTATTTACTGCCTTTGAAAAAGAAGAAAAGGAAAAGGGGGTGACAAAAAAAAAAAAACAGAAAAAAAAAGGAAAGAGAAGCGGATGCTTCGGGGATTCATACCTCTCCGGCAGTCTCGGCACTACGGTCGATTCTAGGTCGACCACGTTTAAGCAGTTTGGGGGTATCCATCAAAGGTTCGGACTCCACTGTTTCTTGTATCTCGGGGGACTGCCCGAATGGAGCATCCATGATGGTAATGATGATCGATGATCGATGATATGATGATGTTGTTGTTGTGGTTGATCGTGATGGATGACTGAAATGCCTCAGGATCGTAGTGCCCAATGAATAAGCAGTCTCCTCCATGACGGGGCATGACGGGGAACTGAGTATTTATAGAAGGACTCCTGATAGCCGGTGCGTGTCCGAAGCCCCGCGGAAGGGTCGTCCGTGGACAGTGCCATGCGATGAGCGGCCAAGGAGTAGGTAGATAGTTGGTTGGAGGAGAGAAATAGGAAATTGGTTCAATTCTGCAAGCGACGCCTTCTGGTGCTGAGAACAAGACACAGACGAGTCCTACGTCGCGTGGAGCCAAACGGTCTTGCGATCCTTTGCCTGCACAATTGTGGTATGGTATGATGGGAGGATGGAGCTTGATTGGCGGATAGCTCCGCTTTGTCAGCTTCTTCTGTCTTTTATCCTATGTTCATGTCCGTTTTTCTTCCACAATCTACGGAGTACTGCTTTTTTTTTCCCTGACATTTCCATCTTGTCTGTGAACCGTTTAGAGTTCTTGATTGTTTAGTGGCATCGGATCGTGCAGGAAAGGCAGATTGATAACAGTGGATCCTCAATCCTGTCATATCCATCCAGCACTAGTCCGCTTCGGGTAGTCGTTCTTCCCAACTCGGTTAGCCGCTAGTGGAGGCTGCTCACTGGGCGGCTGACTAGTGGCCCCACCGTCACCGGTCTGATTGGAGCGGACGGAACCAAAAGTGGCAGTTTCCCAATAGGGCAGTCGTCGACCTGTTTTTGGCAGTTGCGACCCCAGCGAGTTAGTCTTCAGCCCTCCTTTCCCCCCCCCGTCCGTCAAGGTATGGCCCAGGGCTCTGGATCTCTGGATAGCTTGATAGAGTACGGAGTTGAGACATGTCATCTTCGTCTAGCTGTCTAGCTGGAATTCTACTGGATCGATCAACAATCTCGTGGAGTGACAGGAATCCTTCTGTGGGCCACTTCCCTACGCTTGTCACGGTTAATCCAGGTTTCACTTTCTTGCTGGCGCTGAGTCTGATGAGCTCCCCCCCGGATCCGAGAAGCGGCGTAGCAAGGTTCTACTTGGAAATGACAGCTGGGCTAGATTCGTCAAGTGCATGCATGGACCACGTCCGTCATCTGCAACTGTCCCCTCGTGGCAGCCCTCGATCCACATTCCTGGTTGAGCTCCCCTATCTGTAAGTATGATTCGGATCCGGAGCGCTGGGATATCGCCATCCTACTAGTCTACCTGTTTCATTGGCTCGAGAGGAGAGATATAGAGAGAGAGAGAGAGAGAGAGAGAGAGAGAGTCATAGTGGTGCATAGTCTAGATCCTTCCTTCTCTCTACTTAAGTCCAAGCTGTTTTTAAGGTTACATACAGATGGGGGTGGAGAGTCTCATGTCTTCAAATGATCGATTCCGGTTGACAGGGATTGATCCACTGTCTCAGTTTATACACACGTCTCATCACTGCTCAGCTACCAGAACTCCACGGTATTTCATGCCCCCCGATTTCAAGATCCTCAGTGCCTCCTCCACACCATCCTTGTTCAATGGAAAGTTCATCCGCACGGGTTTGATCCCGTGAAGGGCGGCAAAGTCCAACATCTCCCGGTGGACCTGACGCGAGGACATGATTGCGCCCTGGATCCGGAGTCCGCGAACCACGACGGGAAGATAGGGGATGATGAGATTTTGCATGTCGATGGAGATCGGAACAATGGTACCACCGGGGGCCATGATGGGGACAAATTGCTCCCAGTTTGGCTGCACGCTGGTCGTGACAATGAGTTGGTCGAGGGGCTGTCCAATGTCGAGTTTCTGTCCGTCCTTGGTGGCGTAGTATTCTCGTGCACCGAGAGCCAGCGCTTCCTCTCTCTTGTCGTTAGAGCGGGAGAACGCCACCACCTGACATCCCATCTTGGCGGCAAACTGAATCGCGAAATGGCCCAAGCCACCAATACCGATGATGCCCACGCGGGAGGTTGGGGTGACCCCAGCGGCGCGCAAGCCATTCCAGGCAGTCGAGCCACCGCACATCAGCGGGGCGGCATCAGCGCGATCCAGCCCAGTGGGAATCTTGAATACAAAAGCCTCGCGCCAGACTGCATGGGTGGCAAAGGAGCCCTGATCGAAATCCGATTCGGCGTAAAACTTGCGCTCCGAGCAGAGGGTTTCCCACCCGGTCAGGCACTCGCGGCAGTGGCCGCAGCAGTCGTGCTCGTAACCCCAGCCGACGCTGTCGCCAACACGGAGCGTCTTCGCTTCTGGACCGACAGCGAGCACAACACCGGCACCTTCATGGCCAAGGACCATGTCAGCTTGCATATAGTGGACATCGGTGAAGCACACGCCGGAATGCGTGACCTGGATAAGCACTTGGTCTCCGGTGAGATTGGTGTCTTTCTCGGTCTTCCATTCGACGATCTGACCGCCCGAAGAGCCCTTGTAGGCAGTTACTGGGATAGTCATGGTGTGTGAAGTTTACCCGGAGGAGGCGTGAGACTGGAATGTGAGGAATGTGAGGAATGTGTGGAATACAGACAATGGCACAAAGAATGAGAAGATCACGTAGGGGGACATTCTCCGACCAGGAACACTCAATATATGCATAACATACCCAATTCAAACTCAACTTCCCTTTACGATTACTCATTGATGAGAAGTGCTCGAGGGTCTAAGACGAGCTCAATCCTATCGTCTCCACATAGAATAAACTTCACATACAAGAACACAACGATCAGGTCGGAAGTGGTGACATGGTAAGTGTTTATTCCCTGAGCCCGCGAATTATCATCCTCCAAGATAACCAGATCGCGTCTCCAATAGGTCCTTCTAGGTAGTGTTTATCCACTGATTAGTTGAGTTCCCAGATGGTGGCGCTGATGGTTGGTCCCGTTAAAATGCGAGTGTCGTTCCAAGACTTCCATGGATTAGTGATCACCTCGCCGCTGCCTGCAAATGTCCATATTCTTCAACCCACGGATTGCACAGTGCCTCCAGGAATAGTGGAAACAAAACAGCGCATGATTACTCTAGCTTGCTATGGCGAGATGTGCTTATCAATTCCTTCAGGTTGAGACAGTCATGAGGAGGACTTGAAGTGGACCGAAGAACGGTCGGCATAAAGTATATAAGTAAGCTTAAGAATCTTCAGATCTCGATTTCTGCAATCCATTCGACCACTCGAGTTTGATTACTGAACAACATCCCAAATGGCTACTGAAGGTTACAAGAACATCCTCCTTGTCGGAGTAAGTCGTTACTATCTGCTTGTCACGCATGTAGCGCGATGCTGACCCCACACAGGGAGGTGGCTCCCTTGGAAGCGTCCTGCTCCAGTCTCTCCTGTCTGAGCCCGCATTCAATGTGACCGTCCTGGCGAGAGAATCCTCCAAGGCCCGTGGCAGTCTCCCATCCGCTGCCAAGGTCATCACCATTGCCGATTCGTACCCGCAAGAGGACCTGGTCAAGGCGTTCGAGGGTCAAGATGCCATCGTGAATGCCATCACCAGCTTCTCGGTTGCCGAGCAGCTGCGGTTCATCGATGCGGCCATTGCCGCTGGGGTCAAGCGATACATGCCCTCGGAGTACGGCCTGGACAACAACACGCCTGCTGCGCAGGAACTTTCCCAGGTGTTCAAGGACAAGGGTCTTGTGCAGGCATATCTGCGTGGAAAGGAGTCGACTGGGTTGACCTGGACCGCCATTGCGTGTGGAATGTGGATTGGATGGTATGACTCTACCCTGCTACAGGTCTATCAAGCCATGGAGATCAGATGATAACGAATCTCTAGGTCCCTCCGTAACAACTTCCTGGGCTTGGATTACCCCAACCGCACCATAACCTTAACCGACGACGGAGAGGGCTTTTTCTCCACGACGACTCTGAAGAGCACCGCTCTGGCGCTGAACCGGATTCTGCTCAGCCCCGCCACGACGGCTAACCAGATCGTGTTCACCAGCGATTTCGCCACTACTCAGAAGGAGCTTGTTGAGACCATCGAGCGCCTGACCGGTGAGACGTGGCAGCGCAAGTCGATCAACACCCAAGAGCTTATCCCGTCGCTTCAGAAGGCGTGGAACAGTGGCGATGTCTATGCCGGATATGGGTTGATCAATATTGGCTTCACCAAGGGCACGTACAGCGGCCACTTCGAGCCTAGCAAACCCATTCGGAACAAGGAACTTGGACTGCCGGAGAAGAACCTTGAAGAGGTCGTGAGGGAGGCTTTGGCTGAGGTCGGCCACCCTGGATTCTAAATTGTCCCAGAGGGCTACCGTCCCCTCCCTAGCTGATAGGCATTCAGTATATTAGATTAATGTCAAGACCAAAAATACGTTGTTTTTTTCATTTTCATGCTGCAGCATAGCCAGAAGCAAGCGCGAATAGAGAGTAATAATCAACGACGCCTTGGATCCCTTATAAAATGAACTGATCAATTGATTGCAAGCTGGATAAAACCAAATCAAACAGAGAGTTCTTTAGTAGACTAAGAGAAAAGCAGAAAAATAGAAACCGCATGTGTTGATCACAAATAAAGACAGTAAAGCAGGGAGAACAATGAGCATAAGCAAAGAACCAAGCAGACAGATCAATTCCATGAAACTTTCTCAAACTCAAGACCGCCAAATCTTCTATACGCGCCGCTATTGGAGCACCTGAACCCTCTAAGCAGTGTTGGCATAAGGAAGGCCGTGGTAGCTGACATCCTTGCTGCCGACCTGCCAGGTGCCACCCTTGGTGTCCTTGTTCTTCTTGCCGTAGCACTTGGAGTCGGTGTCGGCCATCTTCATAAGGAAGGTCACGCAGTCAGACTGGTTTGGGGTGTGGTTGCCATCCTTCATCTTGTTGTGGATTTCGACTGGCTCAGTTAGCAGGGGGTCTGAGCAGATCTGATTCAAGAAGAACTTACAATCAACGGCAGCGGGAACATCGCCCTTGAGATAGTAACCACCCTGAACAATAGCAGCGTGCTTCTGGCCGGGCCCAATGACGGTGGGCAGACCGTCCTGGCTGTGGGTGACATGGTAGCAGTACTGCTCCACGGCGGACTTGTAACCGGAGTGACTCTTGCTTGTGTCGTCGGCGATGGGCATCCAGTGCTTGCCGCAGCTGGAGACGTAGTTGCTCTTGCCGCGCTTCTCGAGCTCGTCGTAGCTGGCCGAGGTGACGCCGAGATCGATAATCTCGCGCTTTTCAATGTCACTGCCGCTTAGTGGAGTAACTCCGTAGTCGATGATTTCGCGAACCACGACTGGGGTACCCTCATTGACGAAGCCGGGAGCAGCGCTGACCGCACTGGCGAGGAGGCCGAGGGAGAAGGCAATCTTGGAGAAATGCATTTTGATGAAAGGGATGGAAGGTGAAAGAATGGTTCTTGAAGAATATAGTTGAGAGTGCTGGGGTGCTTTGTGTTGTAGTTGATGTTGCTGTTGCTGCTGTTGATGATGAACCAAAGAGGGGGAGACTTGATCGACTTTATATCTTTTGCGGCCCTATATTCTGTGTATGTTCGTCCTTGGAATTTTCACCATCTCATCAAAGACTCAGCTTGCTTCAGGTGGTGAAGCTGCCCTTTCTTCTGCCATGATGTGATGCCTCCTGCCAATGATGCCTCTCGACGTCGGAGTCATTGTTGGATCGTGGCATCCTACAGAAAACGGCCCCTTAAGCTAGTCTGATGGAAGCATGGGCGTGATATCACCAGCCAGGGTGCTTTAACACCGAAACAGTGGTGAGATCGCGGCAATCCTTCGTCAGCATAGCAAAGTTTCAGCCTCGTTGACCGGACACAACCTTCTGATAGTGTGGGGAGATAAATATACTTGCCCTAGTCTGTCGGTACCTCGAGCACAGCCCGGTTCAAACCCTGCTTACCCGATCCTTGGGGCTGGATATCTTCAGATAGATCAAAGATATTCTGAGAATAGTTCTGATCTGCTGGTGATGATTGCACCAACATGAAAGTAGTCCATCATTGGCAAGTTGGAGCAGCTTTGGGGGCTTTCGTCCCCGTCCGTGCATAGCATCAATGGGCTAGAGGACTGTCTACACTTGAAGTTATACCAATCCACCTTCCTTCGTATGGTATAAATGGCTATAACTATCCAGTCGAAATGGCAGTCATCATCGCAACACACCGAGCAATCAATCCACTACAATACAGCACTTCAGTATCTATTCAAATCCACCAGTCACTCGAGATGAAGACCTTCAGCTCCATCCTCATCCTTCTCTTTGCCCTGCTCCATTTGTCTCTCGCTGTTGATCAGCCTCATCGTTTCCCCGACCAGAAGCAGGTCGACAAGGACAACTATGAGGCCATGACCCTCGCTGCCGCCGAAAAGGGCGTGCAGCTGGTCCATGGCAAGCGCTATGCCTTCCGCGAGAAATGGGCCCCAGCCTACGGCGAGTACCGCTGTCTCCCAGACTACTCGCACGTCCGCCTGGTGGTGGGCCAGTTTTTCCACAGCAACACTCGGTCTGGCCGGCAGGCCTTCGACGCCAAGGCGTTTGAGATGATCAGCGACGAGGCCGATACCAGACTCGGTCAGACCCCGAAGGGCGGCAAGGTCATGTCGCAGGTGGACAATCTCTTCTGGGCCAACCACTACTACAACGAGAAGAAGGGGCAGTGGGTTCATGTGAGCAAGTCCAGCAAGTATGAGTTTTTGGGTGAAACCACTGCGACAGATCAGTTCATCGCCAACCAGGGTATGATTCCTTTTCTCTTCTTGGAAGACAAGCTGACTGTTGCAGGTCTCGAGTATGCGCGCAAGTGGCCCACGTACAACTTGCTTACCAACAACTGCATGGAGTACACCAAGGAGGTGTGGAAGGACCTTAACTAGAAGTGCTGTGCAAACCGACGGGGTGGCCATTCGGGCAGTGTCTGGGAATTGAGAGCAGTATAAACAAAGTTGTTGGGGTCCACGTGTTCTCTGGTTTATTGATCTGGCTTACCGATGCTTTGTTTTGATTTGATTTGATATTTAGAAGATTTTGAGTTGAGATTTTTTGTTTTGAATGTCATCCTTGCTGCAGTTGAGTATTATTATCCTTACTGAGCCATGTGGAAGTTAGAGTACGCTGTGTGCAGGAGATAGGGCTGGGGTCAGGCTTTTAAGTTTACACAGTTCGCCAGTTGCATGCGTATAAGAACTAAAATAGAATTGATCTACCTTATTTGAACCGGAGATGATTCAGTCATACCAAACCAACGGGTGGGATTGGATAGGAGGGCATCTTGGCTGGCATAGCCACAGTCCTACATTGCAGCCTGGGGCGTTTATTATTGTAGTATAATGTAAATGGAGTGTCTGTAAGGTACTGGTCTAGATATATATCTCAGTACACAATGAGCAAATAACTTAAACTAAGATACATAATGGATTCAAAACGATGAGAATTATAATTAGATTCCCAAGGATTCTATATATCATATAATTACTTTAGCAGTAGAGAAAGGTAGTGAACACAGATATTAGAGGTTGTTTGAGAACAACAGATGTTTATTGCCTACTATACCATCAAACTTGCAGACTTAAGTAGGAGGATATAAGTAGTATAAAATTATATTCTCAGAAGGGCTCATGAAATTCAATAAACAAAATTCGATACATACCAGTGGACATAAACACATAATAATCATCCCCAGGTACTCCACCACCATCAAATATAATACTCTCATCAACCGAATCTTGCATTCACAAGAGGATGGATTCAAGAATAGCTCTTCTGCCACAGCTCTATCGCTTTCAAAATCAATCCTTGCTTCCACAACTTCCAATATGAATCCCGTTGTTCAACACTGGTCACTGTCCATCCAAGTGCCCAGCATGCACCGACACTGAGCCCGAGCATAGTTCTCTTGAAGAAGGAGGTATCAAAGAGGGACAGAACAGCCACAAAGACGGCGAGAGTGTTTCGTGCCAAATTCGACGGCTGTATAGCAGATATAGGCAGCTCCGGACTTGTTGGCTGCGCAAGATGCCATGCGAAGAAAAGAGTGCCTGTTGCGACTGTATAGGCGAAGATGGAGTCGACGGCTTCTGTCAAGAGATTTGAAGGTAGCACAAAAGAGATTGGGTGGTATAATGGGCCCAGTTGGCGACTGGCAGTGAGGGTTAGAGCGATTGCTAGAGCCCTTCGAATGTAGACCATGGTAGTGGATTCCATTACCATAACGACAGTTGGGAACAATTATCATTCAGAAGCTTCAAATTGGTATGAAAATATCGATGAAGAATAGAAACGGATGATGACGATGGAAGACAAGTAGATGGAAGGAAAGAAAGAAGATCAAGCCAGCTGGCGGGGCTTTAAACAGCTTAAGGCAAAGACCCAAACGGCCCCCAAGAAACAAAGAGCACAGGGCTCAAGGACAGGATACAGCCACACTACTAGCACATCGTTCCTGACATTGGACACAGCTAAGACAATCTGCATACACCCATTTCATGAAAGAGAAACAAAAGAGAAAAAGGATCCAAAAAAAAATCATAACAAGAAAACCCCGACAGATCATCAATGCTCCGGAGCTGGTCGGCCATTGAAGAAAATACACTGCACATTGTACGCATAATTGCATGCCCAGGCTCCCGCAACGCCAAAGCTCACCAGCACCAACCCAGCATATTCTTCCTCATTCCATTCGTCCTTTTGCAATGCTGGAGCAACCTGAAGGGCGCCCGCATTGAGTACCGTCTTTGCAGCCAAGCAGCAGACCTTGCCATGGTCCACACGACGCTCCAGGGTGTGCTCCTCGTGGTCGCTGACATCGTATACGACGGTTTCGTGAAAGTCAGGGTGGTTCAGCGAGCGCAAGTCCTCAGTACTGCGGATAAAATGGTAAGGAGCATCTCCAGCCAGCAAGGCCCGTTTATCAAGGTGATCGGGGTTCTCTCGAATAGACTCTAGCCAGCTGCGGAATGTCTCTGTGTCGGAAGACTCGCGCTTGTGCAGTCCAACCCGGTGAAAGTAGTCGTTCAGACAAACATTGGGTTTGGTGCTGCAGGACGAAGTACAGCAATGGTCATGGAAGACGAATTCATCGCATTGATCCCGACAAGCACGCCACTCAGAGCTGCTGGGACTGAAGGCCTCTTTGCATTTGTCGAAGCAGCCCAAGCGGAGTCTATCCTCGTTCTGATTCAAACATTTGTTGCAACCAGTGGCATTGGCAAGGGAGGCAAATATTCCAACCAAAGACAAGAGTAGGAAACGCATTTCGATGTCATTCGAATGTGAGGTTGGGTAGTTGAAAGAAGGGGAGAATGGTATGATAGCGAGTGTTCAGAAGCTGGAAGGGGATTAAATGCACCTTTCTTTCCCAATCAGTTCATGGCCATTGCCTACAGGCTTTTCTCGGACCGCCATGAAACACCACAGCCTCCTTCCCATGACGATGATTGCCACTTGGCTCCCATCGACAACCAAATCACCGTAGATGTATAGATGTTGGATCGTGAAGAATCCCCAAGGATCGCATCTGGTAGAGATGGGGGCCAGGATTGACCCGCATGAAGGATCGGCTGGAGGATTCTAGCCCCAGTCCCGATCTAAATAGACCATGAGGGCCCATGCTGAGACGAGGCTGATGCTTTGGCTTCTTCCTTGTGTTGGCATCACTTTCGTCACTACGAGTCACCTGATCCGTTGGTCTCGAAGACCATCCATCGACCAAGTCCCTGCTCTCTCTTTTCTCCCTTCTCTTCTCATCTCTTTCGATCGTCATTTTGCGTGCTATTCTACAAAAGAGTGACCACCAGCAGGTTGAGTATAGTTTGCTTCACCATAATTTGGAGTCGGATTAGTGTCGCCGAATTGTGACCATGGGCCATACCACGTCCAGAGAATCCCTACCCGAGTTTCTGCCTCCGGTCCAAACCCGCGGTATGACCGCGTTCCAACCAAAATGATCGTGTCCACTGACAGATGCAGAGGAACTCGAGGAGCGGTTTGAGGCACGTCTCGCAAAATTCTACCTGAGCGACGCTCAACAAGAATGGCTTTGCACCATCTTCCACATCTTTTGTACAGAGTCCAATGGAATTCGGTGTAAGTTAGCGACCATCTGCCCAAGGCCCAATGGCTCACGTTAAACAGTCTGGACTGTCGATGACCTAGTGAAATTCATCATCGGAACCTTTATCCCAGACCTAGAGCCATGGGTGGCGGAAGCCGCACCAATTCTACATCGCTGTCTCCTGCGTCTTGGTTCATTTCCATACCACAATGATGCGCAAACAATCCTCTCGCTCGAGGTGCTCCGGACTGGAATGATCATCTTACTCCGACTGGATAGTGACAAGCTTCTCGGGCGTGATGAAGGTCGTGATGTAGCATCGCTTCTCTACCCCGAGGGTCTTAATGCGGCGCATCGAATTTTGTTATTCCAAAGTATGAGAGAACAGCCAGAAGCAGCGTCATCCGGGCATCGAGGAAATGAAAATGACTTCCACCTTCAAAAAGCACTCGACCTGATAACTTACGGGAACTTCCAACGAGACTCCCAGTTCCCTACCGCAGTGACTAGAGGCCCAGAATATCCTCCTGCTAACCATTTCCCTTCATCGAGCTCAAATTCAACGAGCGGAGTGATTCCTGTTGACGAATTTCGGCCGCTCCTTCGTTTGATGTTGATCACACAGCTGTATGTCGCTGGCATTGAGCCCTACCAATTTGTTACCTGCTCTTCTCAAGTTGAGACGGCCACGGACTGTCTTTTGGCTGCACTCATATCCACTATGGATGCCGAGCCTAGTATACCCTGTTCTACATTTGACAAATGCCTGGAACAGTCAATGGTGAGTAATAATGGTTTTCCATTGGAGGCTTTGTACTAAATTCTGGACAGCAAAACCTATTCTTAGGGCTGCCGCGAGTGTTAGGGCCATTGCACTCTGTCAAGCCCTTCCCTTCAGATACTCTTCCAGTATCGGTACCAGAGGTTCAGAAGACTTTACGGGAGCTTTTCAAGCCTTCCATTTACACACAGCCCCCTTCTGAGGGGCTCATCCTTAATCTTCCTCTCCTTAGCCAGCTTTCAATTGCATTGCCTCCAGATTTTCCTATTGAGAAGCCACGAGCTCTCTATTCCTCCAACCAAATTGATGTTGGTAAAGTGAAAACGAGTCTTGAGACAGATAATCTAGCCAGAATTCTTTTGGTTAAGGGCAAGGCTGGGGAAGAATCTCTCGCTTTTGGTGTATACCTTCCCAAACATCCGGCGCCAGACTCTCTACCAACTTCCTGCGTCATGGTGCAACTTTCACCACTTCATAGAGCATTCCATGATGCTGCTGAGGACACGAAAGTGCAATTTCAAGATAGTCTGCAGATACAGATATCACTTGCGCATGCCTATTTGAGCCTGGATGGGAGTTCATCAACGGGAAAATTCGCAGTAAAGGGCACCGACATCCAATTGATGTTCCAGATTGATGCACTGGAGGTACTGGGCTTTGAAGGAGATTTTGTTCGGGTCGATACTTTTGAATAGTTTTGTGCTCCACAGTATAATAAATTTGTCTTTTTTTTGAGTCTAATGCATTTGTCTATGAAACCTCTGCAGATTTCCTGTTCCTACAATACAAGAGCGAAAATTGCCTTTGGTAGAAGTGTTCGGACGCAGATTGGAATGGAAGACGCTGCAAAGGACCGAAATCGAGCAACTTGGCGATGTGCCTGTGTATCAAACAATCACGCAACAATGTCATGATTCCATTAATAGATATCATTTAGATCAGTCAATCAAAGTGTGCCTATCGCTTCAATCCGTAAACCAACAGTTGAACCAAAAGTTGGTATCATTCCTGAATCTCATTGCACATAAACTGATGAAACAGCCCCCAAGATCAGCACAGCACCAACCCAGCCACGATACACCAATCCCAATTCCACCGGGTCGCCTCCACCACATCATCCATGTTCAGCATTCCAATCCCGCTGTTTGTCAGAAACTGCCAGAGCTGCATGCGCAGACTCACCGGCCAGAAGGGGATGCTCCAGAATCGGGAGACGAGGCCTCGCTCCGACGCCGCGGCAATCATCTTCTTCATTGCCTCTTTTTGGCCCCCTGTTGGCCCCCACGGAAACACAATACCGACAGCCTTGTGCACCGATACGCTGGCATAGTAGGAGTTCTCAGTGGTATATCTGGTGTCTTGCGAAATGTCGTTTAGTGGTGCGTCGAAGAAGACGTATCTGTGTTTCTCAGCTGTGACAAGATCAAAGGGCGTGTTCCCGGTCCCTACGACGGTAACGGGGCCGCGAACGAGCGTTTTGCTCGTGTCGTTCCAGTGCGAAAGCCAGCCGCCAGTTCTCAAAGGCGCTAATTGGTCGAGGAGGACAGGCCAGATGGTCTTTGCGTCTGTCTTGATGTCAATGAGCAGAGTGAGGGTTGTGGTCGGATCGACGTCGAACACACCGAGGGGTGTGTTCGATGCCGAGTCAGAGTTGATCTTGGAGAGAATTGTGGTCAAGGGTTCCACATAAAGAGATTTCAGGGTACGATCTGATGACAACGAGTGCCTCCGGTGGCCAACGAGCAGTTCACTCCCGTCCAGCCAGATATCCGCTTCCACCCCGGTGCAGCCTGCTGCGATGGCGTCGTAGAGTGGTACGGTTCTCCAATAGTCATTATGGGAATGGCATTGGACCGGTGAGATCCCTCGACTGAAGTCCTTCGGCCAGGGAGTCAGGGCTGCCACAGAGTCCGCAGGTCCACTCCATGATCTGACAATCCTTTGCACCCCATTCGAAGGAATAGTTGGCGTAAGACGGTCGATGAGAGTGAGGACAAGAGCGAACCATACACTGACTAAGATTAGTATGCTTAATCAAAACATTATAGAAAGTACGTACCCGACAGCAATGCCACCAAGTACAAGGACGATAAAAAGAAGTACCAGGACCCGATTTCGAGTAGCTTTCTTCTTTCCCACGATCTTCGGGTTGAGTGTCGACTTGAAGCTTGAGACCCAGCGATGAGGGGCTTTTTGGTCCGGATTATAGTATGGAAGAGAAGACCTGTTCGAAGAATTGGATAGCCTTCGTTCAGTCAGAGTCGTATCGCTCAAGGAGTCTGAACGGCGGGGGAGACGCGAGAAAAGTGGGAGGACGGCCATTGTTCTTGAAGATCTATCAAAGAGTAGGACGGAAACCCCTGTTTATGTATATGTGGAGGATTCCAAAGATATGGCAACTCATTTGAGAGTAGTCAACGCCGGTAGAGGGCTGAATCCTTAAGGATTCCCTGCCATCGGCGGATTCCCGAGACTGAAATAAAATTCGTGAAGGAGGATGTCTCCAAAGCTGTGATTGTCTTCTTTATTGGCCCTTGCCGATGCTGAACCAACATGATCGCCGTGTTTCCTTTCGGTAGTCGATCAAGATTCGATAAACATAGGCACAGCCTCTGCACCCCGACAAAGGGGCCGAAACAACTTTAGTGCTCACAAACTGTTGGGTGGCGGCGGCTTTTGGTATTTGTGAAACCCAAGGCAGACATGATGCTAACATTAAAAAAGGTCGTCGAACTGGTGTTATGACGGTGTTGTGGTGTTGAGGCGCACAAGCCAGATGCGATTCAAGTGCTTCTGTGCTTTAACGCTGGGATCGCACCTGATGAAACAAGAGCAATATCATAAAGCAGGAAACTTCTCGAGCTTGAGAATAGTTGATTTGGAGAATTACTTCTTCCTCAAGGCTTGTGAATAGAGGTTCTGGTGTATCAGTCTCTGGGTCAAGTTGAGCGCAAATGGAGCCACTATGGATGAAGGGAAAGATTGAAACCCTTGAGTTGATGCTGATGAGAATGAGTTTAAAGCATATGCACCCATAAGATGATCTTTTCTTTCTCTGTCATCCTCCGCTCCTTCATTCTTCCCTTTTCCTCTCTCTCTAAGTAATTCTACTGTGTAAGTGAGTGCTACTACTACCCTCTCATAGCGACAGTTGAGTGCAGGGACCAAAGAAGAACAGATGTTCTTTCACCAATACCAAAGACAAGTGCAAAAAAGCTCAGTGACTTCTTCAATGCACCTACGTCTCTCATACAAATCCAGTCAATCAATCTATACACCTCCTATCTGCCATGATTCATATGTTCCCTATCTTCTCACGTATCCCTATCCACAACATTTTCTGAAGACTTTAGGGCTTTGCGCGATAATTCCCCACAGAGCCTAGCTCGTTGGAGACAATCTAACAGAGCTTCGCGTCGTCCTGACTGCACGAGTTGTCCACATAGTTGAAGGTCAGCTCGCCATCATCCACATTATTGTTGCCTTGAGGGTAGTAGTATGGCACACTGCCGCAGACTTTGCATCTATTTCTCTCTCAGTACACGGACCAGATCAAGTGGAGGGTAATAAAAACATACCCGTGCTCCGGAATATAATGGGCTAAGTTCTTGATGACTGCGCCGTTGGTGCCGCCAGTCTTCTGAAGGAATGCACAGAATCCCCCCTTGCCGGTGATGGGAGCGACAGTACCGATGCAGGCAATATGTTGCCCATTCTGATACCATCTGTTGGAATCAATGCCGTCAATAGCATGTTTGAGCTGCGCAGCGACCTGATTGTCGCCGAAAGTGTTGCAGTTTGCGGATCCGCGACAGTTGATGCCCAGAGCCGAGGATGAAGTCGCCAGAGAGAAGGCAATCACCAGGCCGTGGATAAGGGAAGAGGTATGCATGATGCTATGAAGTCTGATTGAGACGAGGATAAAAGGCGATAGGGGGCTTGAAGTGATAATGAGACTGTTGATGGTATGTCCTGTCCACTGCCGGGGACACGTTGATCTTTTATATTCTCGATAGCATAGTCAATGACTGGAATGACTCGGAAGTGACGGGATTCAGCTCACTATCACATCAACGCGGTCTGCAAGATCATTCAGCATGCTGATGTAAATTCCTGAATAGGAATCTGGTGGGATTGTTCCATCTCTTCAGGTTCAGTCAGCTCCCTTGGGGCAAAAAGCCAGATGTGGAGATGCTCGGAACTCATCTTGACGGTTTTTGGAGATGTGCATGTATGCCCTGTCCAGTTGTGAGGCATCTCATGATCTGAGAAGGATGCAGAGAATACCACCTTCGATTTCTGGTTAGCCATCTTTTCCCTCTGTTTCTTACCTCATCCACCAGTACTTCAGCCCAGTGACGCGGGGGATCAATATATCGCACTCAATGATCGACAAGGGCTGCATTCCTTTCATTGGATAAGTGCGATCCTCCTTCTGTGATTGCCAATGTCAACGTGAACAAGGTGACATTCGAGCGCCACATGCCCAATCAGTGTTGGGAACTCTGTCAACATATGCAGGTGCTTCTAATCTGGACGCAGGACTATCGACGCCACATGCTTTGCCCCGTCTCTAGTCTAGTCATCGTTCGTGTTCTGTGCATGATGAGGTTATAGGGCTCGGTATCGGTCACACAATTTCGTCCGAGTCACGGACTGATCTGCTTGCGCATTCCGCACCCGCGTCCGACTCTCTGGCGGTTCAGTCAGATACCAATTTCCATCATAGGAAGGTGGTGTTCGAAAATCATAATCATTACGGCAATGGTAGTCAGAGAATGAAATGGATGACAGGATGGGAGGATCTGCTAGGAGAAGGCAGGAGTATAAAACGCAGCATGGACTCTGTATTCCATCTTGTTCAGACACACATTCGCATTCTTCTCTTACAGACACATCGGACAACTCCGTCTTCGAAAACTGAAAGTGTCGATTCACCATGTTGGCTACTACCCTCATTATGGTCGCCAGTGCGCTCTCCGCCAATGCGTTAGGTATCAACTGCCGTGGCTCCGCGAAATGCAGTGCACTCTGGGGACCTAGCGACGCTGCGAAGCAGTTGACCAACGTGATTCAGGGAATTGACACCAACCGATGGTAAATAGTTGGTCTTCGCTCGATTGAATGGCATGTACTGATAGCTGTGTAGGTACCTGAATGGTGAACACATTGCCTGCGTGGGAAATGATGCTGGCAATGGTGGTGGCTACTGCGCTTTCCTCCAAAAGACGGGAGGAACCAACGGTGGTGTGATCAAGAATCTGGCGCACTATATTAACGATCATGGGTTTGTCCATCATCTTTATCAAGAAGCCAGGGACAATCTTCTGACGCTTCCTCGACAGGTGCAAACAGTGTGGTAGCGTGCCCTACTACTATCCCCAAGGAAACAACAATGTGGATGACGGCGAGCTTACCTACAACTATGTCGATAGTGAGTCCATATCTCATACTGCATGAGGTAGTACTAATTCTTTTCCCCTTCAGATCCTTGTGTGCCTGCAGGAGCCAAGCTTTGCTAAATGGCTATACGACGACAGCGTTCATGCGATGGAATATGCTGAGGGATGGGGTAGGTCAGGGAATTTGATAGTGATGGTGGACCTGCTGGTGTATCGAAACTCCACCAAATGAACATAGTATTATATCGATGAAGTTTCCATCGAGTAGATCATGCTGTCTTGTAGTGGCACAACTGGCGGTGTCGAGTGTATGAGAAAGGACTCAATCACCTGTAGGCACAGAGACACGATACAGACTGTCTCAGTACGGAGCATGTCGGTATACGAATGATTTGCCATCGATTGATTCATGAGATAAAACTGATCAAATAGTCTTTACAGTCTCTCGTCCTCGATTCGGAGTCGGCTTATTGTCTGTTCATTGGGCGTCGACATATGGTCCGCTGTAAGGCCATCCATCAATTCCGATGCACAGAGCTTTGGATTGCATATCTGTCTCACCGTTCAACCAGCAACTGATGGTGAAGGCAGAGTATCTAACAATAGAAAGTACTATACTGGCTCAAAGCAGCGAGGGGATATGTAGTGATCTAATTGTTTGATGGATCTGCGTCAAAGATTGCCATATTAGTGCTTGTGGTGGGATGCCGCTTCGCAGACTGCAGCCAATTTCGAGACACGCAGCGACTGATCGAATCATCTCCATTATCTCGAGCGACTGTGTGTAGACATGTTCTAGCGCTTTTCGCTGTCCTGCTTCACCGTTAAGGGGTATAAAAACATGAACAATCCGTTCAACGACTCGAATCAAGTCAGTCAACTGCAGAAAGAACAGTCCATCTTCTACTCTTCTAAAAGAACTAGATATTACGAACAATCACAGTCCAACCTGTCACCATGACTATCATCCCTTACGTTTTTGGTTACGCATTCCTTGCTTTGGCCGTCTCTTCACAATCAGTTGGGGTCGGAATACCAGCCGAAGGAGAGTCCCTCGCTCCTGGAAGCTCTGTTGTGGTCCAAGTTCAGAGACCGGTATGTCTTGAAGTCCTCTCTCTTGATTATTGTGCGCCTCTTAGATCCTCACCATATCAATCTATAGAACAGCCTCACTGGCTCCCAGGAGGTGGGCGTTGCCATTGGGTTGGCATCTTGCGCATCAGCCCAGTGTCGCCCTCCTACGGATGTCATGGGAACTATCTTATATGCTGGTCCGTTCAAACCAGAATATCACGAGTACACCGGACCACCGTATCAGAATTACACTGTGGTGATACCAGAGAGTATGGAGAAGGGGGATGCACACCTCAACATTGCACATTTCTCTCTCGTTGGGGTAGGTTCAAAAGACCGAAGATGACCAGACATATGCTGACGAGACACCGCAGGCAGGGCCATTTCCCTTCTTTGAGACTTTGAATAGAACAGTCATCATTGCTTGAGGCGGATTTACTATGGCTGTGAAATGTATGTTGTAGATAAAGTAAATTCGGTCATTTGAGTTAACTATGAGGGAAGACGGTTCCGTCTCGGGTAAAATGGTATTATTATAAAATGCGTCTAATCTATCCGCTGTGTTGCAGATTTGGAGTAGAACACTGCATGAATTTTGTCTATAATCTAATAGTTCTCTTGGTCTCAATAGGAACTGTGAATGCGTCAGGATCCGACTTTCCTGATTCATCATTGAGGCCACTGTAATCTCCAGGCTTCGTGGATCCATTAGGAATGTGGAATCGCTTGTCAATCCGACTGAAGGTCAGGGTGATTAAGATAAGAATCTCGAACGCGAAGTTGAATATGTAGAAACAAGCCTTGGAATCGAACCATGCAGGATCAGCGACTGGTCGCGGTGTGCTCCAAGTGGCGCCGGCCTTGAAGCCCGCAATGAACATGCACAGCCCTGACGAAAGGGTCAAGATGATCATCTTGCTGGCCATGCTTCCTTGACCGAAGAGTTCTTCCCGTGGAGACCGCGGTAGCAGGACGGCAAGAAGAAGGTGAATGGCCGGCAGACAGGTGATGACGAGGAGGAAGGTCAGCGCCGCGAGTTGCACATCGCGACACTGAGTCCGCGTATGCATGTCGAGGGTGTAGAGGGAAACAACGGTAGCCGTGATCACCATCACCAAAGCTCCAGCAATTGAGGCAAAGAGAACCTTGTATGCGACTCGTAGCACTGGATTCCAACCGATGTGTGGTTGTTTTGCTCGGAGGATGCGCTGCGCGAGTATCAGGTTGATGATGTACACGAGAAGTACACCCGCATTGACGAAGATATTGGCCGCGATAGCCAGTCGAATATTGTGCTGTCGATTTGACCAGGCGATACGGAGCACAAGCGTTGTGATTCTTGTCATGCAAAAGCCAAATAACATCCCTGACAAAACGAATTTGTGGCCCCTTCGGCGGTTTTTCTGGAATATGGTCATGTTCGTAGCGGCGAATCCGATGTACATCGCAATAAACACAGCTGAGATGGGGATATCGGGCAGAACGCTGGGTACACCTCCCAAACCTGCAGTGTTAGAGGCATACGGGCCTCCTGAGCGCGTTTCAAGGGTGATCATGGTGGCTTTCTTGTGTAAGGGATAGATGGTGCCCCGACTGAGATTCTTGTTATTTGATGCCTCACGAGTATCTCTCCACACGGCTCTCGCGTGTTGAAATATATACCATCCAGGAACGATCGGGGTTCGGCAAGTCGGAGCCCCGATGGCTCGCACAAGAAGATCATTTCGTATCTTCTCGAGATCCTGCTCGTACAATATTCGATTATAAGGAGCGAAATAAGGTTGACCCATCTCGTGAAGGACTGCCTATGCCCGAGGAAAGCCAATCAAGTGAAGGATGCTGGTGGCTGACCGGATCCGAAATCGTTCCGCGGACCAAAACTTCGTCCGCGTCCGAACGCCTCATGTCCCTCGTTCACCTCCCTCCCCAGCGTTAGAATCAACACTTCTGTGGCCACGGACGAATTTCATCGCGAGATCCCGAGATAACAAAACCACGGTATCCGTCTGCTCACCAGGCTATATCTCGGAGATGTCCAGTCCCCAGAGCGATAGTAATAAAGCGCTGCGGAAGGGGACGAAGAGCTGCACAGAATGTGAGTGGATAAACGCAGTAGATACATCATATAACTCCTGGACTGGCACTCATCTATTCCTACGATCAGGTAGACGTCGCAAAGTCCGGTGTGTCCGTATCACGGAGGATGCGAAATCATGTCGGCAATGCGAGGAACGGGGATCAACTTGCATTGAGCAGACATCCAGTCGACTGCGCACGTCACGGAATCTACGCTTGTCATCTCGATATCGCATCGCCCAACTGGAATCCCAGGTGGCCCAGCTTACAAGCCTTGTCCATGGAATCGAAGCCAGGCTGGGAAATCGGCCTTCTCATATTGTTCCGCCCGAGGGAGCTCAGACTCCTGCTGCGGGTGACTCTGACGATAGTGAGAGTGGCGTCTCGGATTTTCCCATGGCAGATCACCCGTCACATCTACGGTCGCTCTTCCAGAACGACTGGCTCAGTGTTGATCCGCCTCAAACTGGTACCCAAAACGAGGAGCGCCAAGGGAAGGCCTCTCCACATTTCTCGCGTGTCGTGAGGCCGCGGCTGCAGGGGTTGATTCCCCCAAAAGAGGAGGTTATGGATATTGTAGGATCGTCTTTTGACTGGCTGACCATGTTGCACGCGGTGCTTCCCCAGCCTTGCGTGGTCGCGTGTCAGCAGGAGCTTCTTGAGCTGTATGAGGAGATGTGCAAGCCGGATGTGGACGTCATCGCCTTGGCCTCGTGGTTGCTGACGTTGGCGCTCTCGGCTCAACAGATTCCAGAAGAGACTAATCCGCGCGATATCTATCTTCGGAAATGTGAAGAGCGATCTCGTTTTTCTCGCATAATCACGGACACAGTGGAGAACACACTACTGTATCATGATCGCATGCTTGCAACCGTAGAGGCGCTCGGAATGGCTATACATTATGCACGACTGTGAGAAACCAACAACGCATTGCACCATATGAAGAGGATATTGGGCAGCTGACCGTCGTTAGTATGATTGGCCAAGGGAATTTTCAAAAGTCCTGGATTACCATTCGCCGCCTCATCGCCATCGCAGAGCTGATGGGGCTCCCCCGAGTATTCCAGACAATTCGACTCAGGAAAGCAAGCGGACTGGATGACCAACAGTCACTGCATAAGGCACAGCTCTGGGAACTTCTCTGCAACTTGGAAAGGATATCTGGCATGATTCTCAATTTGCCCCCAGACACGCGACGGTATCAACGGGTTCAAAGTTTGCCGGTTGTCGTTGGGGGCATGGTGCAGACCCCTACATACATGTCTAAGCTGTTGGAGATTACCACAAAGATTCATGACTTGGACGATTCGAATGGCACCCATGCGTTGGGGACTGAACCGCATCTGGCTGCCTTGGAGATGGCTCGGGACCTTGGCGCTCTTGCCTCCCAGACTCCGGACAGCTGGTGGGTCTTCGAGGAGTCGACCCCCTTTAGACCTGAACACTTTGTCCAATTTTTCCACTACAGCGTACTCATGCGGGTGTATCTGCCCCTGGCTCTTCGGCGGGACTTTCGAGAGGTATACATGTATAGTCGCTTGCCTTGCATGGACGCCTGTGATACAGTTGCAAGGCGGTATCTCCTTCTCCGCCGGAAGTTACCTTCGGGATTATTTGTGGCGCGAGTGCTAGACTTGCAGGCTTTCACTGCAACAGCCGTTCTGCTACTGCTATCCCGCAATGTTCCCCCTGGCGACCGGCATAGCTTCCGTGTTGATACTGATCGGTTGCAACGCGTGATCGGTGAAGTGATCAAGCTTATGGGTGAGAGGTCCAAGGATCCTGGTAACTCGGAGCTGGCAGAGGTAGGATTCAATGCGCTGTGCGCTCTGAACCAGCTTCTTCGACAGGACGAAAACATGTCATCTGCTCAAAGGTTGACTCTGAAGGTTCCACTGCTTGGGAGGCTTCACATTCGTCGTAATTCTCGGTCCGTGCAATCATCTGAAATGAGCACTGCTTCAATCCCACCGTTGAATCCAAGCCTTCCAGAGCAGAGCCAGACTCAGAAATCTATCCCTCTACCGCAGACGCCTATCACCCACCAGCCAATAGTCTCGACTACTGTGACCGCTCCTATGGCCGAAGAGTGGCAATGGAGCAATTTTTCTTGGTCCCTTGAAGATAGCCCCGAAAACTTACTCGGCGATGCGCTCATGGCGGAGAGCCTGGATCAATCCGCCGTGTGGTACGGCGGGATCTCTAACAATCAACTTCCCGTTTGGGATGCGTTCTAATACATTCCAATGATGAACACCAACAACTTACCGAGTATCGACGGCCACAAAGGGCTAAGCCTGCACAAGGATATCAAGATCCAGTTGAGCTGCCCGGACCGTTTTCTCTTGGGCACCAAAGCGGTAGTCTGATCAGCCATTTTCGATTCCAATTTGATGCAGCCCTAGACTCCAGAATTATAAGAATTTCACTGCCTCATGTGATGTTGGAGCAGTGACCAGGAGTAAACCCGAGAGATTAAATTCGATCGAGACAATACTATCTATCACCCATAATTCATTTGGCAGTGGAAATCGGAAGTGTTCTCTGATCAAATATTGATCTTAGCCTACAGAGTTCCAATCTGTGACTAGGATCCATATTGACCTGGTTCAGGCAATGCCATTATTCAGTGATGGGGCTAACAGAAAGCAGGAGGTCTTGTGGGCTAAAGCTATGTGTTTTAGACCCTCGCTTCTAAGAATGATGGATGACTTACCTGTCCTTCTTATGATAGGCCTTAACATGTGTCACTGCGGTGGCCCTAATCTTTCAGTTCACAATCAAGACATAGGCTCCTTAGATATTACCACGGGTCAGCTCACCCAAGTAAGTTTGGGATTTAGAAGATTTACTCTTCTATCTACATGTATGTGTTGTGTATCATGCATATGGTCCTTATTTAACAAAAGTAAGTTGCGTGGAATTATAACACGAGCAAGCAGATATCTGGCTCCTTAGAAGCTTTAAAAGTGGTCTTAGAAGACATCTCTGGTTCCTCAATTATAATAAGAGGAAAGAGGCATTTAAGATGTTCACTTTGCAACCAACAGTTAAGATCTCTTAGCTAATAAGTGTTCTGGGCTGAATTCTGACTGAGCTAGCAGTCACTGCTGCAATGCTGAGTTGAGCTGGGATGGTGTCTTTCTTATACACATGCTTCAACAGTGTTGATAAAGGTATTTGAAAGTCCATCATCGCGTGTATGGGGATCAAATTTGTGGTGAACCTGGTAACAGATATTCGAATTGTGGCCCAGTGTGAGCCGAATCCGTACCATGCGGTAGGTCTCCGGTCCATAGTATTAAAATATACCTTTTCAAGTTGCAATAAAGCGTATGGTGGCCAAAATAGTCTCATCAAGTCAGTTAGTTTCACTATAAGTGGGATGATTTCCCAGCGGATGGCTCGGTAGTCTGTCAATCACCAGTGGTATAGACAACCACTGGTTTTGTGCAGGGAGGTAAGATCCAGAGATTCCTAGATCTTGCACAGGGGAGACTTGTCAATCTAGCACAGGCCTTAACTCCACCATTGAGTTCTTCCTAACTGTCCCCTCAGCTGTGCAGCTCTGGGGATTCACTATTCCAGACCGAATGAATTTGCCGCATAATTGGGCCTTTGATTAAATCTGTTGAATGCCCCGACAGGCACGAGTTCGTCGTATTTGGCAGACTTTTAGCCTCAGTGGTCCCTTGCTTCTCTCTGGTATTGCGTCGATCATCAAAACCTATGTGAGTGCACCCAGCTGTGGCCCATGAGATGTCTCCTACCAGACCTTAGTTACTCAGATCGATCGGAGAGCGAAACGATATCACTCGTGAGTTACGACTAACAGCTGTTGGATGTCCATTTCTGACTCTGCCAAACAGCATTATTCCATTCATTCCATGGGTGAAGTAAGTTGACACTCACCGAGTCGACCGATCCCTGTCGTCGAGAAATCTGACTGGGCTTAGGATCGAGAACTATAGTATCCTCCTGCCACGCTTGCGCCTATGATCCGTCTCTTTGCCTCAATGGTGTTCAGAGACCAAGGAAACAGCGGTGGTCACTGGTCCAACAGTCATTCCAAGGCCAGCCATCCTGGACTCAAGCTTGGGTCTCAGTCCCATACACAGAAGGAGGGCGCAGTGGTCATGTCCGGTTTTGCGGAGGAGGAGAGATTGGCCCAGGACCAGCACCAGTGGAATATCGTCAATGGAGAGTAATCGCCGGCGAGACAAGTCGAATGGGGTCACCGTCCGCACGGAAATTGATGTTCGGGTATCTTCAGATAAGGTCTCCACCGAGAGACTGGTTCTTTAAGAAACCGACTGTGTTATAATGTCTTTGTTTCAACATCTTCAAAATGTGTATTAGTACTAATCGACCGAATAGACTCATGGAGCTGTTGCTGATTATGTGAGCGTATCTCGCACACCAGGTCTAGACTTGCTCGGATGACTCAGGCACCGAGAAACAGACACCGAGATTCCTTGGCCGGTTGGTAGTAAGGAGTCTGGAAAGACCATCACCGAGGAAGACAGTGCACATTTTAGGTGGAGTTCTCGTATTCATCCATAATCAATCAATATGTCCTATCAGTCTTCTTCACAAGACTTAAAAGGATGGCGTTGTTCTCGCGCTCCCTGAATTCCTCGCGGATAACAGCTTCCTCTGAACCAGACCACAAATCGTCAGGATGAGTCCTACCGAGGTTGAACTTACTTCTATCAGGCATGATTCTACACAGATTCTTGCTGTAGATGGTGTCCGAGCAGACCGACAAGCCCCCGACCAGGTGCAGGATGCTATCACGCCGCGAAAGAGAATTCAGATCGCTGCCATCATGGTGGCTCTTTGTGTATGTCTCTGGCTGCCTGGGACCAAAAGTCACTAATTTTTATTCCTTCGTCAGTTGTCCCTTTTCATTGCGGCGCTAGATCAGACAATTGTGGCGACATCCTTGCCTACTATCTCTTCCAGTCTTCATTCCTCCGACGGCTATACCTGGGTTGGAGGAGCATATCTCCTGGCGAATGCAGCGGCTGCCCCTGTGTGGGCCAAATTATCTGATATCTGGGGACGCAAGCCAATCATCTTAATCGTTGTTGTCTGGTTTATGCTGAGCTCCATCCTTTGCGCGGCAGCAGTTAACATGACCATGCTCATTGCTGGTCGAGCCTTGCAGGGAACCGCCGGCGGTGGCCTGATGCAACTGGTTATGATTGTCGTGTCGGATCTCTTCAGTGTTAGGTTGGTGTTGATCGCCAAGCTGGCAGTGCTCTTCGAGGAAGATTACTTAGATTCTCTACAGGCAGCGAAGTCTCTACCTCGGTATACTGGAATTCATGTGGACGATTTCTGGCGGTCTTGGCCCAGTTCTCGGAGGAGTTTTCTCGGAATATGTTTCGTGGAGATGGAACTTTTGGATCAATCTACCGACGTGCGGGCTTGCATTCGTTCTACTCTTTTTTTTCCTGGATGTGCACAATCCAAGGACTGGAGTCTGGGATGGGATCAGGGCAATTGACTGGGTCGGTAGCCTCTCCATTCTCGGCCTAACCTTGATGCTACTTCTAGGATTGAATTTTGGTGGTGAGACCTTTGCCTGGAGTTCTCCTCAGGTTATCTGTCTACTCGTGTTCGGATCTCTCTTCATCTTTGTTTTCCTCTATGGGGAAAAGAAATGGGCCAAATATCCTCTGATGCCCTTGCAAATCCTCAAGCACAGATCAAACGTTGCCGTATCCTTGGTGACCTTTCTTCACGGTTTTGTGAGTGACGCAGCTTCCTCTCTGTCTCGTATCATAGCGAGTCTTTGTAGCACAGTTACTGATTGTGAAAGGTCTTCATCGGTTGCGAGTACTATCTGCCCCTCTACTTTCAATCTGTCAAACAAGCCAGCCCCATGCGGTCCGGGCTTCTGCTTCTTCCTCTTGTTCTAGCAGAGGGACTCTTCAGCGGATTATCTGGCTGGCTCATACACCGAACAGGGCGGTACATCGAGCAGATTTGGATCGGTACAATCTTACTCACTCTCGGGACTGGACTACTCATCCGACTCAATGCAGCATCAACCATGGCGGAGTTGATCGTCTTTCAGATAATCACCGGTGCAGGGTCAGCCATTCTGTTTGAACCTCCATTGATCGCTCTACAGGCGTCGGTGGCCCAGGAAGACACCGCAAGTGGCACAGCCATGCTGGGTTTTATCCGCACCATGGCAATGTCAATGTCTGTTGTTGTGGGCGGCGTTATCTTCCAAAATAGCATGAAAACGAAGCAAGCCGTGTTACGGCAAGCAGGCCTAATGGAGCAGCAGGTCGATGAGCTAACGGGGGCTTCAGCTGCCGCTAGCACTGAGCTTATCAAGAGTATAACAAATCCGGACACGGTCAGAGTCGTTGCTAGCGTGTTCTCGACCAGTTTACGAAATATCTGGATTATGTACACCTGTGTTGCTGGTTTATCTATCGTCGCAAGTCTCTTCATCATTAAGCAGCGCCTGAGCGAAGATCACACTGAGACAAGGACTGGCCTCAAGGAAGAATAACGCTTTCAACTGGGCCACCAAAAAAATGGTTCATACAGAACTAGCCTGTCTATCTTTGGACGATTTCGGTTTAATATGGTAGGCAGAAAGACTGTGGCTGCGGTGAGAAACGAAAACCGAGATCGGTTTCTATATCGACAACGGTCTCTTCTAGAACGATGTCGCTTTGGATTCAATATATCTTCCTCCTCTCCCTCCCAACCTGTTTTCATTCTATCAGTTCTCATTGTATCAATATTATCAAACACGAAAAGGAAAAATGGACACCATTCTCGATTTTTTCCATCATCTTCACGCTCCACTCATGGCGCTGGCCATCGTCACCGTATGCATTCTTCGCATGATCCACTTGATGATTCTATATCCCACTTTTCTTACTCCTCTACGAGCTCTTCCTACCCCCTTAAATCGTTCGTGGGCCAGGGGAAATTATACAAATCCTACGGCATCTCCTATTTCGCAACTTCAACACTGGAGAGCAAAATTTCCAAATGCAGGCCTTATTAGATACTACCTACCTGGTAATCAGGAACGGGTGCTGGTCACAAGCGTGGAAGCTCTAAATGATATCCTCGTAACAAAAGCCTCACACTTTACCAAGCCTATGGCCGTTAGGAAGCGTCTGTCCTACATCACTGGCAATGGGTTGCTTCTTTCTGAGGGGGGTGTTCATAAAGTCAGTATACTTCGACCCCATTTTGCCTCTCCTATGCTGAAAGCATAATAGACCCAAAGAAGGGCACTCACGCCGGCATTTTCGTTCCGGCATGTCAAGGAATTGTACCCCATATTCTGGCGACAAGCAATGAAGATGGCGGACTGCATCGAAAGCGATATGACTACCAATATTGGTAAAGGTATCGAAGTTGTTGAAGTTCGGAAGTGGGCCACGCGGGCGACGTTGGATATCATCGGACTCGCCGGGCTGGGCCACGATTTCGGCTCTCTGCAAAACCCAGACAATGAAATCTTGCGCCAGTACCAACGGATGCGTCAAGAGCCATCCCGGGTAGAAACCCTCCTGGAGGGACTTCTGTCGTTTATCTTACCGTATTTCGACCGTGTGGTCTCAATGCTGCCCACCAGGCGGGCAACCATCATCGTGGAGGCGTCACAATGTATTCGGGCGTTATGCGGCAAGCTCGTTCAGGATAAGAAGAAGCAAAACTGCGAGAGATTGGAGGGTCAATGTGATATAGCCACCGTCGCTCTCAAAAGCGGAGTATTCACAGACAGTGAGCTGGTCGACCAGATGATGACTTTCCTGGCCGCAGGACATGGCACGACATCGCATGCTTTGCAATGGACAGTTTATGCCTTGTGCAAGCATCCTGGAGTGCAAGAACGTCTGCGGGCGGAGATTCGCTATCACTTGGGATCGCCTATTAATCTCAATCGTGCCGTCTCCGCTTCTGATATTGACGGTCTAGAGTACCTGCAGGCAGTCTGCAGTGAAACTCTTCGGCTTTACCCACCCGTTCCCACCACGACTCGAAAATCCCTGCACGAGACCATGCTTGGTGGCTATCCCATTCCCAAAGGAACATTATTCACTATATCACCTGCAGTGATCAACGTCGATCCCGCGCTCTGGGGACCCGATTCCGAGATCTTCGATCCGGAACGTTGGATCGGGAAGGGACGTGCGAACTCCGGCGGATCCCGTAGCCATCATGCATTTCTCACTTTCCTCCAAGGTCCTCGAAGCTGTATTGGTGCTACATTTGCGAGAGGTGAGTTGGCATGCCTGGTAGCGGCGCTCGTTGGGCGGTTCCAGATGGAGTTGGAGGATCCGAAGAAGAATGAGGAGTTGACAAAGCGAGGCGTGGGTGCTGCTCCTGCCGATGGCGTTCGCGTGAAGTTCAAACTTGTTGACATATAGTTGCCTGCAAGAAGAGTCACGTCTATGATGTATCAGACATAGATAGATTCTGAAGGCGTCAACCGCTGCTTGGCCTTCATCGTGCAAGATACGCGTTGTCTTTGCTTCTCATCGTCTCATAACCTCAAGCGTGCAATTAATTATCTTGCCAGATACGTAGAAACGCAAGGAGTAGGAATAGTACGTTTGGATGATGGATCAACCATTCATGGAGGTTCGCCGTCCGGCTATTCGGCACGGCGCTGTAAGATGATCTGCTCAGAGCAGGCAATCATTTTTCAACACTTCCAACTCAATCCCATCACACAGCAGGATTATGATAGCCATGAGGGGGAGGAAGAAAAACCATACGGCTTGTGTATACTGCCGCCAGATGAAGGTGAGACTACCACTGCCCAAGAATCCTAACATACTAAGATCGCAGTTGGCGTGTGATCGCTACAAGAATCGTTCATCCTCGTGTTCCAGATGTCGCAAGGTGGGAAGACAATGCTTCATCGACCCGTCGTTTAAGCGCGAAAATAAAAGCGAGTAAGTATTCAGAGCAAGTTCATCCATCAGGAAGTCTTCTGATCAAACCAGACGACTGGCCAACTTGGAACGAGAACTACATCAAGCCAAGCATGATGTCGGAGCACGGGGTCACTCTCCTCAAAGGAGCCACGATGAGGACTGGCATGTCTTCCAGAATGCCTCCACCGCCGATGGAGGGACTGACAGTTCTTTCCGAGCCGGTTGGAAGATTGGAGACATCTATCTGCCGGACGATTTAGTCGAAACTCTCCTAAACGAGTCGGTCTCCTTCCACTTTCCTTCAATGAGGATGGGCTGATTCAGAATATAGGTATTACGCCTATTACGATCCATTCTGCCCGACCCTTCCAGGCCGATCCTCCTTCCTCTCATATACCCGTGCATCTCCTCTCCTCCTTCACACGGTGATGACGATCGCTTCGCGACGAATGCATGCGTATCGAGAGATCCATATTGCGCTTGTTGAAGCCGTGAGCACGAAACTCTCGCAGTCGATATGGCCGAAAAAAGATTCCATCATGCTCATGCAGGCTCTTCTGTTGCTCTGCCACTGGCCCCTTCCCTTTGGTAAAAATGAAGATCCATGCCATGCAATCATCGCACAAGCCACCCATATTGGACTCCGACTGCAACTCCACCAGCCAGGACATGTTGATGAATCTCATAATGATCACTGCAAAGATAAAGATGAGGAGTGTATCTGGCGGCGGACTTGGGTTGTTTGTTTCATAATGAATGTCAGGTGAGTTGATAATAATGCCAAATGTCCCCGGACGAGCCTGATGAGCACCAGTATAAGCGCACAACTTGGTCTCCCCGCCACTGTTCACCTGGATCAGGGGCTTGTGGAATTGATAAGTTCAAGACCGCCATGGCTACCGTTTACTTTATTCTCTCAGCTGCAGATTGCGCGACACGCTTTGAGCATCGGAACCATTCCTGCCAGCGGCTCGTTATCCACCCTCGGCTCATTCTTCGAGATTGAACTGCGCATCGTGGAGGAGCAATCCACCGCGTTCTGGTCGCCAACCGATCGTATCATATTTCTCGGTACTAAATTAATGCTATACATCTGTACCAGAGAGGCCACATCGTCTTGGTGGTTGATCAACGGGTATCTCACAGCAACTTCTATAGTGCAGGTTGCTGCATCTGGAGACTTTCCATGGGCATATGCTCCCCTTCGAATTCACAAGATCGTCTTGAACGCCGTGTGTCTGCTTCTCCTTCTGAAATGCACTCGGTACCGTCACCCAATTAGTACTGATACATTCGCTCTCAACAATCTCATCTGTCGTGGAAGAGAGCTGCTGAGTCAACTACCAACCTCATCGGGGGATTTCATATCCCGTGTGTTGATGGTCGTTGATCTGCTTAGTGACGTTTCCGGGAGACCACGGTCAGAAAATGATTTGGAAAAGCTCCTAGTTATAAAAACCAGAATGGGCGCAAATATCGCGTTGAGCGCTGCGAAATTTGCAAGGGAAGAATCGATGAGGATGCAGGAAGGTATTGGTAATCAGACATTGTTGAATCCATCAGAGTTGGCGGGCATGGAGGATCTCGACATGTTACTGGACATGGACTGGGGACTGGAATAGTTTATTTTTTTCTTTCATTTAATCTACAAATATACAGTACTAGAATTCCTAGGACGCAGGTTCCCTATTGTAGAAAATCATTGCTTTATGAAAGTGGTATTGTTCATGAATAGACTCTGACGGGCGATATATATATATCTCCCGGTGCGGGACGCGGAATGCATCTCTCTTAGTAAAGCCCACTTTACTGCACCTCTACCACTGCGAACAAAACTATAGCACAATGTAATAGGAATCATTCAAACCATGTGAAGCCATGTTCATTAACTGTCTCAAATTTGCAAACAACAAAAGTCATTCGCATGTAAGAGCTTGATTGGTTGAGGCCATACATGTTGACTCCAAAGGTAACCTACATTAAAACAATATGCGGCGACTATGAAATGGTTTGACAGCACGATGAGGGATAGAACATGATATTTATGCTGCTGGCATTGGAACCTGCTGCGTCACACAGTGGATCACTCCACCACTTAAGGGAATGGCGTTGAGTTGCACCTGTCGCACCTTGCGCTCCGGCATCAGCGCCTGGAGAGTTTCCCTTGCCTTACGGTCGTACTCCTCCACGCCGAATCCAGGAACGATCACTCCTCCGTTGCAGAAATAGAAGTTGGCGTACCCAGAAACAAACTCGTCGTGCTCTTCGATCTCGAGGTCCTTCGGACTAGGCTCGTCAATTGCATGGAGCTCGAATTTCCGGCCCTTCGCGTCTGTTTCGTTTTCCAATATGTTCCGGATCTCGTGCGACATGTCCAGCCACACCTGTGGAACACTGGGGTGATGGCGTGACCAGATGAGGACACCCGGCCGGATGAATCGCACCTCGGCATCCACATGGCAGTCGGTGATGTCGAGTCCCTTCCGTCCAGGAACCCAAATAACCTTCTCCACACCGAGGACCCGGCGCAGTTCTGCCTCGATCTCATCACGACTCAGGCCCGGGTTGCGCTGGTCGCAGACCATATAGCTCTCGGCAACAATCAATGTACCCTCTCCATCGACGACGAGACCGCCGCCCTCCGTGCGGATGCGTGATTTGACCATCTGCACGGGCGATGGGGTGGTGTCTCTCTCGATGACATTGCGAGCGAAGTCGGTGTTCTCCTGCAAACACTTCGGCGTCATGGAGGGGTTGGCGAATCGGTAATCCCCCTCGATACCTTCCCATCCATTTTTATTGCCCCATTCATTGAACTCGAAGCTGATCGCCAGTCGCTGCTTTGGATCTAACTCGCCAGACGCGTCGTGGACATACACCGGGCCAGTATCGCGTACCCAACAGTGGTTGATGGGCGTGGGGATCACGCTCACTTGGGAGGGATCGGCTACCTTACGGTTGACAAGGTCCTGGGCAGCAGATACGTCTTCCGGACGCGCGTACAGCCGCACGGGTTCAAACTCTGCGATTGCAGCGGCAAGGTCGACAATTTCACCGCAGTTTTCGTCATGGAGCTCGTCACAAGTCGATGCTCGGGAGGGGAAACCAAGCATGGTAGCGAGATGAGGATGCCACTCGGGCGGAAAGGAGAAGCGACCAGTTTCCAAAGGAGGCAACATGATGTAGGAATAACTTTTAGCGCGATATATTTGATGTAAAACTCGCCGTGGGACGATTTGCCGGATGGATGAAGGAAAGAGTGTCTTATAGGTACGAAGGAGAGTGTGTGTGGGTGGTATGTATGTCATAGTTGTCCCTCGACCGCACTGGCAGCAACCACGCCCATGATCACCCGCTAGTCAGAAGTACGATATTAGCTTTCCTTAATTTGAGGTTCAGCTGACCCGTGGGACGCTCCCAGGTGTCATAGAAGGAAGCCCATGCATTCTTCACTATGAGTGGCCTGTAATGGGTGGGAAAGACATGGAATCATGCATAGATCACACCCAACACCGAGCACCAGAGAGACCAATCAATAACTAGCTGCAGCTGAGGGTGAGCTGATGCAGCCGGGATCTTCAGTCAGGAAATCTTTTGAGGAAGAGCTGAAAGGAAAGCCTAATTGTACCACGGAACCAACTGCACGACAGGACAGGGTCGCCGTGGCAGCTGGGGAGCGAAGATTGGCTCCACCAAACAATAGCTTCATGGGCACTCCTAGTTCAATGGTAGAATGCTTTGCCATTCGTGAAACGAAGGATACTGAGGCATTGGCTGTGTGGTTGATGAAGAATTCATCCATTACTCTAGTCCGGTTTCAAATACCTACGATACTGATCACTTCAAAGTGTCCCATAGGGGGCCGGTGTTGCTACTGTCGGGTGTTCCTCTTCCGTCTCCTCAGTCTCATGGCCATAGGTCCGATTACTCAACCAAAAGGAGGGTATGACCGTGGCTGCAGACAGTGTCCCCAAGGCCCAAGCCATAGCCTTCCACCCGTAGTTGTCAAACAGAGCTTCGCCCAGGATGGGACCAATGGCCAGCCCAGCGTAGTTAGCCATGGTTTGTAGACCAAAGGCCTGAGCAACCGCCCCTTTCTCGCCGAAAATTCCGGGGGACTGCTGTTCCATCTCTTCGATTACCATCTGTGACTCTACATATAATCCCGGATGCCCGAGATCGGGGGAGATGCCGCAGAAAGCAACCAACGCGCCGAAAAGAATCTTCTGGGAGAGGCTGTCATGGCTCACAAACTGAAGACAAATCAGTGAAGGCGTCAGTAATGAATATCCGATGACTGCCATGATGCGAACCCCAAAGTGGTCGCACAGCCTTCCTATAGAAGTATCAGCATTTTGTTCTTCGGTGGTCAAGAGTACTGCCCTCAGCGGTCGACCTACCAAACAGTGGCTCCAAAAGCGACGGTGCCGCCATGACGAGGAAGATCAGACCGGCTGCGAACGAGTCCCATCCGAACAACTTTTCCACAAAGCTGGGCACAGTCTGATATTTTTGGTCAGAAATCCATCGCATCTACTCAAGGCCCCGTGAGCACTTACCGCGTCAAAGGCACCGATAATAATTCCATCAACCACGAGTGCCCAAAGCGTGATTGCGACTCGCGGTTGCTTCAGCAATTTCAGCGAGGCAAAAGCGTCGCCCCGTTGCGCATTCGAGCCTGACGGTGGATGGGTATTGTCTCCACCCGAAGCCGTGTCTTGGTTTTCTGGATCCGTTGAAGGAATAGCACTGTACCGGACAGAGTTATCGCCGCGCTCTACCTCACCCTTCTCCAATACGGCCAAACGCAGTGCTGCATCCAAGGCGACAATAGCAAACCCCAGGGCGCAAACAGCGTAGTATCCCCCAACCTTGTTTAGAAGGCCTCCTAAGGGTGGGCCCGCCATAAGGCCGACCATACTTCCTGTTCCCATATATCCCAAGGCCTCCCCTAGACCATGTTTTCCGACCACATCCTTCAATAGTGCAAGACCGGCAACCTCAACCATGGCGGCAGACGCACCCTGCAAGACTCGAGCAATGATGTACGTTGTTATAGATCGTGCGACCGTGAAAAGGCACATTGACGCAGCGAGTAGAACGAGACCAGCTAGGAAAGGGACTTTGCGCCGCCCCATTCGGTCAACCCAGTAACCAAAAACGGGGCAGGTGAAAAATGCTGCAGCTGTTTCCGCCACGAGCATAATACTAGTCCAGTAGACCTCTAGCCATCGGAACGAAGTGTGAGTAATTTTGCGTTCGTGACACTCACACCACTTGAAGCAGAGAGGAAAACATACTATCCTGAGGCAGCACCCCCGCGCGAGCTACCAGGGCGGATGGCATAATAGGTACAATCTAAGACTGTTTAGTAAAGGAGCATACTGCACGAATCTGATTATCGCGTACCATTCCATAGAGAAACAGCGTCTAATGGTCCGAATGTCAGTAGTGAAATTACTAAACGGGGTGTCGGTGGCCAGACACACCGTCATGTAGGAAACGGACACGACAGTGAGGATAAACCATCGGGAGGAGCGCCACGATGGCGACCTCGTCGAGTCTGCGTTCGACGACATGTTATTACGCAGTCTCAATGCTCAGACTGGTATAATCTGGGCAAATCTGAGATGGGGATATGATGGTTGGAGTTGGTGTAGTTGATTGTGATTGTCTTTGTTTTGAGTCTGTCTGGTGATTGTCGGTTAGTAATCGCAGACAGCCAGACAAGATGGTGGAAGTCGACTTTGGCGACACGCTTGCTTCCACACAAACACATTTATCCAGCCGTCATCTTAGCCTCTGGCAGGCGTCACGGCCCAAAAACCAGGCCTGCAGACGATCTGCAGCTGTAAGGATCCCTCCGCGGATATTTTGTCAACTCGGGGACATCTGCAACACGCGTAAATGCCTCAAGGGCTCATTGTGTACGATTCCCGCGGCTTGATTGGTCTTGGTGGGAACACAAGTTCCTAGTCAGGTGAGTCTCTCGTCGCCAGAGGAGCCTAGGTTACTCTCTGAATGCTGATGTGGGGTTTCCAAAAGGCGATTGACAAGAATCCTTCTGCGTGCATCGGCCAGAAATGCCAAAGTTCTCACTCATCAGCCAAGTGCGACCAGAAGCATGAATTAGAACTGCTTGCCAGAGCGTCGGTAAGACCAGCTGAACTGAGTGCGAGACTGCTTTTTGTGTTAGCGGCGGATGGAAGCTCAAGTCGCGAGATGTTCTGGCCAATCGCTCCGGTGATGTTGCAAGCAATGGGGACGTGCTGCAGATCATTAGGTAACTTGTTGTTGAGGAGAACGAACGGGGAACCCACGGATCCACAACGGAGCTATTGTCAAGATTGAAGCTTGGCTGGCTGGCGGTGCTGATCTATATGACAGGATTTGCTGACGATTTGCAGGAGTACAACACCCTGGCGTCCTGCCCCGTAAGTGGTTCAGCTATGCTTGCTTCTGTTATTCGGATTGCAGTTTTAACCACTCCTACAGCTCACAATACAGGGAAGGAGTGATCGGAAGCCACCATTCTGCCTGGATCCGCCAAAAGTGTGATCGAGAGACAGTGGCTGGCTGCACTCTCGTATGTGTATTTTTGTACATTCACTCCGGTGGTCCCGTAAGCCGATCAGCCTGGGTTACAAGTGCTGAACCGCCCCAGTCCTATGTTCATACATGCCGTAATGGAACTCAGGACTTCATGGTCTGTGCATAAACGATGGATCAGCGTGTACCTACCATAAGAAAGGTGACCATCGCTATCGACCGTGGTACACCAGCTTTGCGCCAGACCTCACAGCGAACTAATGGACTCGACAGAGCGGTTGATTGATTTGGCGATTCAGACTCGTCTTTTTAGTTTGAGCAGTCGTGGTTGGGGCATTGCTGACGAGCCCTTTTTTGTCGCGGATCTGGGTCAGGTTATCCGCCAGCATCGCCGATGGAGGGTGAACCTGCCAGACGTGCACCCTTTCTTTGGTGGGTGCCTCCATACCATCCAGGGACCCGACATCCCTCGTCTTAAAGCTAACTGTCGGCGGCTACAGCGGTGAAATGCAACCCCGATCCTAATCTACTCAAACTTCTAGCAGACCTAGGCACAGGCTTTGATTGCGCCTCGATAGAGGAGCTACGTACAGTTCTTAGTCTAGGGGTCGATCCATCCCGCATCATCTTTGCGAACCCCTGTAAATCTGCCTCCTCTTTGGTCTTTGCGGCTCGAACGGGCGTGACGCGAACGACTTTTGACAACCTTGATGAGCTGGATAGCATCCGAACCTTCCTCCCAAATGCACAACTTGTCCTGCGAATTTTTGCCAGCGACAGTGATGCTTTGATAAACCTAGGAGAGAAGTTTGGTGCCTCAGTTGAGGCCTCGTTACCTTTGTTGCAACGAGCTCGCGAACTAGGGTTAGGTGTGTGCGGGGTGAGTTTTCACGTTGGTAGGTTGCTCCCCAAGGGCCATTGCTTCGCAACTTACTCACCACTCCCTCTCAGGCACCGGGGCCTCCAATGCATCAGCCTATGTGAACGCCATTCAGCATGCCAAGATCGTCTTCGGATATGGCAAGAGTTTGGGGTTTGACATGAACTTTCTGGACATTGGCGGAGGATTCCAGGACTGTAACTTGGAAGATATTGCATGTTCTCTACGACCAATGCTGAAAGAAGAGTTTCCTTCTGGGGTCCGCCTGATTGCCGAGCCGGGTCGTTATTACGCTCGCAGTGCCTACACCCTCGCGTGCAAGATTCTGTCCAGACGGCGCCACCTCGGTACGGATGATCACGATAAGCCAGATATGCTCTACCAGAACGACGGGGTATATGGAAGCTTTATGAACGTTCTGATCGAGAAAGAAATTGTGCGGCCATCCTTGGTCGCGTACAATTGGCCATCTCACAGCCACAGCAATGATACTCGGCAGAAACTCGAGGAGCATCGATACACGATCTGGGGCCCTACTTGCGACAGCGTGGATTGTGTTGCAAAAGATGTGCCCATGAGCTCAGAGATTCGAATAGGTGATTGGCTCAAGTACAAGAATATGGGTGGTGAGTCCTTGCATGCCACACTTTCCGCTATGTGAATAAAAAGACTGACTATCCCTGGAAGCCTACACCACAGCAACGGCGACTCAGTTCAATGGGTTTTCAAACAAGCATGACGTGATTTACATTAATACAGAGTCTATGGACTATCAGGTGATGCACTGGACGGCGTTAGCAAACCTACATCAGGAGCATTTGCGGACATTTACCATCTCGGTTTAATTATTTATCTTCATAGCATGAGCAAAGTCGGTGTGCGAAAAGCTCCTTCGAGTCTTCATCATCAGGTCGTTTCTTTTGCGCTAGGCCTACGATTTTACCTTCATTATCTCCATACTCACACATGAATCGCCATTAAGCATAGCAGTGGATCTGACCAGTCTGACGAGCATACTGGGCACTTTCTTTGAGGAGAAATGATCGTGGGCCTCAAGCTCTAAAACATAATAAAATTACCCCGAAGAATGTTGATTCTTGTCGGTCATTTGACGAAACAACAATCAGTATCTAAAACATCTTGGGCTGAACACCTGTCGCAATTTTGGGAACGCGGCTGGCTAAGCTGTGGAAACTAGGGAAAGCCCAAATCCCCACCATTGGAAGGTTTGCCCCCGAATAAGATGCTTAGATTTCTACCTACAACAAGAATTACAAGACTGGGGCAATAATGCAGATCGGAAGATGAAAAGCCCAATTACCAGGCAAAGGACGCCATGGTCATATTCCCCATTCCGAGACTGCAGATCGACTCTGTAGACCAACATACTGTCGGATGGGAGACCGAGACTCAGTTCTAGGTGGAGAGCCACCAATAATTGTATATCGTACATGACTGATTGAACCTAAAATTCCAAATCTGTCCGCTCGTGCCCGGTACTTGGAGTCAGGACAGCTCGATGCCAGTCAGACCAGGTTTATTGTTCCTTTTCCCGTCCGGTCCCTCCCACTCATCAAAATTCATCTCCTGGGTGGCCGTGAGGAATGTCTCAAGACGGGGAGTACATCGTTCGTTGCATCTGGTCTGGTCCTGCACCTCAGTGAGCGCCTGAATGACCCGGGCGAGTCATTTGATCACCTGTGACCGGCATTTCTTGCAGGAAACCTCCCTGACGGGAGGTATCTGCGTAAACTGTGCGAATACGCAGAGCTTTGGGGCGGGGGATTCAGTATGTTGACAGTTTGGAAGGATGCGACCAGCCACGAAACCATGGTGGCTTATGGCTACACTGTACTATTTTTCTGGCCAGAGCTCGGCGCTGTGGGAGGGTGCAATGGTCTCGTCTCACAGCCGGCTGTGTTGCAAACACCCCCAGATGGGGAATTTCACACAAATTTGGTGCGCTCAGTGGAGCAGTACATTGTGCGACGGAGTTTGTCACCTCTATCACCACACTCACAACAGATCAAGAGGAAGACATGCCCACCCGCCAGCTCTCCACTCCTCCAAACCCGCTCTCGGCAGTTGCGGTGGCGATTGACTCAAAACACTGTTCATGAGGACTCGCATAGATGATCATTGAACATCTGAAGAAAACGGCACGCAGCGCGGGATTACAAGCGCTGGTGGTTCCACTGAGACTAACCCGGAAAGCCAACTTTTCCTGTGTCAACATGACCAAGTATATCACATGGGCCAAGGAATGCCGTTTGGCCGCGACAAGGGCCAAATCTTCCGTCAGCAGTCCTGGTGCTCCCCCTTTTGATCCGTGGCTCCGCAAAGACGTTTCACTGCGGGTAACTGGTCAAAGTGGCGAACCAAAGCATGTCCGTGGAAGGAAGCGTATCGGATTGGGAGCGTTGGACGACTGTTGACATCAGCAACCCTCAAATGCCAAGTGAACTGCCACATAATCGTGCTGAGAAGCATGATTACCGAGGGATATACTCTGTATGTCCCTGGTGGCCTGGTACCAGTAAAATTCTATCCGAAGAGCAGTCGCGGTATCTATATTGAGCCTAAAGTATGGGTTTATCATGATCTCGCGATAACAGTACACATTAGCCTACACCATCGTTGACAAACTGTGCCCATTACACAGACGCAGCTTTTGTTTAACCCTTCTTGAAGTACCATTAATACCTACCCGCAATATCAAAGTCATATGTGAGTGGTTCAATGCCAGCCTCCAGACCTAGAAGCATCAGATCTAGGGACAGACGGAGACATTCGTCCCATGAGGCGAGATTCTCAAAGAGGCCAGTCATGGCTGATTGAAAAACAGTGCTATTCTCCCTCCGGACAGGATTGTCAGTAACATTGTCCCTCTCCTTCCGCGTCATCATCCAATCTCGGAGCTCAACAGGAATGACAATGTGGGATATTAATTTCCGGATCCAAGCTCTCCGCACCTGGCCTTTACCGGAAGTAATGGCCCGAAAATGTGACAATGAAATGCCCCAGTTGTCACCATGGCCGTCAACTCAATCGGCGCTGTAGACATTCAGCTTGGAGTAGATGAGGGGCTCGAAAGCAACCTGCCACTGACGGTAGACAGTGGTACATAGAGATATGACAATGCCGGTATCCTGCAGATAAGCTACAATTTGTGCCAGAAGCTCATAAGGTAGGGTCGCCGCCATTATGGATGTTGTGGTAGATGACAGATGGAAGTTCCTCACACGGCTCACTATTATATATTTTTTTGATATGGCGGTGTGTCTGTAATATTACCTATATATATTCCTTGGCAACCCATGTCCAATTATCAGATCCTGGAGTGGGTTCTAATTGGTTCGGCCCGGCCCATCAATTCAAAAGCGCGGACAACCAAACATTCGCACTCTCTCCAAGGTCCAAGGGTGGTAACCTCAACCAGTAGATGAGGAAGCCAGCACTAATAACTGATGCAGACTGGTGTTGGCCTCAGTCCGGGTCTAGTGACTTGAAGGATCAGTCGCTGGTGCTGAGTTTGATCTTACAAGACGCAAGGTGCCAAAATGGCTTTCACAACAGATGGTAGCATCAGGAGAAAGAAGACTCCAAGGGTGCGGGCCAGTAATGATCTGGACGACTTCAGCTGCTTCGCTCTGTAGTATGTGGGACTGCCTTCACTGGCGGCCTAGGTCACACATATTCGCAGTGTCGACAAGATCAAGCAAGGTCTCAATAGACATAGACTCGTCCCCAGCGCCTCGACTCGATGATGGGCCTCAGCATTGTTAGCTACCACACCGGCCCCCCGTGATGGCGGGCAAATCCCGACTAATACCAGCAAGTTCCTGTGCAGCGCGTTGGCGCACCAAAGCATCTTCGAAAGCATTGCCGGCAGCATAGTTAGTCTGCGAGGGGTGACCTGTCACGCCTGTAATGGAGGAGAGGAGCATGAAGAAGGAAAGGTTGCTTTGTAGATGGCGATGCAAGTTCCTGGTGCCGGCAATTTTGGGATTCAGCGCTGATCACCATTGTGCAAATGTCATTTGTTCGAAGATGGTGTCCTATCAGAAATTCCTAGTAACGATTCAAGTGGGTTTTGAGGGGCGATATTTATTGCTCACCTCGAGGACGGCCGCGTCACGCACAACTCCTCGGATCGGGGGTGAGGAGGCTTAGATCCGATCAACTAGACCAATAACACTTTCCTTATCTAAGATGTCGCAGTTGGCAAATTGCACTTGGCAGCCTTTTTGCCGGGCATCTTCTACAAGAGTTCTGCCGTTGGATGCAACTCAGCATTGCAAGAAACAACAGTCACATTTCGGGCTCCTTTCGACATCATCGAAATTGCCATAGCGCTGCCAATACCCCCAACATCTCCAAAGACCATATATCCATCTTCGTATGCGAGAGAAAGACACTGTAAAGGGGGAAGGACTTTGACAAGGTCGTCGGGCTTGGGGACCACGAGGACTTTGACCTGCTACTCCTGGCTCCACTCAAGGGTCTCCTTCAACCAGGAGGCTGGGTATCAAGCCACTCCAGGCAAACCTGGCTTCGGTGAAGACTTATGAGAGAGAAGCTGGAAGCAAACTTGCGTCTAGTGCCTGTTTCATTAACCTGCCGTTTCCACCCGCGCATAGGTCGCGCAACGAGCGGGAAGTTGCTCCACCTCCAGCTCATTGCCATGGGTGCTAGAAAGATCAAAAACGCGACCAAAGGGAGCGATGATATCCTCACCGAGTATACAGAGCGTTGATTTTGACGACGCATTGATATGGATGTCAACCCCTAAGCCGTTCGTCTGCCCCAGGATGATCTCACTGATGCTTTTTCTGGGTGGTTCGAACAAAATCTGCCCTTTCAGAATCTGGCAATGCTCGGCCAGCTGTAGAGCGTCTGAATAGCTCCCGTTGTGTGCCACAACCCATACTTGAGCGCCCATTGGAGCCGTTAGTGCAATGGCTGCTTCCGCGATCGGGTTTCCCGACGGCATGCACTATCATGACCTTGTCATCTTGTTGAAGCCTTGCAAGGTGAATCAATGCATGATAAGCCGCAATATAGGCTAATGGCATGCAAGCTGCTGTCTCCACGCTGATGCCGTCCGGCACTCGGGTGATTCCTGTCCAACTCGCTCGCACGGTGCTTGACAACGTACCAGGCGCAACGCCGCATACATTGTCCCCTAGCTGGAGTCTACTTGCCTAGGTGGTGTCACTGGGACCCACAACAACACCAGGTACTTCGTACACAGCTGCAGCGTGTTCGTTTGCATGCTTTGGCGGAGATCTGGGACTGAATGCTTTGACGTGAATCTCTACATGAATCAAGCGACCTTGAACTTCCCCTACTGGAAGAAAGACTAGTGCAGCGAGTACTATGACATCTTGGCCGCCATCAAGAATAAATACAACCCGGCCCATATTCTCTGGGCGGCTTCCTCGGCTGGATCCAATGCCTATGAGCTGCTCGGGGATGGTCATTTGTGCAAGGCGTGAGAGCTAGGGACATAACTGCATTGCCTGTCTCCAGAGTCTTCAGTTTTCTTGACCGAATCGATGAACAGATAGGCCTATGGGCCATGGGGATAGGTGCTGAACACTGTGTAGAGAGGACACCCAGGCCCGGTGGGTGTCGCCGGGAAGAAGCCATACAAATCAGGAACATCCAGAATGAACGAGAACCAGTAAGATCGCGCTTGTTTCCAAAGTCTCTGGCCAACTCGTGAATTGCTTTTTCGATGTTTTGGTATACGCCTTGATTTTGCTGTATATACGCGCGATTCCGATAGACTTAAGCGTTCTGGAACAGGCCCGCTTCATTAACGAAGCGCCTACATAGCCAGCTACATCTGCGGGCTCAATTATGTAACTAAAACTTGAATTCAATTGAATTGAATCGCTCCTGACCTTCGTGTTGATAGACATATCTTTGCCGCCGAGGAAAGAGTGAGCTGATATGTCTCAGGCGACGAAGAAAATGATCATATGAGTCTACCATTCTTGAACCTCGCCGGTATAGAGGACAACCTTACCACCGTACTGCTCCTTGGTTCCCTTCGTAATCACATTAACCATACCACCTGTAGACTTGTCGATAGTGTCCGGCGCTGATTCCAGACCCCACCCTTTCGCTGCCCCGTTTCCCATGTCGGTCTGAACCCAGCCAGGGTCCAGTACAAAGGTGTTGAGCCACTCATCTTCGGAGTTGATTCGAATGCCATACCACGGGAGAATGGACTTGGAAGCCCCGTATGCCGCACTAGGGACGGGAGGCTGACGGCTAGAGAGCGGGTTAGTACAGTAGAAGACATCAGATGGGGAAAATGAGATAATAAACGCAGAAAAAGAGAAGGGGGGGGGATAAGAGAGAGCATGTCTTACCCTAGAGCTCCAGCTCCAGACCCCATAATAGCAAAGACAGGCTTGGTAATCGACTTCTCAAGGAGAGGACGAGTGGCTTGGTAGAGAGAGACAACACTAAGGACGTTCACCTGAATGTGCTCGACGATGTCGGCGCGTTTGACATCTTTAACAAGGGGGTACACCTTAGCGATGCCGGCATTGGCAACAACGTAGTCAATATGGTCAACGCCCTTGTTGGTGGCCTCTTTGACAGCGTCAAAGGCGGACTGCTCAACACCCGCGTCGTACTTCACTATGATAATACTGCTGCCTTCGCCCACGGGTAGCCGAGATAGCTCCTGGGCAGTTGGGTGTGCAGGATCACGAACCGCAGCCACAACAAGCTGCAAGTGGCGTAATTAGCTCTGGACAGATCTCGATCAACTGATAATAACTTACGTAGTTTGGACTGGCGACAAAGTGCTTCACCAGTCCGAAGCCCAATCCTCGGTTAGCACCGGTAACAAAGGCAACAGTGGGAGCCATAACAGGGGAGTAGAACTGATATACGGCAAAAGTGGAGGGGATCGAAACAGAACTGACAACTGTGTTGACACAGATTGTTAGGCACATAGAGACGATTATTTCTAGTCATCTTGTCGGAAGGTCGATTACCAATCTCAATTACAAATGCGAGGCGCGATGGTACTCCGTAAGCATCTGACAGGGGGTTTAGAACTAGCGGATAAATGGGGTGAAGCGCTATCTGCATGGTGACAGTGCGTATATGCAGGATAACCATGTGTTTAACACATGCATTTGCGCCAGATCGTCTCGCATCAAAACTGATTTACGACGATACCTGGTGGCAAGAGCCTAGAAATGATAATTTTGAGGACACAGTTCTTCTTACTACTTCTCGATTGGCTACGTGGATGGGCGCGTAAGCAACGTCAACATTTGCAGGATATATAAATAGTATGTATGAGAATGGAGGGGAAACAAAAGCTTTAGTCCACGATTTCTCCCTTCTTTCGATGCAATTCATACCTAACAGCGAAACTATGTGGACCCAGCCAGACCTGGGGCCTGAGTTTCCAGGAGTCTCTGGGATCTTGGGGCATGGATTGCAAGGCCAGGATTTGACCTCCCTTGCATGGAAAACTCCACGGCAGGCAGGTAGCAACGAGGCCCAGCATCCATATACCATTACCGTGACAGCAAGTAGGATTCGACCAGAACCTCAGTAATTGTTCCAGACGCACAGTAAGCTCGTCCTATGCACAGCTTGACCTCTTGAGGTTCTAGCGGCCGCTCACTAGTGCTATCTATAGGTGTTAGAAACTAACAATATGCTCAACATTGTATATTATATTAATACGATACAAAGTACAACACAGGCGCAATCCCGAGTCTTGAGCAGATTCACCGCATTGTGCACGTACAAGTCCCTCAATACTCAATCGCTCTTCTCATCTTTTTATCCTTTCCGCACAGATTACTCCGATGGCGCATGTTCAAGAGCCTGTGGCTGTTGTGGGCTTCTCCTGCCGGCTTCCAGAGGGCAATAATACGCCTGAAAAGCTATGGGAATTCCCGAAACAAGGAGAGATTGCATCAAGAGATGTTCCAAAGAGCCGCTTTTCCTTCGAAAGCCACTTTGATGGTTCCCTTGAGCCTGGTACCACGCGTCCGCCAGGTGGTATGTTCTTGGAGAATGCATCTACATTCTCCATGGATCCCAATCAACGGCAAATGCTTGAAGTTGTTATTGAGGTATTAGAAAACGGAGGAATTACGATGGACAGTCTGAACAGGAAATCGCCGTCTTTGTACATATTTTATTTGGACATTTTTTATATTCATTATTTTGGTCATGGTAGACTACAGTAAAATGCAAAATCGTGATCCCCTTGACCGGGCATCGAATCATGTGGTTGGCATTGGGCGTACCAGTATGGCCAATCGGTTAAGCTACTTCCTGAACATCAAGGGGCTAAGTGTCATGATTGATACAGCCTGCTCAGGAAGTATGTTTGCATTGCATCTGGCCACCTGTGCCCTTTACAACCGAGAATCCAACAGCGCAATTATTGCTGGTTTACAGTTGTGAGTATAGGCACTTCCTACAATGAAAATAAGGTCTAGGATGTATATTAATGGATATATAGAAATAAATACAACATTAAGTCACAGTCTCACAAAACCATCTACCACCTACTAAGTCACACTAGGTATAAAAATAAACACAGCACCACTAAGATCACACTAATGATCACCACTGCTAAGGTAAACCCTTATTCTTGTGCACTACAATTCTCGAGAAATACGAAGATCATCTCTAGAATACGGACGGTTTGGCTTGTTGGGGGTATTTAGCATGACCTGAACTCTTGATGATGAAATCAACCCTCAACGTAGTGCGAAAGACATTTGCAATGATAGAAGCGGCCTCGGGTATTTTCTGAGTTTCCGGGGATATGTCGAGTTGGGCAAATCCAAGCATTGGGTACTCAGCGCGTACTGTGCGCAGCAGGCCAGTATTTGGAGAATACTGAATTCCATTCTCTGCGGGAGAAAGAAGACCTCTGACACGGATCAAGTCCATGGAATGTCCTGTCGGTGATAGGTCTGGTTTCTGGTAGTGTGATAACAAAGGGTTCTCTGCCGGAGCCAATGATACTCCTCCAATGCATTGGTAATAGAATTGTTGAGGTGCGGTCAGAGAGCCATGCAAGCTAATTAGAAATCAATGCATGGCCCGACACAGTGGAAGCCAGTTATAATCTATAGGAGATCTACCTTCTCCACCTGTGAGCCCAACGGCCGAGGGAACATGCTGAGACAGTAAAAGGTAAACACCAACAGGTCATTCATTCATCCTTCACTAGTGTTTCAGAAATACCCTTACCCCCAAACAACAAGTAGAAAAAGCAAAGGAGAAGGTGTTTAGAGTTAATCCTAGTATGCTATTTTCTTTAGATCATTACATAGCACAGAGCAACACAAGCGTAGCAAGACAGCATTGGCTGCTGGAGCCTAGACCTGGGTCACTTAGACAAGACCCTGCAAATATCCTTGTAAGCGTGATATTGTGTTCCTAGTAGGATGTAACATGGAGCATAAATTATTTGTAGTATCAACCCCTACAATGCAGGGGCATAAAATCTATTTATATTGTGATAGAAAGATAGTAGTATTTTTGGGAATATCAATTTTCAGTGCATTCAGACTACGGTAAATGAGGGGGCCGCTCAGTTAGAATAGCTGCTCACTTATGGGTTATGTTATATATCTTTCAATCTCTTCAAGATAGAATATGTTTATCCTAATATCTAATATATATATAAAATATTCACTAATGTATTGACCGTAATCAGAACCTTCGGCCTCTAATAACACCCTAATAACCATAAGAATTCCGGGCGAGTTAGTGGTGAGCGAGGTAAGAACTACGAAGTCTTTAGATTAGGTATCACTATGGCTTTGGAGTTTGGATAGTTGTTTAGGTCGAGCATGGTGGGGCTGGTGCATTGCACAAAAATAGTCCTTGCCCACTAACTATGTACAGATCATCTGCTCCTATCTGCCTCTACTGGAAGTAGCACACAGTCTCTGCGCCTATCAGCTAAAATAAACAAATTAAGCTTAGGGCGCAGGACTAGGCCTGTTCTTCCTGCTCCACATAAGATTTATGAAGTTGCAGTAGTAAAAGATGAATAATTATGATTCAGCTATCACACAATCAGTCCTGCTGCCTGTCGGTGTCAGCACCATAAGCACATGAGGGCCAACCGGCAGAACCATCCCCTATTCACTTGTTCATGGCCTGGCGCTTTAATACAGAGACAGTAACAACCAAGAGAGAGAGCGCGCGGGGGAGAAGCTTAGGACAGCTGCCTGTTTCACTCAGCATGTCTGGCTTATATACCAGGGCAGGGTTGGGGATCTTAAGCAACGCGAATACTGACCAGTCAGTTTGAAGAAGAACCTCGCCAGCCACACCTACCAATTCAAAAGCAGTCAGTCACTCTCTGCCCCTCTGATCTTTCACCATAATGAACCCTGAGGCTCGCCGAATTGCATGCGTATGGGACCATCTTCCATCGTATCCGCGACGCTCTCTCGACCGATCTCTCCTCCGTCACTCTGCCCCCGTCCCTGTGTTTGTCATCCTCTTTCTCAACGCTGTCTTCTCCGACCCCCACCCATCTATCATCCACCATCCGGCCACCCCGCTCCTCGTCCTCCTCATCCGCCAACAAGTTCTCCACTCAGCTCATCCCTTCCATGCTTCCCGGCCTACACATCGGCGGGTTCGATCTGAATAGCCACCGGGACTTTCAACTGGAGATTATCCTGCACCTGAGCTCAAAGATGCTGGGGTGGATCAAGAAGCTCCTGGGAATTTCGCTCATTTCATCGCAGTATCAACCCGGATCGTTGTCGACTGAAGAGATGTGGACTGGTGGGAGTGGGATGCCCCAAGGAAACGGCAGCGGCGGCGGTGGCGGAGGGAAGGGTGGGGAACGCCCGATTCTGGACAATGAATCTACGTCGGCGTTGCTGGAGGTCATGTTAAAACAGAATGATCTTGGATATTTCAATGAGGCCAATGGGGGCGCAGCATCGGTCAAGCAGACATTGCATGATATTCATGAGAAATTGAGTGAGATAATGTGATGTTTTTGGGTGGGGGATCAATACTAAACTGGAGAGGGTGAGGATGTATGTTTTTACTTAGACACACAGTGGGAGGGAGACCGTGACAGAAGGCCCTGGATCAGAGGTCTTATGACCTTCATCACCCCTTCACTACTTGACTTCTCATTCCTTCATTATTTAAATCAAGCAAGTATCTTGCTACATATTTCTAAGTATATAGCACCAAGAGGTTCGGAGCCCTTGCTCCAAGAAAGACCTTCTACTTGGTACCCGGATAGATGAGATTCTGGAGAGGAAGAGAAGCAATAGTGACTATGGCTGACTGCAGTGAAATACAAAAGACACCTTGGATTTTTCATATTAAATGCTTGCTTGGGGTAGAACTATGCTCCAGTTCAAAAAATTTAGATTGAGGTGGGCAATAATTAACTAAATAACAGAATCAGCATGAAGAGCTACCAGCTCCCTACTCGCATTTCTCGCTCTCCCCCCCTGTCAGTTCAATTCCTGGTTACAAATATCCACAATCTCGGCCCAGATCTGTTCTTGCAGCGCCTTGCCCTCCTCGTTCGTGACCAAAGGGCCCGGTCTAAGCGGCGAGAAATAGATCTCATCAGCAACCATGTCTGAGATGATGGGGGTAATAGATGGGTATTAGGAAACCACTCACTTAGTAAAGACATCATTAGTCCAGAACTTGCCATGGCCAGCTGTGCCCAACAAGGTCGCACTGACCAACAAGCGACTACCCTCCTCGGCCGATCGCGCACAATACATCTGCATCAATTTCAACGGCAACATAACATACCACAGAAAGTCACAGCCCAGCTCGGTCGTGCACAAGCCCGGACAGACCACATTAGCAGTGACATCAGGGTTAGCTTCACGCCCCGCGTAATTCTTGACCAAGCCTTGCATCACATACATAGTCAACAGCTTCATCACCGCGTATGAGGTCTCCGCGTTGAAGAACTGGGGCGAATTGATCGCCTTCAACACGCTCTGGCCCGGTGTCACGGTCGGCAGGTCTTTGCTCATCAGGTAAAGGTGCGCGAAACTGCCGGTGAGGGTTAACTGTGCCGGCCCTTGCCCTTCTATCTGGCTGTTCTTAAGAAGGCATAAGGACGATGGCGAGCAGCGCGGTCGAGAGGATATTGACCTGCAGAGCGGATTCCAAGCCCGTGGCGGCATTGGCCTGGTAGCTGGTCGGGGCGATACCCGCGTTCAGCACGGCGACATCCAGCCTGTGGATGCCCGCCTGTTGAAGTCGATGAGGAAAGGTCTTGACAGAGGCGAAGTCACCCATGTCGAGAGGCAGGACGATGATGTTGCTAGCGGAAGTTGAAGTTGAAGCTGCCGCTGCCAACACGATCTTTGTTTTCGCTTCTTCGCCCTTACTGATGGTGGGCACGGCAAGGATTAACTTGGAGGCGCCCAACGCGGCAAACTTGAGGGCGGCCTGGTACCCTAACCCCGTGTTGGAGCCCGTCACCAGCACCGTTTCCCCCGCAAAGCTGGTCTGGGTGGGGTCCTTGGGCGAATTTTTGGCAGCCCAGCGAATCGTTCCCATCTTTCCGAAATCTTTTGGAGGGCCGGAGCCGAGTAGAAATTCGATTTGAGGGTTGATTGGGGGCATGATGGTGATGATGGTGGTGGGAGAACGAGAGTATCGGAAGATGGGTTCCGGGCCGTGGATGACCAACAACTATGTTTCAAGGGGCCTAGTTTACTTGAATTCTTAAGGCTTATGAATCCGAGAGGGGGGCTGTTGTTTCGCGAGGTAGGTGAACAAAGAAAATAGATCCTGTCTTCTCACGTCTGTGCCCAGTGTTACGACTAGCTGCCCAGATCATCTTGCACTGCACAGGGAGAACTGGAGTTTGGATTAAGTAGGGATGTGATCGCGCCGATTGGCTTGCCCGAGTCGGTGGCCCGGCCCGAATCCTTCGGAGACTCTAGTCAGATCCTGACCTGCCCCAATCCCCCCACTCTTCGGATGTTCCTGTAAGGATCTCTGAGAGAGAGATGCCTTAGCTACCCAGTGCGCTACATGGGTCTGGATTCGCGAGTTGCATGGTCTTTTGCCCTTATGGATTATTAGCATCCAGCCAGCATTCTTATAGTTCCCCCGAATCTCAAAACACTACAGTTCTACGCTAAAATTTTCCATACAGCCGCCCCCATCAAAAATATATCTTCTCTCGCCGTCTCACGTAATTTCATAATCAACTAGAGGCTGTGTAGTACTTACTATGCTCTGTACATATATATAAATATATACAATTTCCCAATACGGCATACACCTATGATCCTCCCTATTGTCTAGCGGTCATTTGACCCCTAGCTCATAAAAAGCTCTTCCCACGCAAGTGTAATTTCTCAATAATCCCCTGTATTTCCAGTGGGACCATTTACAATTTCACCAGATTCCAGGCACAAGTCGCCAGGGCACTCTTCGACAGTATTCCAACCAGAATACCCCATATTTTGCCTGCCCTCTTTCTTCATCCCGGAGGCACCGGTGCACCAGTAAGATCACCATAAAAATGACATAGAACCAGACCAGGAGTGAGGTAGTGTGAACAAGCGCACACATGGCAAAGCTCAGCAGCAAGTCCCCAACATAATTGGCATGACGGGACCATCCCCACCAGCCGCTACATAGTAGGAGACTCTCGTGCTCGACGCCGTCCATGGTTTTGTATTTTGCAGTGATGAACTCAGCAGGCTTGCCCCAGACTAGCGCTTTCCCACCGGAGCGTCGGACGCGATTCTTCTGGTCATTGACAGATCAGAACAAGATGTAGCCCGCAAGACCCAGGCTGAAGATGAGTATTAGGAAGATCGGAGAGGCTGAAGTGGAGTAGAGGCCGACATATTGACTTTGTAAGGTGTACATGGAAGGGACCCAGGTGAGGCAGCCCCAGGCGAGGTAGAAGCCGTAGTGGTCGTGGGCGATGTCAATTGTGCGGAGGTACCAGGCTTCGTTGATGAAGAAGTCAAGCACATAGATACCGTGGAGAATCGTGATGAGAATTAGAGATGGGTTAAAGTGGTGGTATGTCTGATAGTGGTATGCAATGTTCGACAAGTCTCTGGATACAGATTTCAGCACAAGTTCTGGTGATTATGATGAGACAAGGAGAACAAACACTAGTGTCCATGCAATCAGGCCAGGTCTTCCATTGGTGTAAAGCTTGAGGTCGAAGTAATCCCCAATCCGGGGATTGAGTTCAATGCCCATATAGAAGTCATAGAAAGCGCAGCCTGGGTAAAAGGTACGGTTAAGCACGCTGGCATTACCAATTCAAGGGGATGTGTGGAGAACGAACTTACCACTAAACTTCCAGTCTTCCAGATGTGTAGGCATCAGATATGCCTTAAGGTACGCGGGCAAAGAAAGAATAATACCACAAAGATTCATGGTGGCAAACAGTCCTTCCCAGTTACGCGGAATGAAAGCGGGATCTAGGAGACCCAGCCAACACATGATGACGAAAGCAGCATGAGTTACGACCCATGCCAGAAGGCCGTTTGTCCGATATGTCAGTAAATGACCGGCTGGGGTGTGCTGACCTATATTGATCAGACCCGGTAGGCAGTGGTATAGCATCGCCCAGAAATCAAGGAGATGGGTTAAAACCATCACCACAAGGTGGGGGAATCCTGTCACTTTTAAGAAAATTCTGGTTTATTCTGATTCATGTTTTTGTTTCCCCTTAGCAACTCCATTCTCGACACTCTCTTCATCATCCCCACAGTATCCTCAGTGTGCCCTCTTCATGTCTCTATCTGATTTGTAAGGTTGTCTGACTAATTGAACCTCATACATAACTATCCACCCAATTCTTAATACATCCACGGAACGATCCTCCATCGGACCTTGCGCTTGTATTCGCTCCAGTCAGCTCCATATTTCTTTGCGCACATCGCATCATCACGACGCTCGCGGTGAATCAACAAGATTCCAAAGTAGATGACATAGAAGTAGGTGAAGATCATGCCCCAGCCGGCCGCGGGCCCAGGCACCGCCACCGAACCATCTGACCGGGAGATGGCGCCCGGCGAGGATGCATCCTCATCCTCTGCTGAGCGGAGCACGAGGTACCCTGCGAGCCCCGTTGGTAGGCTGAACGGGAGGGCCTGTAGCCAGTCCCCGAAGTAGTTAATATGCCTTGCAGTGCCCCACCATCCCGCTGTCAGGAGTCGCGTACCCCTAGCCGTCTGGATGTAGGAAAGCTGAGCCACAGCGGGTTCGTCTGGCTGAGTCCGAAAGACATGCTTCTGGGTATTGGCGGCCTTGAAGATGTAGATCCCAAGGACAAAAAGAGCACTCATTCCGGCGATCCGCCACCCGCCCAGCTGCAAGGGATAGGCGGCGAGGTAGCGGCACTGTGTCGAGTAGAGGAATGGCACCCAGACCAGATCACCGAAGACCAGCATGAAGCCCATACCATCCGTTGTAATATCCATCATTGTCAGAATACTGGATTCGTTGTATTGGCTGCTGAGGATATAATAGGCCTGCACAGCTGTAGTAAAGAGAATATTATCTGACAGGGTGCCATAATAGCGGTATTGCTGGGCGATAAAGGCAAGATCAAGCAGGAACCATCCAGTAAGACCTGGACAGACTTCACACCAGGTCTTGATGTCAATTTTGCCAAAGAAGGGCACATTAACGCGGGGGTTCAGTTCACGGCCGATATAGAAGTCATAGATGGTATTCCCTGTGGTCCCGCCGGCTGCTAACTCGCGCAGGTCTTGGTTAGGATAATTTGTGTCCACACTGAAACTGTAGCAATACAAAAATCCGGAGAGAGTGTAGGCGATAAGGATATTCGCAGTGAGAAGCTGCACATAATGGTCGGTGATATATGTCCAGATGATGAAAGAGGCACCATACAGATATGTTCCAGCAGCACCAATTGCAAGTGTAACTACACTTGCTGAGAATGCTGGCAGATGAATCCTTAGTAGAGTATTGATGTTAACAGAGTTCATCTATACTGACCATTGAAACGATATACGAGCGGGCGCCCATGGTGCACCAATTTAGTCCCGTGGACTTCCAAAGCCGGCAAAAGTCTCCAGAGAAGGAGACTATAAACATAGTAAATGATAGTTATCATGATAACTTCCCAGCTGATGAAATGGCCAATTCGGAGATCCATGTCTGCTTTCAAATTGGTCCAGGTCACTGAGCGGGTGAGAAACAGAGGGATGGGACAACCAGCCACATCATTACAGCTAAATGCAAAGAAGTAGAGGAGTAATGGCAAGCCAAAAGTGATGGCTGCAGCACCAAAGCTGTAGTGAGATATTAGCTAAGACTAAATTAGAAAGGGGATGAAACTGCCTACGGTCCGCCAAATTCATACTTAGTTGTCATTCCTGTTTATGGGGGATGGGTTGAAGCTGTGATTAGAATTATAATGATGGTTGAGAGTAGGAGTTTGAGGTTTGTTGGACTCCAGAGCGCCTTGAAAGAAAAAATCGAATCCTTTTAAACAACCCCTGACTGGGGGTATGGCAGGGATCTTACTGTTTGTGACCAATTGGAGCCAACCTTTTCAGTTAGGCAAAAAATCGTGTCAAAAAGTACAGACTCTAGAATTGGATCATTTGTGCACAGAGTACATATCAGAATGAAATAGTAATAACTCTCCCGAGACTCCCCCTTTAGATCAGTTCATAGCGGCTTGAGCAGGTGCTACCGTGCTAGTTAGATCTTAGCACTACTTATCATTCCGGTTAAATGCATAGACCTCAGGCATAGTTATCTACAAGTAGCTATTCATGGTTCACGCTTGCTTGTCTCAGCCTATATAGATTCAATGCCATTATGAAATCAATTATTCTTTGTTTCTATGGCTCAGGTCAAGACTCAAGGAGCAGGCTTAGCCCCATTACTTATCTCATTCCTGGTGTGAAAGTGTTTCTTCTACTCCAGTTGTCTGTAATCTGGGCTTTTGCCCTGTCTCTGTAGGGGGTATCACAGGATTGGGACCATGCATCCACACTAGAGCCTTAGTATTTCTTTATGTGATAATGTGACTAGCACCATTAGATAGATATAAGGATTCTTGATCTGTAACTTTCTAATATCTTATGTATAAAAGATAATAGATTCTAAATAATACTTTAGTTAATCTAGACCTAATCTAAATCTAACTATAATAACTTAATAAGCTAGCTCTTAATATAAATAAATTAGCTATACTAAGCTTTAAGTCTTAAAATAAAGCCTGTACCAAATTAAATTAGATTAGGGGAGGTAAGGTTCTAAGTTCTAAAACTTTAACTTTAAACCTAAGAGGTTTAGTACTAACTAGCCATGAACTCACCTGAACTTAGACTGATCACTGAATGCAACTCTACTTATACTATTTTGTACTGTAGGAATACCCACGCTCATCCATAGTCAGCATTAACAAGTTCAATGAATGAAAAGTAGAGCCCAGCTGACTTGGCTCCATGCCAAGAACCTGAGCATTGCCTGCAGCAATCTTTACAAGTGCATTAAGTACTAGGTTTGTGGTCAGTGAGCCCACTGAAATCCTTCAGTGGATGAATGCCGGCCAGGCTGTGTGGAGCACTGGAGCATTACTTAAGAGGCGTTTTATAATTTATGAGGGGAATCTGTGACCTGTAACAAACAGTCTAGATTTATGGCTACAAGTCAGATTCTTTTTTCTTGCCAGTCATAGTTCACTGGTTCGCGCCCCTTATTTTGTTACATGATTATTCCAAACAGCATGTCACCAAAGCTGGCAGGTCACAGCCTTGTGTTGTCTGCAATAAATACATCACTGCTTGTATAAGTGGGCCCATATGAGTAGTGTAATGCATAGTTAGCCAAAAAAGGTCTTAATAGTTGGAAATTCTCTATGACTATATATTATAAGCCATCATATCACAGTTTGGCTTTGGCCTAAAATGCAGATGGCGGCTATTATAACAGTGACTGAGAGATATAATTTGCTGAGATGTAGACCCAGGAGTTACCAGCAGTATGATAAGTAACCGCCCAGGAATCAGCAATATTAATTTATTAATCTTCTTGTAACAAAAAGGAGCCTATCCAATAAACCCCATAACCGCTTTCCTCAAAATAGAAATGATATTTCTGCTTTAGTGTACGTATGAAGCATTAGTAACAAATAACAAGCAGACTGTGTGTTCTAAGGGAATACACACATAGAAACATAAAAGGCACCCAATTCCCAAGTGTTCTATATTCTGTTCTATATAGATGCAATAGTTTCTAATTGTACATTAAATCAAAATGGGTATGAGCTGAATCCTGTATATGCATTCCCCTTGCTTGGTTATATTCTATCATTCAGCCAAAAGGCCACTATGATGAGTGCTGAGCTCATCATGCCTAGGAGGCGTCTCTATAGTAGCACATTGGCGAGGGCTGCTGCACCTCAGACCTCGCACTTCCCTTTCTAAATTCTTATGCACACTTCTTTGAACAACACTAACCGTAAGGCTAGCTACCAACATCCGCCGCGCTTTCTCTTCCACCGCTAGAGCACTCCTTGAGATCATTTGGGAGGGAACTAAATCACACCCAAAATATGAGGATCTTCTGAAGGAGAAGATGAAGAAGAACCGAAAGTTGTCTGGAGCTGACAAAGTCAAATTTGCGTGTGTTACTCAATTACAATGCTCAAACCATATCATTCACTGACATAATAGTAGTGGAGAACCTCATACATCTGACAAAGACAAAGAGCTGCGCGCTTCTGGTCAGATTTTTCAGGGGCAGTCTCGTCTCACTTCTGTCCATGTTTATGAGAACGGCACTGTCGAATATTCCAAAGCAAGTTTCAATGGCGCGCAGGAGTAAGTTGAGGGATACTTGGTGTGATGGGCATTCAAAACAAAACCCACTAGAACTATCAGAGCAATTTTAGTTTGAGTAAAATATATACGCAGTGATTAGAGTTGCGTTCAGTCTGGATTCGGGCAGGTTCATGGCCATTTAGCACCAAACTGCTCAGGTTTAGGGTCAAAATTTTACAACTTGGAACCCCCCTGACCGGAATTTCCCATAATAGCAAAATGACAGTCACGTGATTATTTATCCGCCAAGCCTTCCAGCCTCCTGTCTCCCAACCAGAGGATCACCTCACTTTCTTCTCTTTTCATGCTCACTGGGATCCACTCCCTGACATTTACTCATGCCACATCACATCCCATGAAATGTTATGGCAACTCTCCAATCTCGAGCCATGTCCCCGGTCTGGGCACTTAAACACCGCCCTTGGCCACTGTCAACAGCGGTCGCTCCCAAACTTCCGGTGAACAAAGCCATCGAAGAGGAACGTACGCCATACTATAACCCTGCACGATTTTATCCTGCACGGTTGGGGGACGTTCTCAATAACCAGTACCAACTCGCAACCAAACTCGGTTATGGTAGTAGCTCAACTGTCTGGCTTGCTCGGGATCTGAACCGGTTTGTTCTTCACGTACTCCCAACGCATCTCAAGTAGCATCTGCTAATCCTTGGTACAGATGGCGCTGGTTCAGAGAGAAATATGTTGCTATCAAGATCAATTCCAGTGCCCATCACTCTCGAGAGAACGCTGCTCAAGCTGAACTAGACATTCTAAGACACATCTCTGAAGCAAATCCCCTGCACAAGGGTTGGGAATTCATCAGACGTCCTCTAGATTCATTCAGTTTAGAACATGGGTTGGCGAGACATCTCTGTCTTGTCTTTGAACCTTTGCGAGAACCCCTCTGGATATACCGCAAAAGGTTTATCGGTGATGTGATACCTTCAGATGTGCTGAAGATATTACTTCAAATGGTGCTTCATGGACTTGACTACCTCCACTCTGAGTGTCATGTCATTCATACCGGTTCGTCTTTGGTTCATATCTAGATAACAAGAATGTTAAACTAATTGATTCCAGATCTGAAACCAGACAATATAATGATCAAAGTTGAAGATCCATCTATTTTGGAGGAATCTGCAAGAGATGAGTACGAACTTCCTCGCCGCAGAAGAGTGCTCAGATGCCGCACAATTTATCTCTCTCGTAATGACTTCGGCATTCGAAAGACCACAGGAATTATCCAAATCACTGACTTTGATTTATCTGTCCGTGGGGATAGCCCAAACAGAGGGTGTATCCAGGCAGAAATATACCGAGCCCCAGAGGTTATATTGGATGCAGGCTATTCATACAGTGCCGATATCTGGAGCTTAGGGGTCATGGTATGTCTAGAACTATATAAATACCATGTACAAGCTAACGTCGTTTTGTTAGCTATGGGATGTTCTTGAAGGCAAAAAGCTATTCAAGGATGTTGATCCCTTTGAAGTTCAAGAATATGATGAGCTTAACCATCTTGGCCATATCTCTGCATTGTTAGGCCCTCCTCCAAAGGATCTTCTAGACAAAGGGACAAGAACTGATCTCTTTTACAAATCTGATGGTGAGTATATTATTGTCTTGTCTGTTTCAGCAAGTATTCACTGACTTAATTCAATAGGACAATTTAAAGGTACAACTATTGCACCATTGAACTTCAATTTTGAAAATTCAATACGCAACATACAAAATGAGGATAAAAAGATGTTCATTGAGTTTGTACAAAGGATGATAAAATGGCACCCAGATGAACGGAGTACTGCAAAGGAATTACTCCAGGATCCATGGCTTTATGCAGAGTTTGATGGGGATTGAAATGGCTAAGAAACATACTAGATCCTAATGTTCATCCTCCTTGTCTGTTTGTTAGAGAGATCCTACCCTCTAATTGTCCCTCTTTATATTTATAATATAGAACTCTCTCTGCTTTACAGACAGGTTATTGCACCCTCTTCGCTCCTTTCCCTGACGGCTCTGTAATTAGTCTCCAAATGAGATAGTCTCAGGTTGTAAAATCTTACTCTCAGTTTCAACTTTGATAGCCTGTATAGGAATTAACCTGATGTTTTAATGTGGATATCAAAAATTATTTGTCATAGCTAGGTAATCAGGGTAATACAAATACTAGTAGATATTAGCATGTAGCTCAGATCTAGAGGTATATCCTCCTCTTATTCTCCTACCTAATATCCTTTCTAGTAGATATAAATAAGGGGATATATATATATGCAGGGGGTGCCATGCACTGCGGCCAGGGGCCTAAGGGGGGGGCCCCCGCCTGGAGTGCATGTCATCTTTAGAGTCCATGTCCTTTTTGCCTGAGTCCACATCCTTTCCCTCCTCACAGCCCTAACCCAGCGTCCTTAGTATCAGTCTGGGTATTATTTAATTATGGATATTCTATTCATGCTAGGGATCCCTCTCTAGATTAGAAATCTCCTGCAGGGGGGGGGTGCTAATTAAGGTTATTAGGGTAGATAGTTATAGATGTTATTAGGGATCTATGCTCTTAGATCTAGCTATTTTATTATTCTTTAAGTATTAATTAACTAATATAGAGGAGTGCTTTCTAGTAATCTAATCCTAGAGGAAAGACCTCTATAAGTATAGTAGTAGAATATCTCCTAAGTATATATTATTTTCTACTAAGTATATATTATTTTCCCCTAAGTATATATTATTTTCCCCTAAGTATATATCCTTTCCCTCCCTATAGCCCTAATCTAGTATCCTTTTTATTTATTCTAATATTACTAGGAGAAGGAGGCCTAGTGTATATAAGGTATCCCCTAATTAATAAGGGGGATCTATTAATAGTAAGGAGATCTATAGATATATCTATAGCCTATTCTTTTCTAGGTAAAGTATATATTATTTTCTCTAGAGTTTATATTATTTTCTCTAGTATCTAGTATACTTTAGATCCTTAGGTATTAGCTATAGCTAATCTATCTAGTGTAGTAATTCATAACCCTATAGATCTGTTTATTAAGATTTAGGGATTAAATTAACCATGGTTAAATAGCTAAGCAGGAGGGTAGAGGGTGGATCCCCTACTGCTATATTATAATATATATATTTCTATTATGATTAATTAGACCTTACTACCTCCCTCCCTAAACTAGCCCCTCTCCCTAGGATTCCCTAGTACTAGAGTAAGTATAATGCTAGCATTATGGGCAGTGCAGGCATAGTTAAGATGATTAGTATTATTAAAGATCTACTAGGTCTTTCTACTAGTAGTAGGCCTGGACTATAGATGCTATTTAATTACTGTTTATTACTAATTACTAAGTGCTATCTGCTAAGGGCAGTAATAAGATTAAATATAAAATAAAATAAACCTAGTAAACCTAGTCAGCCCCATAAGCCCCATAAGCCTGATTGGCCCTATAAACACAGTAAACTCAGTAAGCCCTGTTGGCCCTGTTAGCCTAGTAGTTAAAACCTAGTAGTTATGAAGCTAAGGTAAGATAGCACCACATTATACTCACTCACTGGCGCGCATACTTATATAGCTACCTACCCTAACTCTATCCTTATCTACACTACTTAGTCCTCTAGGTGGGCATCATGCTTATGCTTATGCTATTATTAGTAATAGATAGGATTACTAGCCCAGCGGGTGTGCCCACTATAGATAACTAGTTAGTTAGTAGCTCTGTTATTATTAGCTCTATTATAGTAATTATATTAAGGGGGTCATCACTATCCAGCCTAGTAGTGATTATATTAAGAGGGTCATTACTATCTAGCATAGTAGTATCCTGCTTAAGGGTTTTAACCATAGTTAAAACCACTAGCTCAGCTGGGAGGGAGGCTGCTAACTAAGTTTTAACCATGATTAAAAGGATGGTCTCTATCTTCTCCTTCTCTATCTTTATCTCTATCTTCTTATCCTTATCCTTATCCTTCTCTATAGCTATAGCCCTCTTCTCCTTTATCTAGTAAGTTATAGGCCCCATCCTCTCTATCTCTATCTCTATCTCCTATATAGCTGCAGCTCTCTTACCCCTTATCTAGTAGGTTATAGGTGCTTTCTTAGCTAGGGAGATCCTGAGCTAGTACTTCTTCTCTAATAGTAGGGGGAGGTTATTATGATAGAGGATTACTATATTATCCTATTTAAGTTAAGTATAGGGCTGCTCTAGGATCTCTTATATTATCTAGTTAGTAGTACTCGGGTTTTGGGTTTTAGGGTTTGGGTTTGGGTTAAGGGTTTAGGGTTTGGGTTAGGGTTAGGGTTAGGGTTAGGGTTAGGGTTAGGGTTAGGGTTAGGGGTTTAGGGTTTGGGTTAAGGTTTGGGTTAGGGTTTAGGGTTTGGGTTTAGGGTTAGGGTTTAGGG